TGGTAACGCCTTTGAACCCAGTTGACGTCCACTAGAACCCATGAGCGGGTGATAGTGAACCAGGAAAAACGGGTTGCCAGCCACTTGCCTAGGCACTGGGTACCGAAATTGTCTGATTTGTCCCGAAAGAGACAACCGCAGGGGCCAATATCTCACTTTCCCAAAGCCGGGATTGAATTCGGAGTCACCTGGATGAATGAGAACGTGGGGGTTGGGGTGTCGTCCCAACCTGTGGCAGTAGCAGCACGCAGGCGCCGTGACCGCAGCCGCAGCCGTGGCCGTCGTCATGCAGAAAGAGGCGGACGCGGCGGTGGCAGAGGCAGGCTTTGGGTGTGGGGAATCCCCAGCTACGATGGGAACCGCACTACCCCCCCCCCCCCCCACAAAAGTGCATTTGGGGCGAATTTGTACTTGACAGTTGTTCTTTTTCAGGTCCCACAGCATGCCTTTGGCAGCAGGGTATATATATATATATGGCTGTGGCTCAAATAGATGTGCCAAAATTGCACGTTGGTAAATGGAACCAAAGACTAAAACCTGCGTAACCCCTGCTGTTTAATTTTGAGCCTATATTGTTGTTGTTATCCTTCATCGCCTTATAGCTCCCGCTTTCCCTTGGGTCGCAGCGGTTCTGGTTTGACCCCACAGTCGCTCAGCGAAGCCTGAATGTTAGACGCCTATCACGTCAGCCCCCCACCTGAGATGAAAAGTCACCCGGAAAAGGGCCCTGGTTGGAGTTTTTGAAGGAGACCATAGTGAAAACAACCCGTAGACGTTCTTCTCACACTTTATACAGACACCAAAAGGACTCCCTTTTGGCAAAAGGCGGACCGCCCATGTTTTGATCGCTCGCTCCCAGGATTGGTTGCACCATTGGTTTATGACATATGGTCCACGTTGGGACGCTGTTTCTGCGGTTTGTTGGTACAGTAAAGTTGTGGTTTGAATCATCCCTCCAATCGGGTTGGATATGTGGTCTAGAGGTGTTCCGGGGGCCGGTTTTCCACTTACCCTCTAGGGTTCAAATCCAAATCCAGTTCCCACGATCCACACCGAAGAGTTGATGAAACATGTTTCAAGACCGGATTGGCTCCACCCTATGCCCAAGCTGGACAAAACATCCGGACATCCGGAGGACGCAGCCGTGACCGGCGGCCTCCAGGCATCGGCTTCGGGGGACCTTTGAACATCTCCGATTTAGATTTTTCGGTCTCCTGAATAGCTTTGATTTAGATTTTTGTTGGTCTCCGATTTAGATTTTTTGGATTTGGTCTATTGGTATGGACCTTTGAACATCTCGGTCGATGGGTGGCGTTGTTTTTTCCCCGCAACCGCCAGCTGAAAGCTATGGATTTGGCTGAGATAGGCCCGGAGGTTTGGGGCAGAGAGGGTTCCAGGAGTTCAGGGGGGGATACCACTTGGGACTTGTTGACTTTAGATATAGAATGTTCATTTTTCAGGTTAGACTAAATATGGAATCAGCACATATGTTGTTCTTTGAGAACACCGGATTGCCAAGTAAAGTGGCATTCATGGTGAAATGATGTTTAAGCAGGACAAGCAGGAGGAGCCCTGCAGCGCACGTCCGCAGGTGTCCTTGTGTTTGGAAGATGTGCTTGATTCTTGGGAAGGCCGCTGAATGTCCAGACGTTTGTGTTCCAAAGCGGTTGCTTCAGAGAACTTTTCACGGTGACATTGTAGCAACCAAGCTTTCCCAGGAAAGAAGATTCATGGATGTGGGCACTGACCATATTCATTTTTAACAGAAAGATGTATGAGATTGGCTACCAAATCAATTGTCTTCAATTTATGTAAACAACTTGCATAGATACAGACACAATATCAAATATCATTGTGTATGGCGTGCATATGTGATCCACGCCGCAAGGAAATGGGGTTACTCGAAATTCAATTTGTCAGGTATGTCAGGTACTTGTGTGCTCGGCGAAGTTAGTACGTTGGCAACCTATGTTTTGTTTCCACTTAATAAGTCCCTCCAAGTAAGGCGAAGCTTTTTATAAGGGGTTTTGTTGACCCCAGATTAATCAACCCCAGTTTGTTGATATAGGGAGTGTTTTTCCCCAAAGTGATGATGTCCACTAAAGGCAGGGACACCCCCGTATTGATAAACATTCCATCCCACGTGGCTAACCACTTATGGCGAATCGAAGATTCAAGTAGCGCCAAACGGGGATGTTCGGACCGCGCGGCGCTTGGGGTGGACTACCCACAAACAATTTGCCTGCCGAAGCGGCCAGTGGTTCCCAAAAAAGGGAGGCCTTTGAAAAAGAAAGGGGGGGGACACGAGCGCAAGCTATGATGTAGGCCTCTTTTTTCTTCCCCGTCGGGATGCTTTGTTTCAGATGTTGTAAGTGAATGGTTTAATATTTGAAGACATTTTGCAAGCGAAAAGGCCATATGCAACCACAACAGCCTGGTAAACCTTGTTGAATTATGTAGGGTTTCCCGTGTTCCCCTACTAGCAATATGTTCAGCATCCACTATTGCAAATTGTAGCAGCTGCTTCGCCAGGTGCATCGGGGGCTTGGAAAGGGAGGGTCCGGCTTACCACCAGGGCAGGTTGCGTCCGCCAGCTTTTACGGGACGTGCATCCGACCCGATCACAAGGCCGTCTTGGATTTTGGAAAAGGAGAAGTTGGGAAGACTTTTGGACACAAGACCAATTGGCTTGTTGTTTTTTTGTTTTTGAGGTTGGAGCAAAACCTCGCGGTAAGGTGGAGATGGGCAAACACATGACCACACTGAAAACTGAAGGTGTTTGTTGAACCAAAAAATGAAGCCCGGCTAGAGGAGTTTGTGTTTTTTGTTTCCTGAGCAGCACTGCTCGGACTTAGGAGGTCGGCCGATGATGGAAGAGCGTGGTCGGCCTGGAGGAGGTGGTGGACGGAGTGCCAAGTCGGACGCCCAGGCTAAAACAGAAGCTCACACCATATTGCTCCGAGCCTCAAGCAATGTTGACCCCGGAGTAATAAACTCCAGTTTATTAATATGGGGGTGTTCCCCTCCAGAAGTGAATATAATCCCCACTGAAACCAGGGACACCCCATATTGATAGACAGGGGCTTATTAATCCGGGGTCAACATTACCAACTTCCCCCGTAATTCATGTCCCTGTATAGGTAACCAAGGGAACCACCCTTAAGAAACCAAGGGGAACATGGAGTTGCCCTCTCGGAGAACGTGTGCCATTCAGCTTGCGAAGGCATGTGACCGCATTTCGGTCAGTTGGCCTTTGCAAACACAACTTTGCAAACATTTGTTTTGCATCTCCTTCCTCACTGTCCCTTGACCAGACGCAGCCGCGCGGCCAGTGCGGAAAGTTTGCTGTTGGGCGCCCCACTGGTGCGCTCGCGGACAGTGCGGCGCGGATACGCCGCGCGGATCGCGGATGTGCGGCGCCGTAGAGGATGGTCTGAGAAGTAAACTAGATACTAAACCATAAAGGACGGTCTGATAAGCTTTATGTGACGCCACCATTGAGAAGATGTCTGAATATTTGATATTTGTCATCCCTGTGATAGGCAAAAGGATACCGCGGTTTTGAACACAGAGTTGGCACGTTTATTTCGTTTAGGGCCCTGTAATTTTGTGGACCTGTATCCTCTTGAGCCTCCCTTTGGGGCCAGGAAACAACTGCCAGCGGCGCTTCCTGTTTGGGACTCCCCGCTTTGGCTCAGAAAGTTATTCGGTCCCAGCAAGTGCCAACAGGAGGTGCGTTCGCCCCCAGTACTTGAGTCGGCGTTTGTAGGCCGCCCATGCTTTTTTTTTTTACGGCTTGAATCTAGTTTCCTTCCTCCCCAGAATTGCTCCGTACATGAGCAGGCTGGAACATATGTGTTTCCGTTTGTTTCTTTTTGGGGTGGCAAAAGTACATGTTTTGCCTTTCCGATCGAGTCAGAGCAACCCTGTCCCCTGTATTCCAGGGCTGCTGCTGTGCTGCGCGCCGCGCTTTGCGCTTGCGAGTCTCGTGCCGCCTTGTCGGTTGCAGCCTTGTTAAGCAGCGGTTGGTGGCGGCACCCGTGTGAACAGCGAGCGCCGAGTGCTGCGGGTTGCTGCGCGGCAACAAGGATCTAGGCAGGTGAACAGATCAACAATCCTAGGGGAAATATGGGGGTATGTGCATATACATGTACGTAAGCATATAACTAGGTAGAACACACATACATATACATGTATGTGTGCCAGCTGTTGTCGCCCTTTCTCTTTGCGTCTCTCCATGTTACATATTCCTGATCGCAAAGTTCGTGACAAGCCATTGGACTTGAGGGCTATGCCTGTTTGCATCTCAAAGCAATAGCTACGAGTCTGTGCATGTGAGTCACTTGCTGGGCATGTCCGGCAGGCACTTCCACGCAGCCTGATGCAAAGAGGCAAACAAGTCATCGGGTAGATGAAACACCTCGACCTCGCAAAGGGCTTTGGTGTGTAACACCCATGATTTGAAGGTTACTTTCTTGATGGTCATAAAAAAAGAAGTATTTTATTTTGGTTAAATATGCCGAGGTTCATGAACATTGCATTTTGAAACTCTTCTTTGAGCTGAACGGACCCCTTGCGTGCCCGAATTCATGCTTCAGCGCTGAAAAATCGTTTGGTTGAGCCCAACTCCTGTGATCTCTCAAATTTGACACTGTTTGTCATGTTCAGCTTCACTACATGCGGTTTGGTTTGTTGGCAAAAGCTGAGGTAAGGAGTAGCCCAGATAGTTGCCAAGCTTCAATGCTTGAATCTCATGTGACTCCATGCGTTTTTTCGTCAAGCAGGCAGCATGCTCCTGCGGGCTGCTGCGTGCGCTCGCGCTTGGGCTGACTTGTCTCCAGGAAGCCTCGCGGCGCTGAGCCACAGATCTAGTCGCAGTATGCTTGGGCATATGTTTGCCGGTTTTCATCGGCGAGCTCACCTTTGTCTCTTCCCTCCCCCAAGTCGAATTGGCGATGGTCCCACAGAAAAAAGAGTCTGTCTGGTTTCAGAAGTACTAGATGTGGGCAAAGCCAGGGCCAAAGCCTTTTCAATGGCTTGTCTTGGGTTCCCATTTCAAATGGCCCCGCTGGCCGCGGCCAGCGTCCATTTGGCTGAGGCGAACACCGAGCCGAGATGGAGAGCCTTCAAATGCGGCCTGCTTAGATTCCCGGAGGCGAATCAACCTAAAACAGGGGTGTTTATTTTAAGACGATTTGAACAAATGTATGGTCGCCTACAAAGGCTGGATTGGATCCTTTGTTTCTCCAACCACAAGCCTGTTGTCTGACCTCGATGTCGCGATTTCACCACAAGTGGTGCGTCCAAAAAGTGATGTCGAAAAGCGAAATTTTAGGCCCCAAAGCAAATCCTAGAACTATCAACTTCAAGGCAACAGGGTCCCTGACCAGCGTGCAACTGCTTTATCCCAGGTTCAGATTCAAAGTATGGTAACCCAAAAGGCAGTTGTTCGGGGCTTGTTGGAGCTGAGCTTCTTTCCCTAGCGACCCATCATCACCAGGAACCAGATGGAGTGTTTGATACGCTTTGGGTATTGATTCATGCATGAACACACCTGCTACTTGGCACATCGCCGCCTTTGTTTTTTCAGCTACTCTGGGACCCGGTGGTGGTAAGTATATTTTCAGAGCTGAAAGTCACAGTCTGTTTGTTTTTTTCTTCTTTTTCAGCTGCTCTTGGCTCTGGGATCCGGTGGTTTGAAAGTCGTTGGTGAGAGCCCAGGCATACGTTTGGAACGCCCTGATCGACCGCGAGAAAGCACGCATTGCAGCGGGCCCCAGAGTTCGCGGGTGAGTCGCTTGTGATTGGGGCCGATGGCGAGGGCCAAACTCCCCTGCCAGCACCTCCGTAGCGTGGATGGGGCGATTTTTTTGGCACCACCCAAGAAACCCGCAAATACCAACAAGCGTTAGGTTTCAAAGTGGTGCGAACGGATTTCGCAACCAGTAGCGGCTGTCAAATGGCCGCCGTAGCCCAAAGGAGGTCACTTAATCGTTTGATAGCCATTGAAAGTCTTGGCAATGTTTGGGGGTTCCCCCATGACCACAGGTATTTTTCCCATTTTGTGGGACATATCATGTTTTAGCGGTTTTCCCCAATGGTCATCCCATGTAAAGGACCTTTTGATCAAACCCCCCCAATTCCCCTTTGAAGGGCAGGTTTAAACCTCACCTTTTAGGCATCTCGGCTCAAAAGCCATTTGCCTCAGGGAGTCGCGCCCCAGGGTCCCGCCATTCCTCCGATGGAAGGTCGGACGTCCACAAAACCCACCTTCCCCTGGGCGGGGCGCTGCATCTTCATGATCAACTTTCCGGCCAGGAGAGCGTCCTTTTCGGTGTGGTGTGCAGTTTTGCCCGAAATGAGAGCTCTGTGGATTACCTGGGTTTGCGTTGTGGCTTCTTCCTCGCCTACGTGGCTACGGTCGAGCACTTCCTTCTATGTGGCCGTGTGGGCGAGCATTTCTGCTACTTCTTTGAACATGTGCGATTCCTCCCAGTTCATTTGGTGCTCTTCGGCTACCTCTGTGCTGGACGTGAACATTTGTGAGGGCTACCGAAACCCCTTGCACTTGACCTCCTGATGTTCTCTCTCAGCGACTCTGCCGGATGGTGCCCCGCATTTGAACTGCGCCTCCAGCTTCTGGAGCGTGGTGCAGGCTGAGCTGGTGAGCCGGTTGCGATGAGCTTGTGGCTACGTGATGCTTTGTCGGTTCTGATATCCGCTTGCTATAAAGGGCGGGCCTGACCCGAATTTGGCTTGTCCCTGACAAACACTTTTCGTGTGACGGCCCGCCCTTGTCTCGCTTTATTTGTTTTGGGCATTTTGCTCCGGCAAAGGCCGCTGCGGGGGTTTCCTCTGCGGTGCTTCGGCTTGGTGTGATGATCCGCCCTGGCCGCGGCCCTGTTCTTTGGTTGCCTTCCTTTGTCACTCCTCCTTGGAGTGCGTCTTGCCCTCGGCCATAAGTGCCGGGGTTTTGCTTTGGTTTTGTTTTGGCCTCGGCGCCGGCAGGCCCGTAGGTCGGCGCTCGCTCCGACGCGTGTGCCCGTGAGATAAACCTCACCTTTTGGGCCCATGCAAAGGGAGTTGCGTTTTGTTGAGAGGGAAGTAGTTGCAAGAGTACTTTCCTGCTTCCAGTTGCTGCATATGTTGTTTTCCCCTGTTGGTTTCAAAGGGCTCCACGTTGATTTGGGTGTGGCTCAAAATTGAAAAGCTAGGGCAAACCGCAGTTTTTCGTCTTTGGTTCCTTTAATCATGGTGCCATTGTTTCCATGTTTTTTGTGAGCCACAGCCATTTGGGTATGTCCCTTGGGATGGCCTGAAGTTGGCAGTTGACCGCGGCAGGATAGGAACTTCAGCGAGGCAGACCGAGTGCGGGACTCTCTGCGAGAGCGAGGCCGGTCCACGGCGGCAAGGGCTTATGGGGGATGTGTTTATTCAAATTTGACTCCCCCAAAGAAAACAGTGGTGGTTTTTCTTAGGGGACCACCGCAAAAAAGAGAAACGACAAAGCGGTATGGCCTTGGTTTCCCCTATACAAAAAGGTCGACAAAAAGATGAGCCACCCATATCCCGCCCAGCGGATCCCCGTTTCACCCCACACCCTTCGCTCAGTTTTCCTTTTGTTCATCAAAGCCTGGGGTTCTCTTGTCCTGCAACACCCAGGAACTAGAATCACTGGGCTAGGCTTTTCCTCTAGACCTCCATAGACCCCCCCCACACAGGTTGATTTGAGCGAGGCTGTTCTCCCAAGGAGGGTTTGTTCACCCCAGTTCATCAAGATACAACCACAGGCAACCAGGATGTTTCCCTCATGATGGTTTCCCCAGTTACCCGTAATGACTAGATCCACCAGGCAACTAATCAAGATCAAGCCCTGTTAAAGCTCTGGTGGGCTCTTTGTACGAGGTCTGCACCAAGTCCCAACCTGTTCTTTTTTAAGAAGGGACATTCCTTCAATTTTCCGGAAATTCACGGACCATTGAGAATGCAGAAGCAGTCGAGGCTCAATTTCCCTTGCGTTGTGGGACACATTGGTCCAGTGGGTCAAAACCAATGGGATTGGGGAATTCACCACCCATTTGAGAACCTATTTTAGTGGGGATTGGGATGTTCACTGGGGGTACGATTTGGATTTTGACCCCTGGCCACATTGGTCCAGTGGTTGAAGCGTGAATTGGCCGACCGGCCCTTCAATTGGAACAGACTGTTCATGAACAAATGGCTGGTTGCCTCAGTGTTGCCATGGCCACTAAGGTTTCAGCGTTGTGATGTGCCTCCTTCAGTTTGGATTCCTGTTGTTCCCCAACAAACAAGGGAGGAACCAGGTCCCATACAACCAACCCAAGTGACCCATCCAATTGATTCGGAGCACCAGAAGCCCTGGCTGAGAAATGGGGCATTCCCGATGGCAGGACACAATCGAGGAATCCAAGTTGGAAGCCCATGTGCGGGCTTTTGGGGACTTCTGTCCCTTGCAATTCGCTCCCCCTTGCCCAAGCCAACAGTGACTGGTCACTAGGTGTCCTTTCTGGGTACCTATACTGGTGAGGGAACTAAATGGCTTCTGAGCAACTGAGCAGCTACTTGTGGTGAAGGAAAGCAACTGAGCAGCTACTTACGCTGAGTGAACCAGGTGGTCACGGGTGACCGCTAGTCGCCTGGTGGTGTTCCAGCGGCAACGATCAAATTCGCCGGTTTCGTTCTGCGGATTTTGCTGGAAGCAAGTCGTACACCAAAGCGCAAAACTCCTTGGTTTCGTCAATTCTGCAATAACTTTGCCAAAGGCCAACCAAGCTTTAGGTGAAGCGGCGTCTTAACTTCTCCACCGCACGAATTGATAACCTCTTTGCATTAGATGCACATTCACATTCCCAATTATATACTGTCACACACACACACATTTGCTGGGAACCAAAAACAAGCGTTCAAAGCCTGCCAGTGCCTGAATCTTTGACAGCTTAGCAGTTGGCCGCCTGCGACAGTCCCTGCACGACTCTAAACTTTGGTGCATTTTGCTTGGATAGGACTTTAGCTTTTTCCCAACTGATGGGTTTTCCATTAAACCACTAAAAGTCTTCAACTTTTAGCAGGGCAGCAGAAAGCAACCGAGCAAAGATCAGATTTCTTGCCTGTCGCCTACAATTTCGCTGGTGCCCCCAGAGCCAGCGAATCGATGTAAGCCAATCCACCTGTAGGGTGCGCCGGCAACCGATACAAACAAATCTGTTTACTGCCGAGCAAACAACGACACAACAGCTACCAACCAGATATTGCAGGCGTTTTTGTTCCCAGGCAAACCAGGGTTCAGGTAACCCTTACTTGGTGGTTTGCATGCCCTGGCTTTTATAGAGGGTACATGGAAACCGACCCCTTAAACCCTTAAACACCAAACCACCGGGCTCCAAACCACCAATCAGAGGGAAGCTGAAGGGTTCTCATGGGTTTAAACCAAGGGGCTACCTATGTTTTAGGGAAAAACAATGGCCTCATTGGCCGCTGGCCGCTGGCAGGCATCGAGATCTATGATCGTGAGAGGCGCTGGGAGGCGCAAGAGAGAATGGGCGAATGAGCGCGAGGGCAGGGCAGTTAGGCTCACCAGTTTGTGACATCCAAGCATGCCTACATTTTGTTGGTGTATTATACGCATATGGGTGGCTCATCTTTTTTTGGGCGGGACCTTTTGTTTTTGCGATTCTTAAAAGGAGACCTACAGGAAATAAAGACCATGCTGGGGAGTCGCTTAAGAACGCCACACCCATACTGCTGTATACACGCGTGTTGGGCCGAAATAGAAACGCAGGGCTTGGTGTTCCTGCTCAGCGGTCCTGAATTTCACACCAGCCAACATGAACTATTTGGCGTGATTCCCCATTTTCACCTTGGATTACTTTTTTTAAGCAGGTGCGACGCACAATGCTGTATACAGTGGTCAATATTCACGATCGTCTTCCTGGGGTAAAGGAACGAGGGGCACACTCCCCAAATTGCAATTCAACTTGGACTTTCTCACTAAAATCTCACCGCGGGTATAGCAAAGATTCACAGAGCCTGTCTGGACCTCCAGAGATGTGGAGAAACCCAGCAGCCGGGTGAGGAGCAGCCAAAGGGGAGAGAGATCAACTGAATCAACGGTACGTATATCCCATGCAGACCGGGCTACATGGGTGTGGCTCAAGTTAAACAGGAGGGGCAAACCGCAGGTGTTGGTCCATGTTTCCACTTACCAGGGCAAGCCATTTTGGAATTCCGGTTTTTTGGTTGCCACAGCCACATCTTTGCCTTTTTGAGTTTACTTTATATTCCCTAAAAGTACGTAGTCTCACCTTCTTCCGGGTCGGATCAGTCCCAAAAGCTGGTTCTTCTTTTCGGTGGTTTGAACAAGACAAAAAGGAGAGCCTCAGGGTACCACTGCAACTGGAACACGCGTTCTTTTAGTTTGTCTTTTAGGCGAACTTTTTCGTGAGGTTCCTCTAGGGTGATATCACCACTGATGTTTGCCCGGCAGAATGAGACATATCCCAGACAATCCATGCATGATGTATATATATATATATTGTATATTCCACAATTTGACCCATTTGGAGGGAACATGTGGGTATATGTGACCTACATGGATTGTCCGGGAATGATCGGCTCTTGATTGCGCCACCCGCAACGACCAATGCTTGCCTTTTGCCACTCCGGTTTTTCTCACATATTTTGGCACATTGGCAACCGTAAGATGGAACATCGGCCCTCGTCGAACCTGTCTGAGCCGTTTTCGTCGGCAAACCCGGGTGACGGGGTTCCCCAACGGAACCCCCTGCTGTGGGTCAAGGTTTCTGCTTTCCTCTCTTGGATGTCTTGGTCTCCGGTTGAGTCACTTGAAGGTCTTGCCAGAGTCTTCCTGGGGGAGCTTCCATGTCCATCCGTTCCAGGGATCCCCCTTTTCCCACGGAAGACAGCTGATTTTTGAAAAGAAGGATGGTTGACAAGAACGGGGAATACTCTAGAAGTCCACTCAGGTGAGGATTTCAACAGGTTCTTGTGGAAGGTGAAAAACCACCCCAACAAAGTCCGGTGGTTTTTGGCTGATTCACTCAAGTGGCGAGACTTGCCTCATTGCGTGGTGGGAATCAGGGTGTTTGCCCACTATACCAGCAAACTTCCCTAAGGCCTTCCGCGGAGGAAAACATCGTAGAAGTGGGCAATTTCCGCAACTCAAACAGGGCTCCCTACATATATATATATATATACATATATATAACCCTAAACCCTAAACCCTAAACCCTAAACCTATATATATACACATATTTCCCTGATTTTGAACCTCACCTTTTGGTCTATGTTTGGTGAGTTTGCTTTTAAAGTGATGCAGCTCGTACCTGCGAGGCCAAAGACGGGCGCGTGGGACAAAGGCCCAACCATGATGACAAGAAGCGAGACGACTGAGGGCGCCTCTAAAAGAGGCCCAGGACGTGCTCTTCTCTGGCAGTTTTTTTAGTTGACATGATTCCATTTGCTGAAAGGAATGTGATTGATATTCCCTTTTTGTCCAGGGGTGCTTTGTTTACCCCTTCTGCATACCCCTTAACGAACCCAAAAGGCCTGCTGATGTTCATACCCCTCTCCCACAAAGATATATCAATACTGGAAGTGTTTATGTATTTTACACAACGGGGGGGCCAAAATTTGATGACTCCTCCGAACACCAGGGTGTTTCTGGCTCCATGTTAATCTGCATTGTACAAAGCCCATAAAGTATGTTTCTGAAACATCAAACCAGCAGGGGACAGGACGTGTTCCATTGTTCAGGCCCACTACTCGATGCCAAGGAAAGAAATGAGAGTTCTTGCAGCAGATTGAAACGAAGCGTTGGCTAAGATAGGTAAGTTTCTACAAGCGTTTCAATCTGGAACGCTCGCTTCAACATCCACGCCCACACGGTTGGCGCTGCTAAACAGACGACAAACCAGACGGAAACCAACCCTTCGCAATATATACATGCTGCATGCATGCATACATGCATGCATGCATGCATGCATACATGCATACATGCATACATGCATACATGCATACATACATGCAAATACATGCATATACATGCATACATGGATACATACATGCATGCATACATACATGCATACATGCATACATGCATACATGCATGCATACATGCAAATACATGCATATACATGCATACATGGATACATACATGCATGCATACATACATGCATACATGCATACATGCATATACATGCATACATGCATGCATGCATACATGCATACATGCATACATGCATACATGCATACATGCATACATGCATACATGCATGCATGCATACATACATACATACATACATACATACATACATACATACATACATACATACATACATACATACATACATACATACATACATACATACATACATATGGAGTATGTACATACATATACACATGATTTGAATGTCTATAATTTATAAGTTGCGCAAAGGTCAAACCACACTTTGCCCCGGGTTCTTTAAGTTTGGTCATAAACCCTCTACAGGGATGTTCGACAAGTCACAGAAGCCGCGTCCTGGGTCTTTGTCACGGGCTGGAGCTAAGCCCCGCCGTTTTGCGAGTTTCGTTGGGACTCATTTGTGGCCCTGTGGGAGGCTGGTAGCTTTGCTTCCATGCTTAATCGCGAACAGTTGCGCCGCATGCAAGATCTGGAGTTTGCAGACCTTGCTCATCTCCGGCAACAAGTCACTGATTGCCTGGCGGGCTGTTCGCGTGGTGAGGTCTTCGGGAAATCCTCCTAGCGAGGCAGACTATGAAAAGGCTTGACCCGAAAAGGAGCGCAACGCTCTAGCGCTGAGTGACACCAATACACGGAGCATATCGCCAACTTGCTCAAGGTCATGAACCATGCTAGTGCCAAGCAAACAGTTGGGACTACTTTTGGCTGATCCGATCAGAAAGTGAGCTGACGTCTTCAACAGGAGAGATCCGTTGGCTCGAAGCCTAGCTGGCCCAAGGTAGTTGCCCAAGAGACAATAGATGCAATAGTCGCAATGCCACGCTCCCATGCTGGCTCCGGTGTGAACAGCCAGGGCATAGCTGCTGGTACATTGGCAGATTTATATAGCCCTTCTTTTAGGTTTCTTGTAACCTGCGAGAAGCTATCTTTTGGTAGGGGATCGGGTCAGTCGAGCCTCAGCTTGGATTGGGGATTGTGGCGCGTTTGATCAGCGAAACACAGACCTCAGAGTTCAGTGGCTGCTGCCACAGGGGGGGGGGCGGCACGTCCACGTTTCAAGAAGCATTTGCAGGTGAACACAAAGGCGAGACAGATTGAGGGCACTCCCCTGACCAAAGAACAAACAAAGAAAAGAGGGCCGCCCAAACGGTGATCCTTCTACCAGTGATGGAGTGTATTTGTGCGTGAGTAGTTCATTTTGGTTTAGGGCTCGTGCCAACCCTCTGGACCAAAACCCCAGGCTAGAAGCTTCCCTTTTCTGATTCCATGTCCCTGTATAGAGGGCAACCAAGGGAACCACCCAATACAAACCAAAAGGAATGGTTGGTTACCTACGATACCTACGAAAGTAGCTTTGGCTTGGGCTTCCCTTCCAGATATCTGTGCCAATCGAGCCTTTGGATTTCTCCCAACAATGTATTCAAAGGGATCCTTGGGCCCAGAGATCCATATTTTCCGGCTTCAGAAACCCAGATGACTTTCTGATCTGGCTTGGCTTTCGCCAGACATTGTCATTGTCTCACACCCTTGAGATCCTGGACTTAAGTCACTAGGTTCTGGACCAGTCTTCTTGCCATGGGCAGTGGTTGGTCTAGGCTTTGCAACTCGCTGCCGTTTCAGAGGACGGGAGGGGGGGCCGCAGTTTCTGACTGGGTCAGCCTTGGCCGGAGCCTCGGTTCCTAAAATCAGCAGCTTGCAGCATCTGCAAGGGAAGCATTAGGCCCTAACTCTTCTAGGAACCCCTTCTAAGAAGATCTGGACATTCGAAAGTAGCACAACATATGTAAGACACTTTCATAGGCGGCTGCAACCACCACCATGGCAAGAATCCTGACCATGCTGCATGCCCAACTCAACGGGTGCCTTCTCTGTGTGTGTGTGTGTGTTTGCTGGCATGTGCCTGGGTGCCGGAGCGCATAACAACAACGCGCGTTGACCGTCTCATTCCTTAAAAGCATCAAAGAAGATACTACCCTCCTGTCCACGGGCCATAAAAACATTTCATCCCTAACAATTGCAAAGATACTACCCTCCTGCCCACGGCATGAAACACTCCGGTGAAATGGGGCTCTTCGAAAGGAAGATGGTCCAAACCAGGACCGATTGTCAAAGGTCAGGTTCCATAGGCGACGTGGACAAGAGGGTAGCACATACAAACCACAAGTCCAACCCGGAAACACAAGAGTCGAAAAAACTTAAAGGCGCAGTCACAAGAGTCCAAATCGAATCGGCCCTGTGACCTTTCGGAACGAGCGGCAGGCTCGTAGATCTACCCTAAATAAACATGGTGAGAGGGTAAATTGCTTTGTGTTTGAGCTGGTGGGGCTCTGCTAGGGCGGCAAGTTGCAATGAGAAGTCGGTCTCTCGCGCATTGACGTCTGCTCGTGAACGCTGAGGCTGCCTGGACAGGGCGATGGCCCCAAGGCGACCTGTTTGGGTAGTTCCCGAGCGAGCGAAAGTCATGATGTAGGGAACCGTCTCTTGGGAGATCGCCATTCTGGTTTTGGAATTCCAAGATTTGCAACCAAGCTGCTTGGTGCATGTGTTGATTGATCCTTGGGTCGATGATGAGGCAGTCTGACAGGTGGGGGGGGGGGCAGTGCTCAGTTGCTTTGGGTCAAGATCTGGCTTGGTGATTTGGTATTTGGTGCAGTCTGCTCTGGGCTCAGTATGTTTACCAATCACAGTTATTGTTGTCTTCTTAAGCATCAGTTTGTTTACCGTTCTGTATTCCTTTCTTTTTGTGTGGTGGGGGTGACGTTGATGATAATGGCTACCTCATATTTAGAAACAACCCCCCCCCCCCCAGACACAATCGTGGGGGCCGGTGGGGGTGGAAATAGAAACTTCCTGCGGATCCCAGGTTCCTCACATGGCTGTTGGTCAGCGGCTTCGTGCAATACTCTTTGTCTCGGATTTTCTGCGCCGAGCCGGATTTTGCAATTGCAGGTGGATTTGGATTTCGCCGTGCTTCTGAAAATGAGGTCAACATGATTTTCACCGAAAACCATGTAGCCAGTTGCTTTGGCACTGGTTCAGTGGGTTGCTGGAGAAGTCACCTGCGCCGCTTTCAAGAGTCCGAGGCCCTCTCACCGCAAGAGGGACCCGTTCTGCGATGGGACTGACTCACTTGGTCGCTGTGTGTTTTCATGAGGGTACCCTTTCTGGGTGCGTTGAAGGAAAGTCACAGGGACAGCGAAACCCCGCAATTGATATGTCATGCTAACTTCCCCCAATGTTCACCGCGTACATTCCAGACCGTCCCACTCAGCTCCCGTGCACTGCACGGCCAGGCACGATCAATGAGCCGGTGAAGGCGAAGGGGCGACGAGTTCTCTTGCCCGCAAATTTTACCTGAACTGATGTCATTGCTCCAACGGTGGTCGTTTCAAGACGAAACACAATTGGGGACACGTGCGGAAATGCGGCGGAAGGGTTGTCCAGCATCTGGGGCTTGCATGTGCCATGGTGACAAGAGCCCTGTACCTAGGGATGGTCAGCAAGTCCGGGGTGTTCAATCCCTAGGAAACCAAGCCCAAAGGGGAAACCATGGGGAACCACAGGAAAGCCACCGACTTTGGGGGTCCAACTCCCCTTTAACAATTTGAATTTGTCTTTGGTGCATTTCGCTTGGATGTTAGGACTGAACAATTTTTTGCCAACTAATGGGTTTTCCGAATTAAACCACTAAAAGTCGAAAGCTTTAGCAGGGCAGCAGAAAGCAACCGAGTTGTCGCCAGGCCGGTGTCCATGAAGGAGCAAGAGACAAACGCAGCGTCGGGTTTCCGCCAGGTTCGTCCAAGTCCTCGAAGTTACCCACAGGGGGGGGTTTGCGGGTTTGAGCGCAGGTTTCCATTGCCAAGGTTCCATTTTGGCAGGGCTCCTTAAAGTTACATTTTGCAACTATTTGAAGCATGGCTTTTTCCACCAAAATAGAGGGAAACCACCATTTACAAGGCAATGTTCAGGTGTGTCATGTAAGGATCCCTGTTTGGGTACCTATTTTTGACCCACAGCCACATGAGTGGTGGTTCAACCACTTCCATTCGCTGAAGACTTCCATTCGCGGAATATTATTTTGCCCCAACAGCTGAGAACCGTTGCTTTGCAAAGATAGGAGTGGGTGGGAGCAGAGCGGGTTTGGGCTAGGGGTCCGGATGTGTGCACTTTGCTGTTGGGGATACCGCCTGGGCTACCACTATTAGATTTGTTTTTTTTAGTCTTCCAGGAGACGTATTCGCAAATGGATGATGAGAGGGTACAATCAGGTTGTGGAAAATGGGGTGGGGGGGTTAGGGGGGAAGGCTACCACTTTTTGTGATAATTAAGTGATACTTTTGAGGGTCCCCCTTTGTTCAAAGGAGGCTCGTTTTGGGTCAGCAGTTGGGTGCGTCTTTTGGGTTTTTGAAAAGGGAATCTGCTCATCGTGGACATACGGGTGATTTAATTTCATAATTCCAGTCTGGCGGACCTCAACAATCACCTCACCAGTGGCTGCAAGCAGTGATGTTAAGCCCTCCAGGAATGTCTTTTACTTGGTTGGACCTCCATGAAGACATGGTCGCCTTTTTACCACTCGCCATGTTTCATCATAGCCCGGTGGATCTAGGTTGCTAGTTAGCTGCATGCAGGACGTTTACCCGCTCGCCAACAATCATGGAAGGGGTTCCTCAAGAGGAAACTGGCCTTCCAAAACCCTCCGATCGTCAGCTTCCGTGATTGTTGGAGGGTAATCCTCCCCCCAAACTGCCTTTCCAAGCCATGTCCAACTCATGTCCACACCCAGGAAAGGGATGTTTTTTGAGGGCAGCACTACTTGGGCTTTTGAACGCACGGGTTCCCTGGCTTGGAGGTATCCAAACAGGTTCCCTGTCGTGTTTGTACAATTTGAAGGGTGGCTCCCATGCTTGCCTACCAAAACAATGTAAAGGACATCACTGGGCATATGTCGGGTTGGGCGAAATCATGTTCCAGGAAGTAGGCATCCTTCTCTGACAGGATTCCAGTTCCACCCCGCTAACCCTTGCTTCCCCAAGTATTCGACCCTATTAGAAAAACATATTGAACCCTTATTCGGAGCCCACCAAGCTCAGTGAGCGTGGCTCGGGGAGTGGGGGTGATGACGACTGAATTTCCACGTCCTGTTTCCATAGCTGTCCTTTTTAGGTTCGCTCGGCTTGAAATAGATGGCACTGGTTCAGATGGATTTGATTGCATTTGCCAGGGCCATCTATGTTTCCATCAGGTCACCAATGCCAGTTTTTGTTATAGTGGAAGAGTCTTGTCATGCATAGTGTTCCAAGGTGACCTTTGTCTAGCTGTTTGTTGCTGTTGACCTTTTATCCACTTTTGGAGCTCCCAACAGTTGTTCCTTATTCCAGAGCCCGGCAAGTGAGTGGGTGCTCAAATCAGCCGAGTTTAAAGGTTGCATTGCCAGGGAGCTTGAGGGCAGGTTCACAGCACCTACCGCTTGGGTCACCTCAAAATGAGTTCTCCCACACAATACACCTTCATCCTCATGAGCTTGCAAATGTCCTTGGTGAGGTTGCTATGCCCGGATGCCCCAAACTGCAGCAAAAAGGACATAAACCATCCGACAGCCATGGGATCTGCACAGCGGTCCATGGTGTCCATTACCCCCAAACCACTAAACCCCTTTGTGGAAACCGGGAATGCAACCTTCTAGTGACTATATGATTGTATGTCCCAATGTATTCTGGCCATTTCCTGTACTTGTGTCTGTTTGCCGGCAAGCACATTTTGATACGACAGTGAAGTAGGAGGGTCGACCTCACCCACGGTACCCATGATGGTTCCGCTCAGGGTGCTCACCTAGATACGTGTGTGTGTGTGTCTTTTGTGTTTGTTTTTCAGGCGACCCCCAACCCCCAACATAGTGGTATTCATGTTAGTTTCCCTTAAAACCAAGCCCAAAAAGGGTAGCCTCAAAATAAGACACCCATATGTGTGGGCGGGTCCAGTGAGCCCTTCCTGTCACCTTTTGATTAGCGCGGCATGGCTCGTTCAATGTGCAGAGAAAAGGTGTTCATTGAAGGTACCCTTTTGGGTTGGTGCTAAAAGGGAGACCCAAAGGCAACACTCAGTTTGACATTCCAACATACCTTATAGGACTCGATCTTAGGATCCAAGTTCCCTCTCATCCACGGCCACGGATCACAGATGTGCTTCGGTGACTGCAAGTGGGGAGATGTGATTCCTGGTGGCCTGCAGGACGGAGAGCAATGGAGTACCGACTTATCCAAGGAGGACGCAGAGGAGGGATAATCGCAGTGGGAATGATCGTTGCCCGTGTTTCGGATAAACAGATCCCAACGGTGGCATCTGGTTTATTTGTTTCTTGGCTCGGTGATTGAGCTGTAGCTTGCGGGCCCTTTTCATTCGGAGAGACAATTCGGGCTCCGGATTTGGGATTTGGTTCATTGAGCCATTTGATCAGAACTTCAGAACCTTCCGAGCAGATTCTACGCACTCCCTTGAGTACTTCCGTGAAAGCCGGGGGGGGGGGGGGTAAAGATCATATCTACACGTGGCCCATTTCTGAGAAGCAGGGTGCGGAAGAAAAAAGGCCTAGTCTCACTCCCTGAGTTCCTGCACTACTTGTTGCCCTAAGGGTCCTGATAGAATTTGGGGCTTTAAACTATGTTCTTTTGACGGCCAGGCTTTCAGTGGCCGTTGGAAAGAAGGGCGCCCTTTTTGTTTGAAGAGAAACACCAGCCCTCCAACCAAAAGGACAGCGGGAATCACCCCACATGTCTGGGCGCATGTACACACACCTCCCAAAAAAAAGCGGTTGTTTTTTTTCCTGAACGACTGGCTCCAGGCTCCTTGCAGTTTCTATGGAACCGGCTGGGTCCCTCCCACTTCACTGCTTCCTATCACGAGTGGATTGGCCAGAATCTGAATTTGTTTGCCCCTAAACATGGTTGTTGTTGGGAAGCATTTTACATTTTTGCTCGTTGTGGTTTAGTGTGTAATCCCCACTTAATACTTAACTGCTAAAATTTAGTTTTTTGCTCCCCTTCCAACGTCAACCAAGTAAACTGAAGAAACACGACATCCGGGTCGAACAATCGAACCATGCATGTGGAGGTGAGAAGCCATGCCAGAACAAGGATCCGAAAAAGGTTCAGGTTGGATGGCCAACTGAAAACTAGACGCACAACAGCTCGGCAACTTTGAATCCGAGTTGTTGGGATTCCTCAAATTCATGACCAAAGCCGCCCTTTGAGTCGATTGTGCGCTTTTTACGTGGGGTTGCTCAACATGTTGGACCCCCTTTCAGGGGGGAAACAAAGCGGGAAGGCACAAGGACACCTAACTCAATTGGTCCGCTTTGAGAATCCCTCTGTGTCAAAATGGAGGACCCCCCCAAAAGTTGGTCTTTTTGGTTTCCCTTTTAAATCCACCCCAAAAGGGATTCCATCAACCAACAAAGTCGACCCACGGCGCTACGGAGGTTGCACTGGTTCGGGCGTCTCCCGCGTGTTGTCCACGAAATGGGCGCCAGGCCGTAGTCCCGAAGCTCCCCGAGGGCAACACCTCTGCAGAGTCGCTCTTCAGTCTGGGGCCCAGACATCGACAAGTGGCCGACCTGTTGCCCTTGCGCCTTGCCGGTTCCTGTATGAACCATGTGTTGCCTTTTTTAGTTATTGGGTTTTAAAAGACTTGGTTTCTTTTAAGGGGGGGATCCGAACTTCTAAATTCTGGAAGTAGTGGTTTTTGGGTAGGCCCATGTCCTTTTTTCCAGCATTGGCGGGTGTCGGTTCTTTTGGCCGTACTTGTCGTTCATTCATGTGATCAACTCACAAAATTGGGAGTCTACCTTTGGTTTAGGGATGAGACGCGGGGACGCAAAATCCAGGGGTCCACATCTTGGGGTGCGCATCTGTAATTTTCTCCTGGGCGGATGGCCTGTGTTTACCTTGCAAGGGGCCGAAGCGCCTTCCCGAAGCCTAAGGGGCATTGTCTGAACCCAGGCAGGTGGCATGGGTTGGGTTGGTGTGGTGTGGTATCATCTAGGTCCCCAGTGGCCTTGGACCCTTTGTTGGGGGAGGGTTCCCCCCACTAAAATAGACTACAGAAAAAAAGGGTACCCTTAAACAATACCTCTCTACTGGAGGACCTAGGCAGGATATGGTATGGCATGTTTGCTTGGATGCTTGGTTGGTCCCACCCAAACCAGCGCAGCTTGGTCTCAGGCATGGAGGCGCTTGGGGTGCTTCCGCCCCTGGATCGAGGCTCTGGGCTGTTCAAGACGCAACGCCCTCCCCCCCCACCCCCTTCCCGCTTCTGGTAGGAGATTTGTGGTTTTGCATATGGTGTAAGGGAAATGTCAGGTACAAATTCCCCATCCACAAGTATGAGAAGCTTAGACCCGGTTGGGGCGGCATCAGATGAACCGACATCGCTTTTCTAAATCAGCATCAGTCTTTGGCACTGGCGGGACTTTGAGAACTTCTTTCGGCGGACCCCGCGGAAGGTGGTTTCCTCATCTGTCGCACCTGCTTGCCAGGATTTGCTACTTGTGGCAATGTGTCTGTTTGGCCGCATCTCGTCTGGCCCCTCACAGTCTGACTCACTCCCTGAGTTCTTTGTCTGACCTTTTGAGAAGGTACCATTTTGGGGTAGGTGCACCACCCATTTTAGTCTATTTTAGTGGCGATTGGGATGTTCACTGGAGGTACGGGATTTTGACCCGCACAGTCTGTTTCTGGCAGGTAAACTGTATAGCTCATGGATGGAACCCTACGCCGTTCACCAGGTTGTCTCATGATTACGGGTTACTCTTTTCGGCCAATCCACTAGTTCGGGCGTGAGTCCGAAGCTGCAAAGCTCTCTCGCAGAAGGAACCCAAGACACAATGGATTGGGTGGCTCGTCTTTTTGAGTTGGTTTCGCTTTCTTGTGGTTTTAAAAGGAAACCCACCTTTTTGGGGGTCCAACCCCGAAAAAACACATATTTTTAGAAGAAACTCCTATTGGTGGACCCTCTATGTAGGGTCCATGTTGATTTGGGGAATAATTATTGTGCAGCCTGTTGGTACTCGTTTTTGTTAATCATGCCCGACACCATCCTTAGAATCAGGCTGTCAGGGCTCCCAAGATGCTCTTTGGCCACCAGACAATGTTCGGAAATCATTGGCAGTTTGGTCGAGGGTGGGGAAGGTTCAAGTGGATATTGTAGGAAATGGATACTGTTAGTTATGACCCTCTGTTCAACTACCAACATGAAAACATCACAAGCGCTCAGTGGGAGAGAAGATGCTTTCTGCTTACTCTCTATGTGTTTTTTGTGTCTGTCCCGGAGTTTTGTTGAAAATCGATGGCACTGTCCAAAAAACCATTCACACAGCACCCAGCTTTGACACGTTCGGAGGTTGGAAGCCAAAGTCGGAGGCGATCCAGAAGGGCAAATCCATGTGCCGCGGCTGAGTCAGGACTTTGGATTTTTTCCCAGCTTTTGGGTCATGTCCAGAGTTGATCTCCCATTTTTACAATTCGAAGCGCAAAGTATGTTCTCGCTAAAATGTGGTGTTGATGACCATGTCTTAAGGCCAATGGTATGGAGTAACTCTTTTTCCCGGGTACCGGAACCGATCAAGCGGCTTCGCCACCTCAAACACGGCCCGGTGACCATCATGTCTGGCCCTGGAGCTGCGGTCGCTCAGGTGGCTTACTCACAACACCGCAGCGGATTGGATCTACAACATGACCGAAGACAAGTGAGCCACATCTCGTTGCTGTTGTCGAAAGCATGTGGGTGTGTCTTGTGTTTTGGGGACCCTAAAATGGCGGCTTTCTGTTTGGTTTTCCTTTAGAGCGCGGGCAAAAAAAGTGGTAGCCTCAACAGAAAGACACACCCCTGTGGCAAAGGGAGAGGGAAAGAACCTGTGACATGTCTGGACTTTAGCAATTGGCGCCCTTGCCTTTTTCTGGGGAAGGGTTCCTCTTTTTTCGCTGAACCAACCACAGGATGCCGATTCCTTTTGTTTCCCATGGCCACTGCATCTCTCTGCTCGCGTCGCGTGTGTGCTCGAATCTGGGAGTAGGTAGTCACCCCCCCCGATCCGCACCTGGCAGAGAGTTAAGGCATGACCGCCTTTCTGAGATGTCGATTCGCCCACAAAAGGAAACACAAAATGATATAACCACATCTACATGTGTTTTTTCCCCCCTGTGTAGATTTGGGCTATATATATACTGATTTGGCCTTGCGAAAGGAACACTGAGTTAAGGGAAGGCGAAAGGCCGGCGAAAGGGAAGTGTCCAGGCACCATTTGAACAAGCCCCATTGTCTCTCTCTCTCTCTCTCTGCATACATTTAATTTGCCCAATGTCTATATACATACTACAACTATAAATATGTATGTCCGCGTGTAGGTATGTATGAATGCATGCATGCAATGCATGCATGCAATGCATGCATGCAATGTATGTATGTGTGTACGTATGTAGGGATGTCTGCGTGCATGTATGTGCGTGTACGTATGTATGCTTGTATGTGTGTATGTATCGCATTGTAAGGTCACGGAATGTACCGCAATGTAATGTGACGTAATGTGTGCATGTGCGCCCGTGTGTTTGCATGTATGTATGCGTGCTGGCGTGTATGTGTACATGTTGGTATGTGTGTATGTGTGTATGTGTATATATGTGTATGTATGTATGCACCTATGCATGCATGCGTGCATGCATGTATGTAATGTAGCGCAATGCAATGCAACGTAATGCAACGTAACGTAACGTAATGCAATGTAATGCAATGTATGCATTTATGCAGGTATTGTCATACCCCCCCCCCAAGGGCCACACCTTAGCACCTTCACCTTCCTTTTGTATGAGCATGTATTCTCTCAATCTATGCACATACACACATTGTATCCTCGATATAGTCAATCTATCAAGCCGAGGTACTTCCACCTTCCTTCCAAGAGCTTCTGGGAGAAGCGACCTCTCGAGCAGCCTCGGCGTGGTTCACTCGACTCAGAGAGAGGGGGTTGCCTTTGGCTCAAGGAGGGACGGCAGGGCCCCCTTCTTTTAGAGTCCGGGACGCCTGGGCCCTGTTCTTTCAGTGTTTTGTAGCTGTTTTTCTGTTTTGAACCAGCAAAGAAAGGTCCTCAGATCCCGTCAAAAAGTCGCTTCCGAGACTGTTCCAAGAACCTTTCCTGATGCGTTTGGGGGCCTCTTTTGGTTCTGATTTGCGGTTTTGCGCCTGGTTGTCCGAGGGGCAGGGGGGCTACCCAACTGCAGATTGACATGGAAAAACAAAGCCAGCTGGTTTCACAGTCGTTTCCGAAAACAGAAGCACCTAACAGGTGCTTCACAACAAAAATCTTAGTCACGTGTTACTCCCGAGATTGATATGGAACCCACAAAACCAATGTTCAGAAGAATCTCCGTATACAGAACAACCGTGTTTGTGCTTCCATATTACGTTGCAAGTGGCTTATGTCAGGGCCTGCCTTTTTCCAACGAAAGAGCACGTGTGAAGGAAGAGCCATGCCTGCTCCCTTAACGTCCAGTTTGGGTGAACCTAAATGGGTTCTAGCAAATGGGATGCTACCCGCATCGGTGCCCCGTTTATTCGAACCCGGTTACGGTCCCCGGAACAATGCTCGCTCTCGGTTTCCCTTCAAGGAAGCCACAAGGCGATGGACGACCCGAAAATACACCTAGGGATGATCTTTCTTAGTTCGATGATCTTCCACTACACCCAAACCACTCCCCCCAAGAAAACACGAGGAGGGTATGAATCTACTGCAGATACCCCTTTTTGAGGTTGCAGCCAAGGCAAGCCATGAGGAAGCCTTTCCGCCCATTTGGGCGGTTCATATCCGCTTGAACATTTGTGCCCCAATGAGTGCGCCTTGGGAAATCCGAAACAGATTTGATCAGGGTTGTGGAATCAAGGGGTTTATTCCCAGTTCTGTGATACCTCCGGGAATCTCCCCCTGGGGTGTTAGTCTTTGGGAAGCCCTTTTTATCACAGATTCGTAGATTCCATTTCCCACAACCCTGGATTTGCCAAATTGAAAGGACGAAAAGCGCATCACAGCCCCTGAAGTTTGAGAACATACTCCGGGAATCCCGGAGCCCTCTTGGAAGCCTCTCTTAAGCTGGGGCTAGTCCACCCAGGTTTCCCAACCTGGAGCTGCGAACCGGTTGGTCATGTCGAGCCCGGATCTGGGTAGAACCTTAGAAGCTGTCCTATTTGGGAGGTGTTCCCTCCGAAAGTGGTCTGAACCCCCACCAAAAGGGGACACCCCACTATTACTTGGGTGCTCAACCAACTTAGTAAGTAGGTTAACAGACCATGGCTATCAGGGGACTAATCCCAGTTGCCACGGTTATAACCTACTTTGAACATCCAAGTAATCAACCAAGGGCTGATTTTTCCGGAGGTTCAGCCCACTCCCCATTTTTCCAGTCGGGGTTCAAGCAGTTCGGGTTGGCCGTTTCAACTCGACAGGTCCCAAGATCCAAAGGCGCCGCCCTACACCTACGTGCGCATGGACGCCTTCCACTTGCAGGCGAAGCGGAATTTGTGTGACTGGGTCTCACCCTGTCGGACTTTGGTCACTTTTAGGGTTTGGACCACTCAATGAAAAGTGCGGTTGTTTGGCAAATCCACTTAAGCAGCGCACGGGAAACCAAGCGGTTTCCACCGCCCACAACTCGCGCTAGGCTCAAGCTCAAGGGTGTTTCACAATTGTGAACTGGTTCCTGGGTTTGAGTCGACCTCTCGTTTCCGAATGAGGCCCAAAAGGTGAAGCTTTTATCATAGGTCCACATGTTTGGTACATGGGGTGGGCTGTTGAAAGCTGCATGTTTTCCTGTCCTTGGGGTAGGTTAGCCCTTTGAAGTAGCCGTTGGCTGATTTATTTGGATTCTTATCCAGGCCCTTTGCTTTTGAAAGCGCAACTCCAAAGAATTCCCCTCTGATGGCAAAGGGAGATTCCCAGCATGGTAACTACCCTAATCCACAACTCGCACACGACAGCCGCGTCGTTTGCCCTCAAGTCGAGATGTGTTTGTTTTTCCTTAACCACTTTGCCTTGCAGGTGTAAGATTACCAGAAAGTGCTGATCATGTTTGGCCAATAGAAGGTGTATGTGGGTAAGCAACCTTCATCATGGGTGAGGTCACAGCATGCAGAGTTGTTCGCTTGGTACACCTTTTTTGGTTGAACATGAAAGGCTAGAATCCCTGAAGGGAACTCCTTTTAAGGGTGTTTGTGGCTTCCTTTTCTGGACAATTAAGCACCCACTCAAAAGAGATCCAACTCCGATTGAAAGAGGCCCCTCCGTATGGTCAGAAAAGCTTGGGGGTCCTTTCACTTACGGGACGCCTTCTTGGAGATAGACAATCCTGCTTTAAGATAGCGTGATTCGCAATAAAACCTGTCCTTTTGCAGGAGTCCTACACAGCTGTTTTGGCCTTGCTTCAACATCCTCAAAGTCTTCAGATGAACATGAACTGACTTTGACTCACCCTGCAAAACACTCAGACACCGATTTCCAGCAAGAATGAGGTCGGAAATCGTTGCCTGTCGGCAGGTCTTTGTTTGAGGAGATGCCCTTTTCAGCACCAACTTTACATTTGGCAAAAAATAATGAAACTGGACACCCGTGGCGTTGGATACGTTTATGACATCAGGCCCCAGCCATGGAAATCAGTGGAATTGGCCTGTGCGTGGCTGGCACTTGGGCGGTGTCACCATAGTTGTCGCTGCCTCGCAACTTTGTTTCTCGAATGTATCTCTGAAATCCTTTGTGAAAGTCACCAGCTTGGTCGACCTGCCAAATGTGACGAGCGCGGCCTCAGTCGCCGCCACCGCACTTCCGTCGCCCAGCGAGAAAGCGACCGACGCAGGGCCTGAAAATTCATCCACAACTATTGCCACCACGTCACTTGCAAATGTGGAAGTGGCAAGGGAAAGTCGCGAAGAGATCCTGAATGAATTGAGGGCCTTTCATTCGGATCACCTGGTTTCCCAATTTCCGCCATCCTGGAACTTCATCGGTTACAACCGCCAGCCGAACGGATCGAAAGCCTGCAGGCGCTTCGAGCGACCGGGGGAGCGCTTGCCGGAGCACAAATATTGGCCTGGGATAAACCAAAACGAGGGGGAGTACCTTTACGCCACCGTCTGGGGGCAAGAGCAAATTTGGAAGCATCAGCACCCTGCGGATTGTCAGAAGGCCAAGTTGGTTCTGGCGATGCCGCATTTCGCGGGCATCGGCTCCCTGGTCCGCATGGCAGCTTTGCATTTGAAATATGCCATGCAGGAGGGACTGGTACTGGCATGGCATCCTGCGGCTAAGCCTTTCTGGTTGAGCTCCTGGTGTCAGCGAGTGAAGACCATGGACTGCTATTTGGAACCCCTCACCAACTGCACGGTGGATCTTTCGCAGGTGGATCATTTGCCGAAGTACGAGGGCTTCAAGCGCAAGAAGCGCAAGAAGTGGCCTCCTGAGCTTCCTGAGTTGCAGGAGATGCTGCAGTGCTCGCCCCTGGATCGTTCCATGGACTGCATGTGGTTCAACCTCCAAGCCATGGCTTACATCTTCCGGCCGAACAGTGCCGCGCTGCAGGCGCTGCGCGAGTACAAGCACCGCCTCTGGCCCGCCAAGTTTCAGGAGCCCCGCAATACAGGCGACACCATCTCCGTCTATGTAAGACATGCCAAGGAGAAAGAAGCAGAAGCGCAGCTGCTTCCAAGCAATGCATACTGGAAGGCTGCATCAGTGCTGCGCAGGGCGAACCCTGCACTGAAGAGGCTCTTTGTGTCTTCGGAAGACCCGGAGGTGATCTCTTCCGCCAATGAGCTAAAGGACTGGGAGGTCACTTACGTCAACGTGGAGCGCAAGAACCAGGATGCCTACCACAGAAACCAGGGGAGCACCAATCGGCACCGCCACGAGGAGTTTTTCGCATCAACCCTGAACCTGGAGCTCGCCTTGAAGAGTGACGCCTGGATTTGCAATCGCTTTAGCAACTGGTGTCAATTGACAGATGCCATTCGCTTGACGCAGGGGCGGAAAGCCAACTGTCCATTGCTGGATAATGGGGGTCTTTGCAAGAAGTACTGCAAATCCTACTTGAAGATGATTTGCGGGATCTGAATGTGCTATGATGCCACGTCGCAACCTGCTAAAGGCAGGTCGCGTCGCAGGAAGTTATTGAGTTATCATTGCCATTTTGATTTATTTGAACGGGTGGATCCGCAAACAGCTTATCAAGCCTTACCCGCAGGCATCGCCAAGCAGGTACCCAGCCGCTCAGGTGGTGAAAACTGGGAGGCGGGCATCCACCATGCGAGGAGTGGTCAAAAAGAGGAGGCCTTTTGTTGGGACATGGTGTAACCTCCTTTGTTTACAGGGCAGCTGCAGGACATTGGTTTTACAATAAGGACCCTTTCTCTCGAAGAGCAAGCCTCATGTGAGGTAAATCTGGATTCCCAGCCCCCCCCTCGTCGAAGCCATGACATGGTCAGACAAACCTTAACGTTTTGTTCTGGAAGGACTGCTCACTTGTCATGTCTTCGTGGGACCCGCATGCGTTTTGTTGCTTCTTTTTTCTGCGGCTCACGTATGTAAGCACGCCAGAATAAGAGAACACACTAGGGAAATGCAGCAGTCCTCGGTTGGGACACGACAGACCCGAAATCTGAATGCAGCTTCAAGTGATGTGCGTGTGTTGTTGACAAAGACACTGTTCAAGTGTGGGAGTTGTTGGTTGTTTGTTCGTTTCGTTCAGTTTGTTCCGTTCTTTCTTTCTTTATTTTTGTTTCTTTCTTTGTATACATGTTGCCTTCTTTCTTTCTTTCTTTCTTTCTTTCTTTCTTTCATTCTTTCTTTCTTTCTTTCTTTCTTTCTTTCTTTCGGTTTTTCTTTCTTTCTTTCTTTCTTTCTTTCTTTGGCAGTTTTCATTTTCGCTAGATAGTCAGTGTCAGTCACCATCGGGGGTGTAAGACATTCCCCGCATCAAAGTCTCACTCCCGGAGTTTCTGGACTTTGTTTCTGGGAAGACCATTTTAGGGGTAAACAACCGGTTTGGTTGGATTCTGACCAATCCACTCGAGTGAGAAGTGGCTCCACCTAATTTTACAGGCAGACAAGAATCGCCTGTGCCAATCTGATATTAGCCAGTAGATCCAGTTACCCCCCATAGGTAACCCGGATTTTTACGACTAGGTTTTACATAATCATCATGTACCCCTATTGGTAACCAAGGGAAGCCATCATCGATGGATTCCCTTGGTTACCAATAGGGGTCAAAATATCACTGCCTGAGCTTGGGAAAGCCGCCTAGTTCGGTGACCTCCAAGCCAGTCTAAGACCACCTGTCCCTGCTAAGGAAGAATTTGTCCTCTCTAGGGGTTTTGGGGAGTATGGTGGTTTAACCTTGTTTCCAAATGGGAAGGCATCCTCCAAAAGCCGATGTTTTTCAAAGGCAGGGGATCAATTTCCCACGGGATGTCTCTAGATTGTTTTAGGGGTTCCAAAAAATAACTCCATGTTTTAGGGGTTCCAAAAAATCACTCCATGTTTTAGGGGTTCCATGTGTTAGAGTGTTTTAGGGTTTTATTCCTTCCGTCCGCAGATCACCTCAGGCCCTCCGGCACTTCGCCGCGTCTTTGGAAACCGCTGCCCTGCCCGGGGCTCCAGAGACGGGGACTGCTGGCTGGACGCTTTGGTTTGGGGACAGAAACAGCAGTCGGGTGCTGGCAGGGCGGAGGTTCTTTTTTGGAGTTGGGTTTCCGTGTAAACTGAGCTACAAGCAATGAAGTGTGCTTTCTTGTCCCATGGGGCCCATGGGTTTCACACTGAATTCGCATCTTTTTGTGGGGGTCGATTTGTGGTGGGCAATCAACAAGCGTGAGCTTCTTTTGGCCAAGCCACCCGGCTCCGCGTTTACTCCTTGGTAACCCTGAGCGCTGGTGCTTTGGCTGTAGAGATGGGAATCCCCGGAACACCTCCAAACCGCAGGACTCCCTCCAAGCCACCAAGAGGGAAGCTGACCCTGAGTTTCCGGACAAGGGTTTTTAGAGAGACCATTTTGGAGGCAAGACCAAGTTTAGACGTGTTTGCCAACCCACCTAGGACGTGAGTTTGCATGCCCAGTTGGAGACAATGTGATGTTTGCATCATCGCCAGAAAAACAAAGAAGACAACGTGTTTAAGTCGCATTGCAACAAAATTGACACCGGGGATGTAAACCATGTTTCGGAACATTTTCTGGAATCTTGACTCTTAGCCCCAACTTCTTGGTTTTACAGTTGGTGGACTTTCAACTCTTGGGGAAGAGGATTGTAGTTGCAAGCAAAGTATTGACTTTTCTGAATTCCACGCAAGTGACACCTAAATATGGAGACACCTGACATCACCTGACCGACAGGCCATCAATCACGAACCTGGGGCTTGACTTGACCTGTCAACCCTTTAGCGAACTTGTTGCAGGGGCTGAAAGACCAGAGGACAAGAGGCAAACATTTACGTAGTCTACCAGGGAGAGTGTTGGTTCTCACCCAATTCATAGCAAAGGCCAGGCAGCCAACTTTGCCCAGGTTGATAGATGCTGCAGCCAATGGCAAGCTTGCTTCTTTGCGACGCCGTTCTTTTTGCAGGTGTTTGTGTGGGATATTTTGTCTCACCGGATGCATGATTGCAGTGCCAGTGGATCTCTGGATCTGCAGATGTGGTTGGATCTCAAACCGGCTGCCTCTGAAACGTCGTCTACCGCGATGCTTCCATTTGGATTCTGTTGCTTGTGCAGTTGGAGTCAATCACTACTGGATATGTTGGTGGTTTGATCATCCACCAAGGCCATCTATTTCCCCGAAAAGGACGCCTATGCCCATTACTATATTGACTATACATGAGGCATATCCCCTGTTGTTCCAGGGGACTTCAGCAAATGGCTCGGGATGTTCTTCAATGAGCTCGCGGCCCGCACGACTCCACCGGATGGCCACGGATCCGATCGGTCGAAGGCCCTTGGCCTGGAAATCCTGGACGCTCTTCGTGAGGCCCGGGGGTTGAGTTCGGAAGACCCGCCCGTTGGGCAAGTGAGTTTTGGGTTGCCTAACTTTGAACCAGAATCAAGACATATCCATGTTGGCACACCAGAGCCAAGATATTCTGACTGGTAGCAATTTCAGCAGATGGAAGGTGAATTGACTGCGTCCCAGCAAATCAACAACACGCGTGAATCCGGGTCGGACCACTGCGGATGTTCATTGAATCGACTGGTGGGTAGATATGTTGTACCCTAAAATCCGACGTCCGTGGACGCAATGCATACTGATTGACCATGTCTCATTTTCTTTGGCCACCATTATCAAGGACAGGTCCTGCACCCCGTAGGCTGTTTCCAACCTACGCCACTCCTTCACCACTTCGGCACGACGGACGATAGGGCCTAAATTAATCGGATACAAACGAACAGATAAGCAGAGCAAAGATAACTTATATTTACCTAGCTTTTCTATTGACATCATGTCTTACTTCCGTGTTCGTGCATGGCATTATTAGCAGATTGGTACTACTTTCCAAGATGTGGCGGAATAACACATGTGAACAAGTGCATGATTCATACTATGTAATCATAGAAAGTACACTCAACCAGTAAGTAAGATGTCAATATGTTAAAACACACAAACACGCAAGAGGCAATGACACATATAGACGAATAGAACCATATTTAATAGGTATTCACAATGTTATTAGCATGTGTCCATGCTATTCACTCCATTTCACTCCTACACCACTCCTACAGCACTCCTACACCAATGCTTTTAATCTCAAAATGGCCGTGCCACCTTTCGGGTACAAACTTGGCAAATAAGGGCTCCTTTTGTTGTTCTTTTGGAACCAATTTTGTCACTGGGCGACATCGCCTTGGGAGCATCCCTGGTGGGGGAATGGAGGAAGTTCAAGCTTTGCCGGGCAACGGGCGATCTTTGTAAAGAAATTCGGGCACTTGTTTCAGGGCTCTTGTTTTGGAACGTCCGAGCTCTCGGAGTCTCTCGGGCTGATTTCTGCCGTCGGTTAGGTGTCTTTTTCTCTGAGCAAGGGCTGTCATGGACCGCACTATTAGGGCCAGTAGATTCGTGCAAATATGTGCGAGCAATCGTGGTTGAACATGTTCCCGCTATTCTAATTGGAAACCAACCGAGAGAACAGGTTAAGTGGAGCCCCGGTCTCAGAGCTATTTGGGAAAGAGAGCAGTTTTCCCACAGCGAAAGTTTGGCTTTGTGCGGGGCGTCCTTCAGACCCAACCCAATCAAGAGCTTGCACATGACTCATGGCTTGTACCATTTCTCATCCGCCTTGCGTGGCATTGGCTCCAGGATTTGTGACTGAGGCGGCCACATCGCGCGGTGTGCTTCCGACACTTTCCGTTCAGCTTTCAAGACCGTCTACAGCAATGCGTGAGGCGATCTGCATCCACATTGGCCAGGAGCCTCGGCGCAGTGAACACACATGTGAGTCCGTGGTGAACCCGAAATGGGCAGTGTTTGTTTGGATTCCCTTTGAGGCTTCCCCCGAAAACGGGTGCCCCCCAAAAATGACACGCACACACACACACAGACACACACACACACACACTTGTGGCACTTGGCTTCGCTTTTGTCCAACCAGTCTGTCAGCTGACCTTGCTTGAGTTCCTGCAAGCCACTTTTCAAGTTGAGCCCTTGCCGGTGATGCAGCGTGCATGTTTGTTTGAGGGCCACCTGTGCATCGATATATTAGTTGGTCGAGGTTCTGAAAACATGCCTTGTGTGCAAACAGTGGCCTTTTTAAGTCATTTATTAGGCGGGACTTGGGAACACGGCAGCCTCTGCTAACTTCTGCTGTCAAGGGGTGCGCCCGTGAGGCGCCAGCTCCGGATCGCGCGCGGAAGCGTTATGAGAATGGAATGGAATGGAGTCCTTGTAAGGACTTGCGATCTAGAAGGCCAGACTATTGCAGGCTTCTGTGCCAGGGAAAGATCCCAAAAGGAGTCTGCAAAAATGTTTTGGCGTTTGTCTCTAGGAGACATTCTTGAACGCTTCCGTATTTGGAGGCCCCGCTCTCTTGTAGACGCAGAGATGTGTAGGACTCTTACTTACATCCTTGATTCTCCACCTACGCTGGGAATGGTCCAACATTGCTAGTGTTGGGCTGCTCCGTGTTGATATTGGCCAAGATTCGGGAAAGACCATGGATCTTGTTCTGTACATTGGGTCAACGCAGCACTTCCGACAAGCACAAGTGGAAAGGGCAACTATTGTGGCTGCTTTCAATTCGGCCACAAGGGCAAGTGAATGCCATCGTTGTTTGTAGCAGCAGCATGGCAGCAGTCAGCGGTCTGGTTACTGCGCATGCAGGTACAATTGCAATAGCAAAGAGAGCCCCAAACCGCAAATAAAACTACACCGGTGCGGTCACAGCATACTGCGAGACATTGTTTGCGTTGGGCGGAGATGGCCTATAATTACCGGCAAAAGTAATACCGAGCAACTCGAACATGAAAAACGACCCTTTCCCATGCAACGGCACGCAGTTTGACTTTCATCTGCACACTCGTTCGTGGTCCAACCACCGACAGCGCTACGACCCATAGATATGCGGGGGGCCAAGCAGTTTGACTTGTTGCAGGGTCACTTTGACCACTCACAACCGGCCCAGCCCAGGGCGGCGTGCAAATTGGCAACGCCTGCTGGGAGCTCTTTTGCCTGGAGCATGGCATCCAGCCCGATGGTCAGATGCCGTCGGACAAGACAATTGGGGGCGGCGATGACGCATCCGGCCTAATATGCCCGCCTATGCTTGGCTGGCCTGGAGGATAGCCAGAGGGTTCGCAACCTTTGTCATAAGGCTTACAACAGTCAAGTGGGGGCAGACCCTCTGACTGAGTAGCAGTTAATCTTTCCGGTTTACCGCAGTAAACACGTTGACATGATATTGGGTACATTTGACAACTTGTGAAAAGCTCAGGGTGAATCAATAGCATGTCATAGAATAAGGAAATTGGTCGCTTTTCGTCGCTGATGTCGGTGGTGCTTGTTGTATCTCACTGCCATCCACCATGCATTGGCCATGCATGTGTTGTTGTATTGGGAACGATGAGCGGCACTTGCGAATGAGTAGAACCAAACCAAAACCTGTGCCATCCGTTTTCAACCATGCCGACCCAAAGTCACACCATTCTTGGATCGGTTGTCATGTTTTCTTAGCATGTGCCGACTAGCGGGCATGTTGGCCACTGAAGGCAACTGCACACCCATGTCTGGAATCTGTGGCCGGTGTCTCGTGAACTCGTGACATCTAGACATGCACCGATCTCAGGCATTTAACACCTTCTTCAGCGAGACTGGAGCGGGCAAGCACGTGCCTCGTTGCGTCATGGTCGATCTCGAGCCGACGGTCGTCGATGAAGTGCGCACTGGCACCTACCGTCAGCTCTTCCACCCGGAGCAGCTCATCTCCGGCAAGGAAGACGCCGCAAACAATTTCGTCCCAATGCCAAATTCAGCGTGCATTTGTTTTCACATTTGTTGCTGTCATGCCATGGCCCCACCAAGAAACGCCTCGTTTTTGGTCCGCAAAAGCTTTGGATCATTTGATCTGAGGCACGCGGGCACTACACCATTGGCAAGGAGATTGTGGATTTGGTCTTAGACCGAGACTCATTGGAGTTGGCAATGCTCAAAATTTGGTCTTGCCAGGAGCCGTCATGGCGGGTCCTCTCTATACAACATGGTTTTCACTAAAAGCCTGCGAAGGTGTTCGAAATTTGCATGACCTGCGCACGGGCAATGTGTTGCAGAGCTCAGGAATCCGCAAGTTGGCCGACAACTGCACCGGATTGCAGGGATTCTGCGTGTACAATGCCGTCGGCGGCGGCACAGGATCCGGCCTGGGCTGCTTGATGTTGGAGCGCTTGTCCGTGGACTACGGCAAAAAGAGCAAAATCTCCTTCACAGTTTGGTCGTGTCCGCAGGTGGCAACTGCAGTGGTAGAACCCTACAACACAGTGTTGTGCGTTCATTCTCTGCTCGAGCACACGGATGTGACAATCATGTACGTGGCTGGGCAGACATCAGTGAGTGGAGACTAGCGACTTAGTAAGACCCATAGGTGAAGTGAAGCAAATTTGACGACGTGTTGCTTCTGGAGGTTGCATTGTGAAACATGTTGTTTGGAGCTGTATGGAGCAAGGACAACGAGGCGCTGTATGACATTTGTCGGAGGAACTTGGACATTGAGCGCCCGACCTACACGAATCTGAACCGACTCATCGCTCAGATCATCAGCTCGTTGACGGCGAGCTTGAGGTTCGACGGGGCTTTGAATGTGGACATCACGGAGTTCCAAACAAACCTTGCTCCTGGGTCAACGTTGGTTAACATCTTGCATGCGATCCCTGTACTATATTAATGGTCGTGGCAAAGATTAGTCTCCCAGGTTTAGGATTGACTTGGAGCAAGGTTCCTTACCCGCGAATCCACTTCATGCTCACCTCCTTCGCGCCCGTGATCTCCGCAGAAAAGGCATACCATGAACAGCTCTCTGTGGCTGAGATCACCATGTCCGTGTTCGAGCCTGCCTCCATGATGGTCACCCACTGTCAATCCATGTTGTTTTTTTTGTTTTTTTTTTTTTTTTTCCCCTGAGGTGTGCTTTGTCAGGTGTTCTCGTAGTTCAAGATGGTTGAAGTTTGAGATGTACACATTGTCGACAAGTGAGGTCAAGTGCGATCCTCGCCATGGCAAGTACATGGCTTGCTGCATGATGCAACTCGGCTGTCATCAGGTAACAACTCAGTTGCTTCTACTGTATTGATTCAATGTCTGCTTCTATCATGTCGCCTTTGTGTTGGCACCTGACTGTGTATGTAGAGTTGTGTGAACACCCGCGTGTGCTCCCAAGCTCCCAAGTGAGCTTGGCCACAAAGTTCTTGGCTTGATATGTTTGCCTGTTCATGTGATGCATACTGCAGTGCGGACTTGTGACAATGGTGCATCAGGTACCGAGGTGATGTTGTTCCAAAGGACGTGAACGCGGCGGTCGCCACCATCAAGACCAAGCGCACCATTCAGTTTGTGGACTGGTGCCCGACTGGCTTCAAGTGCGGCATCAACTACCAGCCTCCTACGGTTGTGCCTGGTGGTGATTTGGCCAAGGTTATGCGTGCCTGCTGTATGATCTCAAACAGCACGGCCATCGCCGAAGTCTTCTCCCGCATTGACCACAAGTTCGATCTGATGTACAGCAAGATCCTCGCCACACATTCAGAAGAGAGTTCACGCCGATTATGTTTGAAATAACATATGCAATACAGGTCAATTATGTTGGCATCATATCCTCACCTCCTGAGCTCATGGACTTTAATTTGTTTGAGGAGAACATGCTGATAGCAAACAACAAGTGCGGACTTTGTTGACCAGTCCACTCAGGAAGTTCTATGTGTGTGTGCGCGTGCGTTTCAATGTCTGTTGTGACAGCAGTGATGGACGATGCCCTCTGAAGCGTCCACATACTTTCTACTGAGGCATGGAGTGTTGCTGTAATGCCTGTTTCGTTCCTGCTACGTTTCTCGCTGCTCTCCAGTCATCTAGCACTTGGCGGGAAGGCCATGTTGGGGGCAAGCACAAAGTATCTTAGGCTTGTTGTTGCAGATCCTCTCAAGTGAGCTTTATGGGCAAACGCCCCCATCCAGAGCCTTCCAAAGAGCCTCACGGGTCGTTCATGTGTTCAAACGCGGGGTCAGAGAGCATACTCTAGAGCGGCACCTGTATTAACTGTATGGTCCCCTTGCTTCAGAGTCTGTTTGCAACGGGGGTGTTGAATTGAAGCGTGGTTTTAGATGGCAGATCCTGATTTGAGTTGCAGGGAAGTGGGGCAGAGTTGTTGGTTCGGCGGCGAAGGCGCGCCTTTGTCCACCACTACGTGGGGGAGGGCATGGAGGAGGGCGAGTTCTCGGAGGCCCGGGAAGATTTGGCGGCCCTGGAGAAGGACGCTGTGCGGCATCTACGTTTTTCTTTTTTGCTCGGTGAGGTTGTTTTTTCTTCCTTGGACATCGATACTGTGGATGGACAAAATCCATTTCGCACCAGTTGGAAACCATGGGAAACCACTGTTGGTTGGTATTTACAGGGGGAATCATCCCTCCAGAGCCTCTTAGGTGGTGCAGGATTCCGTCCATCCACAGTTTGGCTTTGTCCTGTTGTTTGGCAATTGGGGGTCTAGTGCATTTGCCACGAATCTGTCAAATGAAAAGTAAGGACTACGAGGAGGTTGGAATCGAGACGGCCGAAGGGGAGGGCGAAGAGGAAGGCACGGCATCGAACCTTTGATTCGCTCGGGTGCACCCCGCGACTGGACCCCGGAGATTTGAAGATTTGTTTTGGTTTGCATAGGGTTGACGAACAGGCGACTTGTAAAAAGACTCCTTTGAAACGCAGCAAAGAGCCAGGGTTCCAAAAGGTGATTGAACTCAGTTTTTGTGTTTATTTTCATGTCTGTGTTGTGTATGTGCGTGTGGTGCTTGCTTGCAGTGCCTACATATGGTCCCGGGCTCGGTCCCAGACCCTGGCCCCTTCACCCCCTGCATCCACACCTCGGCAAGCCCTGCGCCCAAACTAACCCTAAACTAGCCCTAAACCAACCCTAAACACACATCTTTAAACCAACACGTGACACGTTCTGAACACACTCTAAAGCAAGCCGGAACCAACGTAATCAACCCTAAACCAACCTTGGATTAAACCACCCCCTAAGCACATACCTTAAACCAACACTAAGCACACTCTGAATTACCCCGAAACTCACCTAAACCACCCCTGCACCAAGGATTAAACAACACACATCCTAAACCAACACTAAATACACTCTGTATAAACGAACCATAAACCTACCCTCAACCTACCTTAAACCAATCCTAAACACATACTTTCAACCAACACTAAACACTCTAAACCAACCCTAAACCATCCTAAACCACTACAACTAGATCAACCCTAAACCAAGTCTAAACCACTGCGACTCCACAACAGGGGGGGAAGGGGTGGTCTTAGACCAACCATAAACCAACCCTAAACCACACTCCAACCACACCACGGGGGGGGGGGGAGGACTGAGAACCATGGGGAGGGAAGGGGGGGGACTTGCGCACCCTTGACCATATATGATGCGGACACGATGCGTGAGCCTTCCCTCAGTAGGCTTCAAGAACCTTTCGGTGGAGAGCCTTGCCCATTGAAGCAACGTACCACATTCGTGTTTCCGGTGCCAGGCTACGGAGATGAGTTCTAGGCCGGCACTGAGCCCTTGGCCAATTTTGAAGTCCTGACACGTTTGGCCACAGGCCAGCGTATGGCGGGGCGTAAGTCCACTTTTGCTGGTCAATGCTTTTATGTTGTTTGTGTTGTGGGGTTTTGTTTTGTTAATAGAGCTTGCTTCGGCATGTTGCGAGCTGAAGGCGTCAAGGATTATTTGTGTGTTTACAACAACCATCAAGAGTGGAGCAGACGCAGCTTGCTTGCCATCCAGGAATCGAAAAACACTTTGAACCCAGATGGAGCTGCGATAACACATGCGAGCGCCAGAATTCGAGGAGGAGAAAGGGCCTTTGCTCGCTGCAAACCTTGCGTCGGCTGAGCACAGGGGCCAAAGAGGTGAAACTCAGCAAGGTTGCAGCCCACTAGAACGTCCCAATAAGCAGCGTTAAACCTAGTTCACTACTCACTTTGCTCTTGTCCACTGGCTCCTCCGCCAGTCGTACACCACTCCTTGAAGTCGGCGCGTCCAATATGCGTCCGAGGTGGGTTGATGTTGCGATGTTGACGCTCCGAGTTCAAGCCCCAACCAACCCGTTGGGCTACACTTGAACTCACACCCGCATGTTGGTGTTTCTCTCAGAGTGGGGAATGGCACTCACTCCCTGAGTTCCTATTTGGAAAACCGGTAGAATGGTTATCAAGCAAACCGGACTTCGGATTTCGGAGATCGGAACCCCGCGGCATTTGTAAGTAGAATTTAGGGACCCCGACCATGTCCAAGATCCCAGGTACTGTTCAAAGAGCAGTGGCTGGGGGGGTGCTGGAATGTGTGTCTTATTTTTCACCAAAGATTAATTTGTGCAACAGTGCCCAGATCACCAAAGAGGTGCAACCAAAACCGTCTTTAACCTTTTGGTTTGCCCTGATTTGGTCTATATTCGAAGGCTTCGCGACGAAGGATCAGCCCCAAGGCCCCCGATGTTTACCGACAGGGCAACTGGTACACATGGCCCCACAAAAAGATGCCCGGCTGAAGGCAGGTAAGGGCCGGTAGCCGGAAAGCCATGGTTTTGGGTAGCTGCAGGAAGGTACGGCTTAAATTGCTGGCCAGGCCCCAGACAAAATGGTTGATCACCGTTTTGGGGAACTTCCAGTTTAAGGTGGAACAGCGGGGTAAACCGCTGAACGACCTGCTTGTGTGCTGAAAGGATTGTGACTCAGTCCAGGGCCTTTGGGTGACTTCCTTGGGCGCTTGGCCCTCGCAGCCCAGGTGCCGGCTGCGTCAAAGCCCCTCCAAGCTCCCACCCAAACATTCCACCACTGCGGAGAATCCGGGCGCAAGGTGGTTTGGATTGGCAGCTTGCAGATTCCACCCCCCTGGTGCTTGGTGCCGCTCAATGGGAAACCCCCTTCACCACCAAACCACCGATTCGGCTCCAAACCACCCTTCTTGGGGGGAAGCTGATCTTTTCCTCTGTTGCCCAGTAAGTTGCTTCCTTTTTTCCCTTTTTGGGGCAAGGGTTCCCCTTGAAATTCAACCCACAAAACCAAGTTGATATCCACTGGGCATCTGATCTGTTCGGTAAAAGGATGCCGATTCTTCCCACTGAGCATCTGTGCAGGAAGAAGAAGGTGGCGGTCCAGATCGCCGCTGAGGCGCCCACGGTGGAGGAAGTGCCCACCTCCGCAGGAGGGATACGAGAGCGAGTTGCGCGCTCCGCCGCCCCAATGACCAAAGCGAGGCTTTCCAGCCATCGGGCGCCATCCGTTTCTTCAGGTTTTCAGCTTGGGTTTAGGGAGAATTAGTTTCCATTTCAATTTAGGTCCTCAGCAATTTAGTGGTAGTTTCCATTTCAATAAATTTAGGTTTTCTGCCTTTTGGGCTTGGTAGTTTCCATTTCAACCAAAAGTCTTTAGAGGATCTGTCACAGATCATCTGTGGGCAGGAATGCGGCATGCGTATTCAGTCCCCCTTTCTTTGTTCGCGCAATTCTTATTTCTTAATTTTCTAGGAGGGGGTCCACATCTGTTTAGGGTCCCGTTTTTGTACATGTCCCATGGTTTCTCTGGAAGGCTAAACACGACATCACATACAATCGGGGCGAGGGGGCGGGGGGGGGGGGGATCATGATTTTCAGCTAAGAGTTGGGATTGCGTGTGCGGTTTTTTTCTTTTTCCGGAAGGAGCAGGGCCTCATGTGGACGAGAATCTGCAACTTCCCTCGGAGCATGAAGAGTCCAGGCGTGATTTGGGGCGCAGAGTTGGACTGCTTGGGTGCCTGGTAGGTGAACCCCCCTCACGCTGGGGAAGCCAGAAAAAGGCTGTTCAACCAGGGGCGTTTGAACGAGTATAGACAAGGCCTTGCTCCCACCATGGAAAATTAATGCCCGTCGACTTGTTGTGCCCTCACACTCCCTCAGTTTCTGTACTTTGTACTTGTGCGAAGACCGGTTTGGGATGAAACAAAAGAACATGGGACTTGTTTGTTGAGCCCATCTCTGGAAAGGAGTTCAGCGAGTGCTCCAATGCGCCCCAGGACATCTCTACACTCTACCGGTGATAGTAACTAGGTCCCCCAGTAGTGCTCGTTTACCCCTTTTTGGGGGAGGGTTCCCCTACTAAAATAGACTACAGTAGGTAAAGTTCTTTCCGCTTGACCGTCATGGTCAAAACACCACAAGGTACATGGGTATGTGTCAGCGGTGGCATTCCTGTCAATGGTAGCATTCCTGTGTGAATAGTGGCCATCTCAGAAAGTGCTTTTCAAAAAAGCCTCACACCCATGTTAAGCGATAGACTGGCTATCAAAGTTCTTCAGACAGGATCCCCAGCATTGCCTGAAAGGAGCCAGGTTTCGGATCCCCTTCGTGCCCTAGGCCCCTTCTGGTTTCCTCGAACACGGCTTGAGTATAGCCAGCACGTCCCGGTCAGAGCTTGAATTGGAACGGGGAGTATCCTTCTTCATGGGTGGACTTGGTTTGACCAGGTCGCCGCTTGTGGATGCCATCCCAGTTTTGGGTAGTGCCTAGACACCTCCCGTTGGAAGCCCACCCTCAACTCACCCTAAACCCACCCTAAGCTTGCAGGATGCAATAACCCCAGCTGCTTTGCGATTTGTTCTAATGGAGGGCCCGTCCCCTTCAAGCCTGAACCGCACACATTCACTTGTGATGTAAGCAGGTGGGTTGTCACTTAGCGATCTTGGCAGGTCTGAAGCAACAGAGGTCGAAGATGCGAAGGAACCGGAAGGCCCGATGTTCATGGCGGTCGTGGATCGAACAGATTCAGTGGATTGAAACCACTCTCCAACAAGCATGCAAGTGGAAGAGAGGGGTTATGATGCATTTCAATTATCTCATTCCTACTCCAAAGGGCACATCATACATCTAAGCTGCAGAAGAGCGATGAGTTTCTGTGCCGCCAAACAAACCCTCCTGACTGGTGGCCCAAAGGGTTACAGTACCCCCTGCGTTGAACAAGCGACATGGGAGTCCTCAGGAAATGCATATGGCTGTGGCAACCAAAAAGCCGGAATTCCAAAATGGCTTGCCCTGGTAAGTGGAAACATGGACCAAAACCTGCGGTTTGCCCCTCCTGTTTAATTTTGAGCCACACCCATATTCTACCAGCCCAATGCCACGTTCCACGCACGGCGAAGCAGAGCATCACGTGCGGGAAACGTTTTTTGATTAGCGCGCCACGGTTGTTGCTCGCAAGAGAAGTATTAAATGGGCTACTGCGATTGGGCGCGTTTTTTAAGGAGCCATCGGAGTTCCAAATCCTTTGAGACGCAAATTTGAGCCCTTGAAATGGGCGTTCGGGTTTCCTTCCAAAGGCGAGTTGGACGTGTCTTTCTCTGATGGCGTTCCTTGGCTTTGAAGGGAAGAACCCAAGCACAGATCAAGCGAGTCGTTTGAGACACAACCGATTGGGGTCCCCGAAGTTTGCCGCACGCTGCTTTTGGAGCGGAGCCTTCTGGATCCCAACATCTCTGGCAACAGGTAACCCCCACCAATCCAAGCCACCAATTCGGGGAAGCTGGACATTTGTTTGACCTGTTGTGTATGGGCCTAAACAGGTTGGGGGTTCAAAGAACTTGGTCCGCAAGAACAGATCTTTTTTTTTTTTTTAAAGGAAGCCAGGAACACTTGATCCCCTTTGGTTTTCCTTTCACACCCCATGGGTACTTGTCCAGAAAAAAACACCTTCCAAGGTTCAACACTTTTTGACCATCCTTTTGGGCTCAACAAACAGTTGGTTATGAGGTTCTCCGGAGCCCAGCTACATGGGCTCTCCTGAGTTTCTGGGCTTGAGTCCCTTGGGCTACCAGTTTGGTTCCCAGACTTGGCCAACGCGTTCGGAGAGTGGGGGTTACCCTGCGCAACAGCCACTCGCAGGTGAGGAGCCGACACAAGAGACGCCCGCGCCGGTGCCGGCGTGCGGCGCTTGGCGCAAAGTCTCCCCAGCCTCACAGGGAAACCCAAACCAGGATGGATGTGTGTGTGTGTGTGCGTGTGTGAGTGCGTGTCGGTGTGTATGTTTGTGTATGTGTGAATGTGTGTGTGTGTGTTTGCGGTTTGATGGTACTTACCCTTTTTGGGTTGGTTAGGGAAGCCAACAGCACAGCCTTTTTTTTGGCAGGGGTGGGTGAATTTCAATGTGGAATCACCTCGAAAGTGGTCGGACATGACTTCCCGCAGAATGATGTCAGCTGTCCACCCAATGGTCCGAGACCCATTAAAGTGCATAGCCATTTCCGGCTTGGAAAGTCGGGCAATTTCCTCAGGTTTTTGACCTTCGATTTTGGACTTCCGTTTTGGTTGGCGAAGCCTTCATAGAACAAGTTGGGGCACTTTCGATCCCCCGTACTCGGGTGGTCAACCAACGTCAGGTAAGTGGGTCAAAACCATGGTTGTAAGGGGACGATCCACCAAGTTACACCAGCTAATGCCACAATATAGTTATAACAACAACTTCCTGATGTTGGTCGACCATAGTTGAAGTAACCTACTTCCCTGACGTTTGACCAAAGTCGAATCCTTGGGACCCATCCGTTTCGTCCGATCCCTCCGATGCGTCCGCTCCAATACAACTTGAGGCCACTTCCAGAGGTCCGGCAGAGCGCGGCCGGGCACTGGGCATGGCTTCGGAGTGGCAGCGGGTCGTTGGGGCGGGGAATTGGGAAATCCCGCGGTCTTTCTAGTCCAGGTCCCCCAGCTAGGCAGCTTGGTGCCCTTTCTCACCTGTTTTTTGGGTGGGAGGGTTCCCCTACTAAAATAGACTACAGAAAAAAGGGCACCCTTATTCCAACCTCTCTACTGGAGGACCTAGTAGTTGAAGCCCCCAAAACAGGTGGCCTACAACTCACTCCCTGAGTTCCATGTGGGTGTTAAAAATGATGTTTGGAGTTGTTCTGACCAATCAACTCACGAAGTGAGAAGACTCTAGTTGTCGTTGAAAACATTACCAAAACCTCCAAAAAGACGCACTCATATATACTTGTACTATTTTTGTGGCAGGCAATATTTTTTTTTTGTTGGCCAATCCACCCAGGAAGTAAGATTTAGTGACATAACCCTTTCACCCAAAACCAACAGAATAGGAGAACTGCCTCTCTGGCTCTGTGGGGTTCGTTTCTGGGAGGACAACAGGGGGACTACTCACGTTTTCCATTTGTTCGCACGTGGGGAGGGTACTTTCCAAATGAGCTAGCTACCCTCCCGCCAACAAACATGAAGGAGAACACATTGGCTTGATGTCCTGGGGGGTTTCCTCAACAAGGGGGCCAATATGTTGGTTTGCCTTTAGGGCACACACCTGTTCGGGACACTTCTATGTTTGATGGTTCCTCGGTCAACTGCTCAGGTGACAACCCCTAGCCGCAAGCCGAAACGAGGCGCGGTGCGCGAATGGCGGCGGGCGAAGCTTCTGGCAAACGCCGCCAAGCCTTACATACCAAACAGAAGAACTTGGATGCTTGACCTGATTAGTCAGTGGTACGGTGGCAGTTGCCGTTCTTATAGCACTTCATTGTTCTTGGCTTGTTAAACTTTAGTATCCTGTTGGTTTCACAGAGAATCTATCGCAGGAACTCACTGAACATTTTATGATATTTTTGTCCAGGGGACTTGAGCGGCTGGAAATGTCAAATGCGGCGATTCTGACGGAAACCCACCAGGGTCTGTTTTTTGTGGGGTCCCTGTTTGGGGCTTGGCTCAAAGGGAAACCACCGCCATGTTTGGGGGGCCAACCTTAAAGGCACGCCCGCCAGTCCATTGATCATCTTGGGGAAAATCTCGGTTTGCCCTGGGATGCCCTGCGGGTTGGGCCGGGTGAACCGCGAGGTGGCTCACGAAAGCCTCGGAGCTACGAGCAAAGGAACACTCCTTCGGACTCCTTCGGTTTCATCCATGCTCCAGCCGCTGTTTGTGTTTGTCTTTTGTGTTTGTTGTCTGTGTCTTTGTGGTTGTGTGTTTGGGGTTGTCTTTGTTTTCCTGTGTTTGTGTGTGTTTTTTGTATTTGCGTGTTTGGGTGTTTCTGTGTTTCTGTGTTTCTGTGATTGTGTGCTTGCATGTTTGCGAGTTTGCATGTTTCTGTGTTCCTGTGTTTGTGCAATTGTGTGCTTGTATTTTGTGCGTTTGCGCGTTTGCATACTTGCATGTTTGCATGTTTGCCTGCTTGTGTGATTGTGTGTTCAGGTGGTTGTGTGTTTGTGCGTGTGTGTGTGTGTGGGTGGGTGCGTGCGTGCGTGCGTGCGTGGGTGGGTGGGTGGGTATGTTTGTGTTTGTGTTTGTGCTTGTGTTTGTGTTCGTGTTTGTGCTTGTGTTTGTGTTTGTGTATGTGTGTGTGTGTGTTTGTGCGTGTGTGCGTTTGTGTGTTTGTGTGGTTGTGTGTGTGTGTCTTTATGTTTTTGTGTCTTTGTGTCTTTGTGTGTTTGTGTTGTTGTGTCTTTGTGTGTTTGTGGGCTTGTGTGTTTGTGTGCTTGTGTCTGTGTGTTTGCGGTTGTGTGTGTGGTTGTGCTGGCGGTGGTGGTGGTGGTGGTGGTGGTCGTGGTCGTGGTCGTGGTTGTCGTTGTTGTTGTGGTTGTCGTTGTGGTCGTTGTTGTGGTTGGGAATGTGGTTGTGTTTGATTGTTTGTGTTTGCGATTGTGTGTGTGTGTGTGTGTTTGTCTTTGTGTTGTGTGTTGGCGGGTTTGTTTGTTCTTTCTTCTTATTTGTTTTGTGTGTTGTTGTTGTTGTTGTTTTGGGGGGACTTTTTTGGTTGAGCACTTTACTCATAATTACGTTTTGTTTGTTTTGGGCGGACTAAACGACTTGGCTTTGGAAGGCAATATTTTAGTCCTGTCCGGGTCATGAAAATCGGATTGGCCAACAGTCCATTTGGACCAGCCCAGAAAGTGAAGAACAAGTTGAACTTCCTGTGCACAGCATTCAGTTTTGTTCTATTACAAGTGATTTTGGCTAAGCTTGCTCGTGCAGGCTGTTTGCTCGTTTTTTCGGACCCACGACCTTGATATCGAGGCCAGGATGAACAAGCCCTTGCTGGAACAGACTGGGTCGTTCCGTTTAGGAACTTTTGACAAACCTACAGATGACTCCACCGGTTGGACGATTTTCCGGAGTTCAAGTTTCCCCTTTGCTACCTGACAGTCTGACTCCAAATAAATTAGAAATCAATTATGCAGGTTCACGTTCCGCAAATCAAGTGTCCCTTTGCCACCTTCTGACTAACAAAAAATCCATCGATCGAGTGGTTTCGCAACTTCCCGAGTTCCGAGCACTGGGCAGCACGAAGGATTTGCCCTTCGGTTCTCTCAGGTGATGTTTGTCTCACGTGAGAACCACATTCCAATTGGGGAGCTGGGATTTGTTCGGCAGTTTGCTGCCAGTTCGTTGTTGGCTTCGCCCAAAAAGACGATATCCCTATCCCATATTTGTGCCAGGGAAGAACAAAAACAAGACCCGTTTACTGGGGGTTAAAGGACGGTCATCTACTTGGTAGTCAAGATCCTTAGTAGCCATTATAATGATTATCATTCAGTGTTCAGGGAACCATGACCATAGGCCAAGCAAACGGACTGTTGACTCTGGTACAAATGCGTGTGGCTCAAAAAAAATGAGAGCTAAACCGACAACATTTAGTCTTTGGTTTCCATTTATTTCAAGGTGCCATGTTGGGCTCCATGTTTTGGAGCCACGGCCATTGTGAGGGCATTCCCTCGAAGCGTGCGTCAGGCTTTTGCGGCTGCCTGCGCGCCAGTCCGGTGGAGTCGGATGAAGAATCAGAGGCGTCCAGTGGATTTCGCGTGCCAGTGGTGGGCATCCAGAAGAACTGTATGAACATCAGCAGGCCTTTCGGGTTCATTTGCCCCAAGGGGTATGTACAAGCATTTCTGGACAGAACGCAGAGATCTTACTCAAGTTCAGCTTTGGAGAAAATCCCGCGCCAGTTGGGAATGGAAGCCTATGAATGAAATGAAGCACCTGCCAATACAGGATAATGTTGGCACTTGATTAATAAAGGCCCCCCCCCCCCCTGAACAATGGAGGCGCCAAAATAAAGGGGGCGCACTTTTGGGACGTCCAAACAATGCAGAATTTTGGGGCCCAATTCTACTTTAGTATTGCAGCCACTTCCTTTTTGCAATCCTACTGTAGTATTGCAGCCACTTCCTTTTTGCAATTCTACTTTAGTATTGCAGCCACTTCCTTTTTGCAATTCTACTTTAGTATTGCAACCACTTCCTTTTTGCAATTCTACTTTAGTATTGCAGCCACTTCCTTTTTGCAATCCTACTTTAGTATTGCAGCCACTTCCTTTTTGCAATTCTACTTTAGTATTGCAACCACTTTTTCCTGAGCATACTTTTTGGAATACTACTTTAGTATTGCAACCAATTGAAAGGGGAATGAATTTAAGCAAGTGGGCCACCAATTGAAAGGGGAATGCTTTTGAGTAAGGCAACTGATAACTTGTTTTCTGGGAGGGGGGGCTGGGGGCTTGCCACTATTGTGGTCCCCTAAAACAATCACATTATTGTGGTTCAGTGGGGTCTGTGAGTGGTACCCTTGTCCTGATTATTTTTTTTGCATGTGTTTTGTTTAAACATTAATAAAGAGTTTGCAGTTTCAGGGCTGGGGATGGTTTTCAAATCTCAGAGGTTTCAGCTGGCTTTGGGTTCTGTGGTTGAGCAACCAATTGAAAGCGGAATGCTTTTAAGCAAGTGGGCCACCAATTGAAAGGGGATGCTTTTAAGCAAGTGGGCCACCAATTGAAAGGGGAATGCTTTTGAGTAAGGCAACTGATAACTTGTTTTCTGGGAGGGGGGGCTGGGGGCTTGCCACTATTGTGGTCCCCTAAAACAATCACATTATTGTGGTTCAGTGGGGTCTGTGAGGGGTACCCTTGTCCTGATTATTTTTTTTGCATGTGTTTTGTTTAAACACGGTTTAATAAAGAGTTTGCAGTTTCAGGGCTGGGGATGGTTTTCAAATCTCAGAGGTTTCAGCTGGCTTTGGGTTCTGTGGTTGAGCAACCAATTGAAAGCGGAATGCTTTTAAGCAAGTGGGCCACCAATTGAAAGGGGATGCTTTTAAGCAAGTGGGCCACCAATTGAAAGGGGAATGCTGTTGAGTAAAGCAACTGATAGCTTATTTTGTGGGAGGGGGGGCTGGGGGCTTGCTATTGTGGTCCCCTAAACCAATCACATTATTGTGGTTCAGTGGGGTCTGTGAGGGGTACCCTTGTCCTGATTGTTTTTTTGGTGCATTTTGTTTAAAACACGGTTTAATAAAGAGTTTGCAGTTTCAGGGCTGGGGATGGTTTTCAAATTTCAAAGGTTTCAGCTGGCTTTGGGTTCTGTGGTTGAGCAACCAATTAAAAGGGGAATGCTTTTAAGCAAGTGGGCCACCAATTGAAAGGGGATGCTTTTAATCAAGTGGGCCACCAATTGAACGGGGAATGCTTTTGAGTAAAGCAACTAATAGTCTATTTTCTGGGAGGGGGGATGGTTTTTTGAATTAACATGTCTTTGTGGAGTTTTTTTGAATTTCCCCCCCGACCGAAAAACACTTTCTATTATTCTGGTCCCCTTAAACAATGGGTGCGAACCAGAATTCTGAAAAACACTTTCTATTATTCCAGTACCCTTTACTAATCAAGTGCCAACATTAGCCACAACCCAGGCCTCGCTAGCTTTCGGAAGCATCAGGATGCCTGACATTGGGTTTTGCATTGGGCTTAAGTAGAAATCATCCAGTGTCCAGTGCTGTCTGTGTGTTTGGCTTGTTTTTGGTTTGGAGGGATGCATCCGCGATTCGCACAGGGGCTTCTCTTTGGCTGCCGGCCAAAAAAGGAGACATCAAACGTGGGTTGATAGGGACTGTCCCGTTGACTGGGCTCTTTGACTAAGTTCTTCTAGGGCTTGGAAATGGACATGCAAAGCCCTTCAGCCTCCTGTCTTCCAGGAAGGGAGAAGGGGGGCACTTAGTCAAGGTGCAATGAGGGTTCTTTGGCTTCCGGTTCCTGTGGTTGCCCAGCAAGGCGAACCCTCAGGACTGGACAAAGTATCGAGACCTGAAACTATGTTTGCGACCGTTGCCCATGAAGGCTTCTTTCCAGGGAATGCCAATTGTTTTCTTATTTCAGGTTAAGTGACTCTTAGGCTTGTCGTGCTTTGCCCTAACGTTTCCAGGGGTGCATCTCCAGTCGGGTGGGGTTACCCTTTTTCAGGCTTGGACCTGGAAGCTTTGGGTGAGGCAGCGTTGGCAAATTCAGCGTCCGCACATTTCCCTTCAAGACACGGGCAGGAGGCGACTTTGCTGCCTGCCAGCGAACCCGAGATGCTTCTTGCTCTGAATCGCTGGAGTGTCGAAAGGGGACAACTCTGAACCGTTCAAAAATAATTTTAATTCAACATCAACTGGGTGTTTCTAGGGGACCCCTAAAATATGGCCAGTGTCCCTTGGTTTCCCTCTTAAAGCCATCCAAGCGGGGCGTGGCTTTCTTAGGCTGCTGAACTTGCAGCCAGTGGTCCAACTCGTTTTGACCCATGGGCGTGTCTCAACCTGAGCCCCCGGAAAGAAAATGACCCCTTCCAAAGTTCATGCTGGGTTCCCCCTTAAAAGCATGCACAACCATGGTGCGCTCAAGAAAGATGGAGACAGCCACGTTCAAGTTGGATTTCTCCAAATCGAAGGGTTCAACCGTTCTCGGGAATAGTCAGACTCCTTTGAAATGGGGCCAGTTTTTGTTCAGGTATTTGGAGGAAACAGAGACTGGGTTATTCGCGACACGCCGAATAATGTTCCCGCAGGTTACCGACGATTTGGTGTCCTTTGTAGTCGGTTCCCAATTCGGATTTCTGCATTTGGATTGATCACCTCCCGATTCCAACAGCTCAGCTATAGTTGGGGAGAGCCCAGTTCGCCCCCGAAATGTTTGCCTTTTGATGTAGGGATGGTGAGGACTGGTATAGATGTTTTATAGTCATGTTGGTAGAACCCAAAGTCAATGGGCTTGGAGGATCAACAACAGCATTTGGCTTCTTCAAGACTTTGTTTAGACTCAGGAGCCTCATTATCGTTGTTTGATAGAATATGGGCATCAAGTGCCTTAAACATCTTTTTCGTTGTTTAGTGGCGTCAGTTTCCCCACAGGCGGTTGAAACTCATACACTCACCGAGTGGTAGCATATTCGGCAAATGATCACAAGTTCCCCTGTACGGTCAAAGGAGCATGAAGGCTTTGTGAATTGCAGAGATGTCCAAAGCGACAGGACCTGATCTGACCTGCTGGTTTTCCCATGGGTCATGGCCCGAAAGGCTCACCTTTTATTTCTGGGTCCTTTGGGTTGAGAAGAGGTATGGAGGAGGTACCCGTACAGAGACCCAAGAACTCACTCGCCGACCAACAGTCGGGGGTGTGTCTTTTGGAGGCTACGGGCTTTTTCCCTTTGCAGATGGCGTTGTTTTTTGAGCAAAGCCACCAGCGGTCCCTTTGCAGATGGCGTGTTTTTTGAGGAAGGCCACCGGAAATCTTCAAGTTCTGGGTGTCCCGACTTCTTTGACACCATGGCCCGAGGCCAAAGCCGATCTCGGAGATGAGCACCATCACCGTGGTCACGCCGCAGGCTGATCGCTCGCTTGTAGGTTCAGTTCGGATGCCACTCTTTCGAAGCTTTCAGTTCGGGTTCCCCACAAGAAGGAGCAACCCCACAAAGGGTTCCATTAATCTATTCCCCCTAAGAATAAATACCGCCCCGAATACATAGCCTGCTGGTGCTTAGCAGGGAATTCAGCTTGGGGTTGGGAAAGCTTGGGATCTTCAAGAAACCCACGATGCTCAGAGGTCATTCCCTCGCTGGCTCGCGCGTAGGAGCGCGCCTCTGACACCTCCAGCCACGCTGGTCCGTGGCCCCATCCGCGCGAAATCTGGTTTGTCTCACATCAGCTGGTCGGGGAAAGACAGAAGACCATAGGTGTCCTTTTTAGGTTAGAAATAGATGGGTGCCACTGGTTTTGATTGGCTTTGACCCTCCAACCTGCTCCCGCATGTGCGATGGAATGTAGATTCCCTGGTGGAACCCCCTTCAGGAATGGGGGCTGCACCCAAACCACCGGGAAGAATTTTGGTGACCTTACCTCAAGCGACATGTCTTGAGGTTTGGAAACCTGTATCGGATTCTGATTAAGTCCTTGGGGAACCAAGGGACAAGGCAGTCCATTGTTCTGCTTAAAATTAAGTTTCAGGGATACCTGACTCGACTTGATGCTCCATTTACCACAGGGAAATCGATATTTTTTGTCCAAAAGGTCACCTATGAGGATAGTCTTTCATTTCTTAAGTGCTTATTGACTAAGGGACAATAGACACCTCCTTTAGCCTCACACCAACATGGGGGTCATTACGAACCTCCGTTACCCGAAAAACATGGAAGGGCAGAGATGGTTTTGGACTCACAAGTTGAACCTCACAGCCTACCCTCCGAATCCCCAAGGTGCGTTCTGAAAAAATATGTGGCTCATTGAGGGACATGGGGTTCGCATGTTTTCCCCAAGGCTCATGACCCTCTCGAATGCAGGCCCCATTGGCCCGACCAAATGAAGAACGCGGACCAATTCCTCAGTTGAAAACAACAGACCTTGAGGGCCAAAAAAAAGCAGTGGACTTACTAATTGTCCCACGACTGGGGGACTTACTAATTTTGCCATGTCCTTTTGGGGAAACAAGTAATTCTGATCGTGTCTCATATCCTTTTGCTAGGAGTCCGCAGTTGGCAGAGCCAGTATGAGCCAGTGCTTTTCTGGCAAATCAGCCGAATGGGCCCCATTTGCCTCGTCCGGCTTCTTTGGGAATCTTAACTTTGGTTGGTTAATTCTGTTTTATTTGAACTTGTTGGCAAGAACATGTTTACGCCACACTTAAAATTAACACCCACTTTTCAAGAGCATTGAACATTCATGTTGCCATCTGAAAGTACTGAACATCGAATAACATGGCCAGCAACACGTGCTCCACAGCAGTTTCTTTGGAGCCCCCTGCCCCCTCAAATGCTCGCCTCAGGGATGAAATTGGGTGGCCAGCTGCTTTCTTGGATTCTGTCTGGAATGGAGAGCTCTCCGATTCGGGGGCAGACTTCCGTTGATGGTTCCATTTTCCTCGTGAAGGATCCAAAAGGTTTGTTTTTTTGGCCCCCCTATCACGGATTCCTGCAACCGAGGTGTAAGCCCTCAGAAGGAGACACCCACGACACCAGCGGCGGTTCCAAAACCGGAGGCTTGGGTCAAGTGCGATGAACCCTAAGCGGAACAACGGCTACACCCTTATGAATCAACTTAGGGGGGTGAGGGGCGTGAGGAAGCCCTACTAAAAGGGGGCACCGGGACCCCGATAAGAACCACACCGGGCTTTCATTTGCTTGAGTCCCCTGACAAAAGAATAGTATAAATCCACTCGCGACTGACTTACTACAAAAAGCGACAGGGTTTGCTGGATTGGCTTAAAAGACAGTCTTTACTTTAACTCCATTGGCCCACGATGAATTCTGACTATGATTGATGTGCCTTCAGCCTTGGTTGAGCTTTGAGTTGGACCCTCTGAAAAATGTATGCTTGGAAACCCATGTCTGCGGGGTCAAAAAGGGTGTCAAGGCAAATCCTGCGTGGTCTGTTGCCCGGATGCCGGGCTTCCGCAATTGAGCAGCTACCAATATTGCCACTTCGTCATGTTATGTCTTCTGTCTTCTGTTGATTTGGAGAAGACCTGGGACGTTTCCCGTGTCAATTTGGGGTTGGGTGCTGGCGCAAAATGATCCAGACAACGATGATTCCTTTTAGTGGGCAAGGTCTGCCTCCAATTCAATTGGGTGGACTTTCTCTTCCGTTGCCCTTGCACACACCCAAAAAGGGTACCCTCCACTGAGAGAATGTTATGTTCGAAGCAAGCGTGATAAATTCAGACCGGTCAACAAACCCCTGACGTGTCAGCCAGTCCACCACAGATTGACAAGGCAAGGCTCAGCCTGGTGTTCTGTGCTTTGTTTAACTTTCAATCAGTCTCTATGTAAGATTGGTTGGCTGTTGTTTCAAGATGTAGCTGTGTTCACTTCCATGAATTCCTGCTATTGCAATGATGGTGGCTTTATTACGTGTGATCAGGTCGGCCCAACCCCCAACCCGGGTACAGGCATATTATGGCCTTTGTCATCAGTGATACTTGACTTGCGCGGCTTTGGCTGCAGGATTTGTGCTCGAGGCGGCCACATCACGCGGCGTGTTTCCAGCACTTTCCGTTTGTCTTCAGCTTTCAATTCACCTAGCCATGCGCGAGGCGATCTGCATTCACATCGGCCAGGAGCTTTGGCAGAGGGTTGAGTACTGCTTTGTTGACCATTTTTCAGTCTGACGCCACGTGCGGTGCATGTCGCATCCCCTGGGTATAATAGTGTGTTTTTGTTTTCAGGGTGCGTTGTCACCGGCCTGCAAGAGTTTGTATGCTCTGGCGGGGTTCAACCCCCAAAAGTCCTGATCCTTGATTTATAAAAAGAAAGCTACAAATTAGCTGCAAGGATTTTATATTCAAGTATTCCCTATATAGTTGGTGGTTTGGGGAGGTTTGCGAAGTTGAACTCCTGGACTTTGTGGAGGGCACATTGGAAACTGCACCGGAAGACCTCCACAGTACAGTGCCCCAAACCTTTTTTGTCGGGGGCAGCTAGGAGTTGATCTCCGGTTTCGCCTTCAACCCCTTTGCTTTGTGCTTTTGAACACCAGCGTGGCCCAGGGCGGCGTCCAGATTGGCAATGCTTGCTGGGAGCTCTTCTGCTTGGAGCATGGCATCCAACCTGATGGTCAGATGCCTTCGGACAAGACGATCGGAGGGGGGGATGACGCAGCAAGCCTGAGATTCGCTTTTTTGTTTGGTGCTGGGCCTCAATGGGTCTCACCGCAAGTTCCAAAACGCGAAGTAGGATTGCTAAATGTTCCAAGGAGTGAGCAGTCGATACACCGTTCATGAGGCACCCTCACTCACCTAGCTGCAACTCTACTGTGTCTAAGCAACATTGTCATTGGAGCACGCTATATACATACATTGCGCATGTCAAGTTGTTACATGTCCTGCGACTTGCGGAGGGTACATGTGTGTTGCCCGTTGAAGGCCGTCCATTGGTCGGGAAAATGCTGTTATGGGACAAGTTGCCTTTCCCAGGGCATTTGGGAGAAACACGCCTTCCAGGTGTCGCTGTTTACAGGCATGCACTCTCCCGCTTTGCTTTGCCAGATCCAGCCATACTATGTGCTCTTCCGATTCATCTGAGCTGTTCAATCATCCGAATCTACACCAAGGACCTAATTCATTTGAAATTATGAAACCTTCCACCGACCCTTCCGCGGCGCTTCTGCCGGCTGCAGGGGTACCTTCCGCGAAGCGTTTTGTTGGAACAATTGCTGCCGCGAGCTTCCGCTGACATGAGTTTACAGCATTAATAGGCATTTCGCTTCCGATTCCACAGTTTTGGCATAGTTTTTGAGCCTGCTGCTTGCGCGTTTGCTTGCTTACTGCTTCCTTACTTGCTTGCTCCCTTGCTGCCGAGAGTGGAACGTCTGGGCATTTGGTCGAGTTGGCGGCCTACAAAAGGGCAACTGGTGGGAAAGGTCGGGCGCCGCTTCCGCCTGCCTTCCGCGAAGCTTCTGCGGCGCTTCCGCGAAACTCCGCGTTTGGGATTCTGCTTTTTGGGTTCGCCACGACTGCCCGAAACACGTGCGCAAACCTCTCTCTTTCTCACATGCACGCACCCGCACGCGCACACATACACAGGCTGAACTCAAGGCTGGTTGTAAGAAGGACAGAACACTTCCTAGAACTCCCTGGGAAGCCTCACCTTGCATCACAACTTCTAAGCAGACCCTAGTTCGCAACCCGAATGGGCACACAATCCACTCAAAACAAATCTGCTTCATCGTTGGCTCCTTTGTCATTTGCTTGCTGCCCTAAGCAGCACAAGCAGACATGCTCCGTAAACCCTTCCGCGAGCTTCCGCGGAAAAGCCCTTCCGCAAAAGGTTTCTTGTATTTTCGCATGTTCCCGCGAAAGTTTTGCGTAAGGGTGGTTTGCTAAAAGGAAAAAGCAATGATGAGCTATGTGCGTTTGCCGGCAGTGCGTGCAGAAGGAGCACGGACTAAAGTTGTCCGGACGAAAGCGCAGCCAGCCGGATTTTCGGTACTGTTTGGCGTACGTTCCGCGAAAGTTTTGCGAACGTCGATGAAAGTTTCGCGAACGTCGATGTACCTCCCCACCAGTTTCCGGACATGCGTGGCCAACGGGTCCCCTCCTGTGCTGCTGTGGCTTTCGAGCTGGGGCTGCGAAAGTGCACTTCGTGTACTGCTTTGGAACTGAAAACTTGCGACTTTCGTTTTCGAGCTGGGACTGCGGAATTGCACTTCGTACTACTTTTGTGGTAGCCTTGCGAATGCTCCGCTCCGGAGGTTGCGAAAGTTTGTTTTTAGTGAAGATGGGTTTCAGACAACTGCCATATGGCCCACCAGAAGTTAGGAGCCGTTCAGGCTACTATTTTGAAAGGCCATCCCCGCGCAAAATGGCTGAAAAAGGCAGATGAAGAAACGCTTGCAGTCAGAAGGGTGTACCTTTTAGCCTTATAAGTTTTAAACTTGGCGCATTGATTCATTGATTCTGGACCTCAGGTATGTCTTGTGGAAACCATATGGTCGGTTTGCAGGATCTTTGTGATCCTGCCTTGCTTGCGAAGCCAAACCGCGTTCTCAGGCATTTAACACTTTCTTCAGCGAGACTGGAGCGGGCAAGCACGTGCCCCGTTGTGTGATGGTCGACCTCGAGCCGACGGTCGTTGACGAAGTGCGCACGGGCACCTATCGTCAGCTTTTCCACCCGGAGCAGCTCATTTCAGGCAAAGAAGATGCCGCGAACAACTTTGCACCAAAGCCAAACTTAGTTCTTCGCTGTCGCTTTCGAATCTGTTGGTGTCATGTAACGCACTGTTCCAAAATGCAAAACTGGTGTGTGTGTGTGTGTGCAGCAAAAGTTTTGCTCACGTTGAGGCACGCGGGCACTACACCATCGGCAAGGAGATTGTGGACTTGGTTTTGGATCGATGCCAAGCAGCGTTGGCAAGACTTGCAAGTTCACAGTTGATGTTGTTGCGAGTGTGTTTGAGAGGCTTGCGCAACCCAGGAATCCGCAAGTTGGCCGACAATTGCACCGGATTGCAGGGCTTCTGCGTGTACAACGCCGTCGGCGGCGGCACAGGATCCGGCCTGGGCTGCTTGATGTTGGAGCGCTTGTCCGTGGACTACGGCAAAAAGAGCAAAATCTCCTTCACAGTTTGGTCGTGTCCGCAGGTGGCAACTGCAGTGGTAGAACCCTACAACACAGTGTTGTGCGTTCATTCTTTGCTCGAGCACACGGACGTGACAATCATGTACGTGCTTGGGCAACAATCACTGAATGTGCAATGCTGCGATCAGGTTTGTTTGTTTGTTTGTTTGTTTGTTTGTGTGTGTGTTTGTGCGTGTGTATTTTGATTGTGTATGTGGATATGTGTGTGTGGGTGTGTGACTGTTTGTGTTTGTTTGTGTGTGTTCGTGTTCATGTTTGTGTTCGTGTTCGTGTTCGTGTTCATGTTTGTGTTCGTGTTCGTGTTCGTGTTTGCGTTCGTGTTTGCGTTTGCGTTTGCGTTTGTGTGTGTGTGGCGTGTGTGTGTGTGTGTGAATGCGCGTGTTATATAATTGGAAGTTTGCAGTCGTGCATTTGTTTGTGATTGTGCGTGCGCGGGCTTGTGATAAGTCCCCAGCTGAAAGCTATGGGTCTCTGCCCAGAGAAGCTTTGGAGTGATTTGGAGCAGCGCCGGGTTCAGGTCTCGAGGTTCCGTGGAGTATGGAGGGGTTGCTCATGGTCAGTTGGGTTCTTGGGGTTGCTGTTGGGGATATCACCAGGGCTTGTGCTTTTGCTGCTTGCAGCAGCGTTGGTGTGAGCGATTGCGGATGTGAGGTTTGCCTGCGAATGTGCTCGGGTGTGCAGGCAGAATTGTGCAAATGTGGGTACATGTGGCGGGTTTGTGTGAGTGTGGATGTGGACGTGGATGTGTTTGGAGCTGTTTGAACCACCAAGGACAATGAGGCGTTGTACGACATTTGTCGCAGGAACCTGGACATTGAGCGCCCGACCTACACGAATCTCAACAGGCTGATCGCTCAGATCATCAGCTCCTTGACGGCGAGCCTGAGGTTTGATGGGGCTTTGAATGTGGACATCACGGAATTCCAAACAAATCTTGTCCCTTACCCGCGAATCCACTTCATGCTCACCTCCTTCGCACCCGTGATCTCCGCAGAGAAGGCATACCATGAGCAGCTCTCTGTGGCTGAGATCACCATGTCCGTGTTTGAGCCTGCCTCGATGATGGTCCCTCGGTTTTTCAATGTTAACCTTTTTCTCTGTTTGTTCCCAGTTGTGTGGCTTAAGATTTGTCGTAGCCAGACAGGGTCTAGCTTCCTTCATCCAGCCTTTGGGCGACACGCGAGGTCAAGTGCGATCCTCGCCACGGCAAGTACATGGCTTGCTGCATGATGTGTCTTGGCCAGGCCTCAAGCAAGTTAGTTTGAGCCATGCTATGTGCCATGCTATGTGCACTTGCATCATTTTCTGTTTGATTGCATATCGCAGGCATCGCTTGCGCTGCGCGCATTCGCATGTGAAATGTGTGTGTGTGTGTGGTTGTGTGGTTGTGTGGTTGTGTGTTTGCGTGTTTGTGTGTTTGTGTGTTGGCGTGTTTGCGTGTTTGTGTGTTTGTGGGTTTGTGGGTTTGTGTGTTTGTGTGTTTGTGTGTTTGTGTGTTTGTGTGTTTGTGTGTTTGTGTGTCCGTGTGTCCGTGTGTCCGTGTGTGTGTGCGTGCGCCGCTGAACTACGACCGAGGTACCGTGGAGATGTTGTACCAAAGGACGTGAACGCGGCGGTTGCCACCATCAAGACCAAGCGCACCATCCAGTTTGTGGACTGGTGCCCCACTGGCTTCAAGTGTGGCATCAACTACCAACCGCCCACGGTGGTGCCTGGTGGTGATTTGGCCAAGGTCATGCGTGCGTGCTGCATGATTTCCAACAGCACGGCCATCGCCGAAGTCTTCTCCCGCATCGACCACAAGTTCGATCTGATGTACAGCAAGATCCTTGCCACGAAATTAGAGTTATTGTAACATAACATATAACTGAATATGCGTCATGTGCAATTTTGAAGGCGTGTTGTAACAGCTGTGATGCTGCATATTTGCACATTTTACTTGCCTTGTTCATCATTTATATAAGATTAGTCTTAAAGGTTAGATCATATTTTTGTTTTAGGCTCCCTTATCGGTGTTGCAGGGTGATATCGCTTTTTTGGTGGTCCCCTGCAATTAATTGCGATAGCGAAGATGTGCCCTTTAATTGTACCCTTTTCGAGGTTTCTTATCTGAATAAGGGTTTCCCTTATTTGGAGACCCCATTCAGCTGCTCATGTGACGCACAGGCTTTGGCCCACGCCCCTTTTGCAGGCACTACTCCCGAGTTAACATGGAACCCGGAGCATTGAGCCCCAAAATTGGGTCCTTCCATGAGTTTGGGGTTCAGTGATCACAGAAAATTTGCCCTAGATAGTTAGGTTCTGGGACCGTTCACCAACTTTCCCTGTTTTCAGGCGAGCGACCCAGAAACCCGAACGGGATTCTCTGGGGTGCCAGATAGTGGGAGCAAAGCGCGTCACGGAGCCAAGCGACGGAGTCGGAGTGCTGCGAACGCTTGTTTGCAAACGTCATAGGGGTAGGTTCAGCAGGCTTTGGATGATGTGAGTTTGAGCTGCCTCGCGTGTTGCAGTATGAGTATGGATGACGATCTTCAATCCTTTGCTCAGCATACTGCGGATCCAATACGATCCTCTCTTCAATCTTCGATTTGAAGCCGGAACGCTGCAATGTTTGCCACGCCGCGTGTTGTTGCTGAACCACTAGATATCCGCGAACCATTTGCCCTTCGATTGGCTTCGTATATGAGGGCCGTCCTAAAACCCCAGTCTTCGGTTTTAATTATCGCCGAACAGGGAGAAGTAAAAGTTGTCAAAAGCTGTGCGCGCGCAAGGAGCGCCCCAGTGCGGCCCAAGGGACGCGCAAGGTTGCAGTTTTGAAGGGTTTCATCTAGCTTCATGAAAGGAGGTTATTATTTTTACTGTCCTTGTGCTTTTCGAATGTTGCTTGGGTCACGTGTAGGTCACAAGCTTGTTTGCAAAGGTGCGGCTTTTTCTTCTGTCAGACACCAAACGAAGCCAAAGCTTCTGGGTCATGACTTCAACGATCAGCAACTGACACGACAAAATCCGCGCAAGCCGCGCGCAAGTTGCGCGCAAGCACGAGAAGCCCCAGCCAGACATCTAACCTAACCATCTGCTGATGTCCTTAGCGGCGTGGTTCGAGCAACATGCACTTTGCTTCTTTCAGGCTGTGTGTGTGTGGCAGAGCCTGCTGTCCTTTCTGTTGGGTCAAGAGTATGTTGCTTGCCTACGAGAAGAGCCTTTGTGGGTTGCTGCATGAACTGCTTAGAAAAGCTTGCGTGCAATCCACACAAAAACTTCGCAAACCGAGGTCAACGAAACCTAGTTTCTGCGTCACTGTGTGCGCGCAAGTCCGCGCAAGTGCGACCCAATCCCGGGCAAAGGAATATAGGACAACCCCCATATGGTTAAAGTGCGGATCGGGCTGGTTTCAAAAATCTAGGGTCATTTGTATGTTCTCAGCCTGACGAATCCGCAGCCAAGGCGTGCTTTCGTCCACCACTACGTGGGGGAGGGCATGGAAGAGGGCGAGTTCTCCGAGGCACGCGAAGATTTGGCGGCCCTGGAGAAGGAGTCCCAGTCCAGTGGCATCGACTTTTCTTTTTTGCTTGGTGTTTATTCCTTGGACATGAATACGGTTGGCTTTCTCCCATTTTTTGAACCACTCGGGGGTCTGGTGCGTTTGCTTTGAACTTGCCAAAAGAAACTAAGGACTACGAGGAGGTTGGCATCGAGACGGCCGAAGGGGAAGGCGAAGAGGAAGGCGCGCGCGCAAAGTTCGCCCTTGGCTTTGGCGATTTGGTTTACGATAGTGGCAATCTGTGCGTTTGTGTTTGTGTGTGTGTGGCTGCGCGTTTGTTCGCTGAACCTCGATGCATACCTGAAGTTTTGCATAATGTTGTGTGTTGTTTAGCCGAATCTCGTTGCGTACCTGAAGCCTCATAGTTCTGGGCGCATAGCGAGCTCGCCTTCGTGGGAGGCTGCCAACCGCACCTGTGGAGGTTCCTGTAGTGGGAGTCCTGTGCCTCAGGTTTTTGATTATGATCATTTATCCAGGTGGGGTTGTCTCACAATGGCCGAAATGGTCGGCGTGTTGGTTCCCTGCAATCCAACCCAAGAAAGGGGTACCTTAAGGGAAAGACCCCCACGGCAATTGGAACAAGAAAACCGTCTTCATCCTCACTGCCCAGCATGGCAGGCTACGGTGATGAGTTCTAGACCGGCGCGCCCTTGGCTCTTTGAGTCCTGCTTCGCTTGCCCACAGTGGCGAGGGAACGACGGGAGAAGCGTCCACTGGCTGGTCAATTCGTTAAATGACATCCTCAAAAGCAGGAGGAGGAGGAGGAGGATGTGCCTTGATCGGTGCCAGCCAACAGTGGCGCAGTTGTGTTCCTTGCCCAGGTCCCCCAGTAGTGCCCTTTTACTGTTCGTTTTTTGGGGGAGGGTTCCCTACAGCAAACAAATCGAATACCCTTATTCTAACCTCTCAAATCTGGAGGACCTTGCCCAGGGATCAATAACACTTGATCCCTAGCACTGCGATGGGGAAAATAAGAGGCCTCGCTTTCGCGCCGGCCAGCTGACCGGGCCGCAACTCATGAAGCCCGGTGGCTTTTTGGGCGGTTGGTCTCCAGCTCCTATTCTTAACTTGGCCCAAGGGGCAAAGAACCATCCTACGTCCGATCCCGGAAGTGAATAGCCCGGCCTGGTGCAGCATTCCTGTATGTGAAATGTCATGAAGCCTTTCAGCAAAAAGGGAGACCAGGCTTCCCCCACAACCCTTGTGTTAGTAGGTTTGTCAAGGAAGCTCTGTGGCTTTTCAGCCTTGAAGTGGAACCTACCAAAAGGTGAGCGGGCTTCCCATGGACCGCCGACTTTTTTTGCTGCTCGACAGGTGCCCAAGAACATCTATTCCGTGGATGACTTGCACACTCACAGGCGATGCGATGCCGGTTGGACTTGTTGGATGTTTCGTTGAGCTCACATCCTGGTTTCTTGGTGTACAGGTAGGGGTCGACATTCAAGGGTCTAGCTTGAATTATCCCCTGTGTGCTTTTGCCATCTCTACTGGAAATATGTTTTCATTATTTTCAGGGGGCTCAAGCAGCGTTGCATAGTTTTAAGGCAGTCTTGGTGTGAATCCTAAGGTGTCCATTCGTGCGAGTTTGTTTTGCACTACATGCTGTGGCATTTATCCTTGGTTGGATCATTGGTAACTATGTAGTTGGATCACCCTGTGATTCAAGCCATCCTTAACCAATGGGAGTTCATATAACCACCAAAGTTGTCCCAAGGATCAAGCATTATTTTCATTGGTCAAGCATTCTAAACCCATACCACCAATAACCATCTAAACTGGGTCAACCATTCATGGGAGGGAACCCTAGGGATCATGTTTCTTTGACTCCCTGAGGTCCGAAGACTCGACTCGTGGGCCGAAGATTTGCGCAGACCAATGCCAAAAGGGCCTTCGGTGGTTCGGTTCCTAGCTGGTTCTATAAGGCTTGTGGTAAGGCTCATGTGTAAACCATTTATAACCATGTTGCTAGAACCAAAAGTCGAAATTGATTTTGGAGAGCTGCTCAAGTGAGTTGATGTAAACCAAACCGGAAACCGATAACGTATGGCACGGAACAGATTAGCCTTGTCTAAACGGCACTTGAGATTCCAGAGTGGTTGAAGAGATGTGCTCAATCCTCATAGGATTTTTTTTCCGCTGAGCAAGCAGGTCTTGCTTGTGTTGCGACACGCACATTCTAAATATACTGAAGAGTGCATGCATAATATGTTTGCCCAGCTGTCCAAATCATATCAGGGTGCGTGTAGGGTGCATGTGTGTCTGTGTGTGTCATGTTATTCTGTGTTGGGGCGATTATATTGGGGACACCAATCCGTTGGGGCTCCCTCTACTGACCTTTTGCGCCTTCGGGTGTCAACGAGCTTGGGTTACTCGTGGTTATGGCAACCCAACGAGTGATCGTCCGTTTTGCTAGAAGCCGAAGACCTGAATGCGGGCCTTTGACCTCTTTGGACCCTACCTGGTCTGCCCCTGGGGTCCGAGGGTCCAAATACCGCAGTTTAGTTGGGGAATTTGTTGAGAGTTTCGTGCTTTAGCTACACCTAAATCAGCAAATTCGACAAGGGCCAAATGACACAAGGGAATTATCCGAAACCAAATAGACAAGGGCTTACCAAATCTGCACATGGGAATTATTAGAAAAGGGCGTTGCTTCTTAGTCTGCAGGAAATGTACTACTTTGCAGAGAAACACGCACGAAGCACCTCGCCAGAATTTCGCAAGGGAGAGCACAGAACGCACGGATTGGGAATTAGAACAGTATAGCAGAACCCCCCCATTATGGAGCATTTGGACTCCTTGGTTGGGTGTTGCTAGCTCTACTGGGCGTTGTCCGCCAGACTCGAGAATTTTCTGGCCGAGATCGGCCGCAATCCACAACGACTCGCGGGGGGCTTAAGTCAAAAGCCAAAGCTTCCTTAGTTCCTGTTGACTTTAGTCACTTTTTGGACCATATGGCAAACTCCGACAAATGCTGGTTACCTGTGAACTGGCCAAAAGCCACTTGGCTAGCAGATGTTTTGGGTTCGGTCCAACGGCCAACCCTTGTGAGGCCAACACGTTGTCTACCCAGGAGGCTCCCCAAAAGAGTCACGAATCCACAATAGGCATCTGTGCCTGGGATCGGATTCCCAGTGTCGCACATTCCCTTTAACATCACAGCACTCAGAATTGGCCCAGAAGGTGAAATCCAGGAATCTGGGTTGCTCCTCTTACCCGATCGGCACAAGGCGAACGAAAATTGGACCCGGGAAAACACAGGAAACCAGCAAGCTTGCTCGCAGCAACTGAGTGGTTTTGATTTGTTTAAAGAGCTTGTCGGATGCGATGCTAGGCGATTCCCGGATCCTCACTGGCAATGGGCCTGCAAATTCAGGATTCAGCCATGGGACCTTTGACATGCATTTGTGTTCTTTATCACGAGATTGTGAACAGGCAATCCTTCTGTGCATTTGCAAAAAAACATGCTGTCGACCCTGAATTGAATGAAGCTGGTAAATGTTTGGGAGGTGTTCCGGAAAAAAAAAAGGATGCCTCTGAAAATGGGACTCCATCCCAAGAGCACCTCAACCAGTGGCGTGCTACATCTGAGCCACACTCAAAACCGGGGTAAGGTTAGTCAGCAGTCCCAGCCAGTTGCGGATATCCGCCCTCTGAATCCTTCACATGGCCTTGGGCCATGTTAATCCCCGGTTTTGAGCAAGTGACTCTGATTCAGCTCCATGGGCTGCTGGCCTTCGGGTTTCAGTTGCAAAGGCTCCGGCAGACCTCACTCTTCCATCTGGTTTGAAATGTTTGGCGTGTTTTTTTTTTTCTTTAGACCCCGTGAGTCTTCAAGTTGGTTTTCTTTCAGCCCCCATGTTTTTTTTTTTTTTTCAGGGGGCTTAAGCAAATAGAAGCCCAGCAGTTCATGGGGCTCAGGGCAACGCCTTGGCAGCCGGTGATTTTCCCCGGGGGTCTTTGGGGGTCTTTGGGGGTCCATCTGGGCGGGGGCCCTTTCTCCGAGGTGATTCACGTGGATAGGAGGCGGGAAGTGGGTAGCTCGTCTTGTTGAAGGCAACCGCAACGGCGCAACGGTTTTCCTCAGGTTTTCCTTTGAAGCCAAAAAAGGTGCCCTGAAAAAACACACACCCAAATTGCAACCTGTGGGAAAAAAACACAAGGGACACAATGGGTGCCAACATTTACCTAAGGAAGCTCATCATTTAAGTTGGGTCCACCATTGTACTGGGGGTTGAACCGTAGCAAGGCCCGCACAAGTAACAACATGGAGGGTGGGGACCCGTACCACCTCAGCAGGTCCATGATTTAAACATGTCCCACGAGACTTGACGAAACTTCCTCCAAGTCGATCTGGTTTTGATTGAAGATTCCCAGACAATCCATGCAGGTGAAAAAATAACATTTGACCCATTTGAGGGTAAAAATGGGAAACAACAACCTAAATGGGTGACCTGGGATTGACCTGGCTTGACCGGCAGATTCATTGGGCGAAGTGTTTTTCTAATTCTCTTGAGTGGAACAACCACAATTTATCACCAAACGTTTATGAATCCTGGCCTCACATTTCCCAGATGACTGTTTGCCCATGCTGAATGTTCCTTGGGCAGAGGCAGGCTGGCAGACTTGCCTGACATCGTTTGAAGATGCTGCATAACAATCTCAGCACATAGCCCGCTCATTGTGGCTCGAAATGTCTGCCAACTCTACTCATCGCTTGGCTATGCGAACTGATTGTACTATACCCCGTGCAGCCACCAGTTTTATTCACTTTGCTCCCCTCGCCCAGCTGGACTTACTTTCTGGGACGACAGTGGGTTTCCCTGGTTCTGGTTTGGTGGTGGGAACTGGGAACCAATCACCTCAGCTGGCAGGCTGATGTCGCAGACTGGGCATGTCCAGACTTGTTTTCGTGCCTAATAGCCACCCACCACATGTGTTTTTATTTACCCAAAGCGAAGCCAGGGGATGGACGTGTTTCACTTGTTCCACCTTGAAAAAGCACCCAATTTGTTTGCCATTCGTTGCTCATGAACGGATTTCCGGCGCTGTTCTTCCTGTTTTAGTCAGCGATTATATAGTTATAGAACTTTTGGTTGGGGTAGTGAGAGGCTCGCAGACGTGGACGCATCATGCTGGACATCAGCCGCTTTGTGGGTCTGGAAAATTGTTGGTCAACCATTTGAATAATAGATATACATATATATATATAAGGAACAAACACTAAACCTGGTTTAAACAACTGGCCGCTTTTGGTAGATATAAAGGAAGTTTGGTTGCTTGTTTTGGTCAATTCATTCGAGCGGGAGTGAGGGCTTAATGACTTAATGACCTTGATTTTCGCGGCTAATGAGACGAAACAGTTTCAGGTTCCGGGTTTTCTTTTGCCGCTTGAAGATGGATATTTTCTTAGACATGACCGGGATTCCGTTGGATTCCGACCGAGAATTACAGTACCCCGTAAGGCAGCAGCACCCCGTGCTATGAGGCTGGGGAATTCCTATATCGACCGAGAGCCTCGAAAAAGTTCAACGCTTGAAAGGCCTCAGATTGCAAGGATCTGGCGCGAGGGTTAATGCCTGGCCCCAGGAAAAAAAACCAACACACACACACACACCATGACAGGCGGGACGGCAAGACCGCCATCGCCTTTATGTGCCCCGCCAAATTTGAGAGAGAGAGAGAGAGAGAGAGGGCGATATATGAGCAGCGCCCAAAAACCATTCTTGACAAACGTAAGGGGTTCGACTTGTCTTTTTTGAGCTTGCATGGAATATACTGAGGTTGTTACAATCCTTGGCAACCAATTTTGTAGAAACGATCAATGGGTTTTGGGAGCTGCTCATGTTGCTTGGCTGCCGCAGTCGAGTTCCTCACGTGGCTTTGCATGGTTTCATCATGGGGGCTGGGAAGGGAGGGAGGGGAGGGGGAGGGAGCCGAAATAAGCCCTTATCAAGCCCTTAATAAGGCCTTATTTGAGGCAAATTTGGGCTCCCTCCCCCTCCCTCCCCCCCAGCCCTCATGATTTCAATGAGTGATGCCGTTGGCCCTATGCACCCACAGGTCCAGGTGATGAATCATGTCTCACTGAAGCAAACCCACCGAACTGCGTTTGAACCACTTTGTGCCACTTGAAGTCAAGGCTGCAGGTAGACCGGTTCAATGGTTTGAGCATCATCCACACCCATGCCCTTTCGCCCAGTTGGGATGGACGAAACCCTATGAATACTGACATTTACCACTACCAACTGGCGCAGGATGTGTTTCCCATCCGCAGTAGCTAGCCCTTGTTGAAGCACTGGCGTCCACATGTATGTACTGAGATATGGCAGTGAATCTATGCAAGCTTTACCCACTGGCCACATAGCAGAATGATAAAGCATCATTAATGGGTACAAAAAAACATGCTATGTTGCCCCTACAGAACTCTGAAGACCCTCTATTCAGCACCCAAGCCATTAGTGACAGAAAGATTCAGTGTCTCGTGGGTGGCGGTTGCTGGGAGGTTCCCATTGTGCGATCCCTTTTGAGTCAACAAATATGACTTTGGGTCCGCCAACTAGCAGCCTGGGTGTGTGTAAGCTCAAGAATGGTTGAACAGGCTTTGGCTGGCGTTTGGAGACGAGGGAATAAGCGAGTAAGCAACAAGGACCCCCCCCTGTCTAGTGTAATTGACCATGGTTTTGTGTTTGGGTGTGGTTGATCTACCAATATTGAGGGCATCTACAGCAGAGGCCGAGCTTTTTAAGAGACGAGCTAAAGGGACGAGGTGCGAAGGATTCCCTATGGAGTCCAATTCCTTGACTGTCGTGTACCCCTTAGCCGGTGTAGCCCCAGCATGGCGTTGTTCACTTCACCGGTGTTGGCATGTGTTTCGTTTGTTGTTTTTGTTGTTGTTGGTTCTGTTCTTTCTTCTTCTTCTTTTTGCGGCGGGCTGCACAAAACAACATGGTTTGCTATCCGACCTACCCGACCAAGGGTTGGAACGTATCGCTTTCTATGGCTGGTGTATAGCCAAGATGGTTTGCTGAGTTGGGACCAAGCCGCCAAATGTTGACCCCATATCGGTGTGGCTTAAAATTAAAGAGTCGGGGTTATGCAGGTTTTGGACGTTACCAAGGAGCCATTTTGGGTAAGCCACAGCCATATATGAATAGGGGGGTGACCTGGGTTTAGTGGGGAACCGTCACTTTGGGAGGGGAACGAACACTCCCTATCATCAATAAACTTGGGTTGATTAACATGGGATCAACATTATCTACCCCTTACATACTTCCTTTAGCCGGCCACCAATTAGAACGCTGACATACGCTGAAGGGTAAGTAATGTCATGATAAGATTCGCTCTTCTCCCGTCACCCCTCAAACCTTGCTTCTGTGGGGGGCATGTGGTGTTGGTTCCCATGCTTTTTGCAAGCAAGCTCGCCTTCGGGAGAAATCGTGAGGGTCGTTCAATCGGCTGTATCACCGTAGTTAGTTTGGGTCAATATCTAAATAGTGGCCATAGGAGCTCCCAACGCCCCCCGAAGCCGTAGTTTGGTCCAACATGTCCTTTGACCCCGCAAAACCTCAACGGTTGAGGTCTTGACCCTAGGGAAGCTCCCCCCTCCATGGAAGCTACCCGGTGACTTGTTTCCATCTGGGAGCGTGGGGAATCCACACGCCAGGTGAGCGCTGAAGACTTCAGTTCCACGAGACTCGAATTCGTTCAAAGCTCTGCCCTTTGGAATTTGAATTTGGGTCGATGCGATGGACACACTTGGAAGTTCCATCTCTTGGGGAGATCCAGAGATGTTTGGGATCCCTCTTAGGTTCGTGAGGTTTGTGGATTGAACCCTGTTGATGAACACCCCCCCATCAGCAAACTGGGTTCTCATTATGGACCAGAATCCAACATAGCCTGGATTGGCAAAAGCTGAGGTTTGTGTCGTAGCTTCATGCAAAAATCCCGACGCTATTATTGGGGCATGACCTTAGTCCTTGTGAATCTGCTGCTTGGGTGTTGCTTGGATCTCATTTGGGTATGTGCCAGAATAGTGGGACCCCTTTAAATGGTGGGTTGCTTTGGTTTTCCTTCAGCTACCTCAAAAGCACACACACACACACAGTTGGTTCAGCTAATCGAGCTGGCAAGCTGCAGACCGAGAATCCTCGTACAGCGAGGGAATGGTTGCAATAGGTTGCTTCTGAGGGAGCATTTGGGGTGTCTCAAAATGTGCGGCCCCTAAAACGGGTGGTTTCTTCTTGGTTCCCCTCCAACAAGCCATCCAACATGTTCCGTATTTTGAGACATGCCCACCTTGCGCAAAGTGAAATGACATCGCCGCTCTGAATTGCGCATTCTGCGCCAAAGGGGCGGTAAAGTCCGCTGGATTTTCCACGAGCCGTCCAAGATGGCTGCGGGTTCAAACGCCAGCGAAGGTGTGGCGACTTGTGCGCAAAACAATATTGAACATGCAGACCCTGTCCTTCTGAAAAGCCAAAAGCAGGTTGCTTAAATAAGAGGTCTTCAAATGCGTGCAAACGGGGGGTTGGCTCAATCCTGGCGACACCTGGAATGTTCCTGCCACAGTTTTGGGTGAAACAGCCCCGAGATGAATTTTAATGTGAATCGCATTCCGCAATGATACCCGCTTTTGCGTTTTGACTGCAAGAAAGGGACGCACTTCAAGAGATGTTCTGCACTTCCGGTCAGTTTTTTTATTCTCCCGAAGAGTCAAAATATGTCAAAATGGATCCAAAGGTAAAACCCGGACACAGGATCCATTGTGCGCATGTCATGCCAGTCCACGACCAGTTCAATATCAGGGAAACCTAGTTTGAGGTGTCATCCTGTAGGAGTTCCAAAAGTCCTTCAGTGGGGTATCTTGTTTATGTTTGTCGGATTTGTTTTGTTTGGTTATTGTTGAATGTGTTGTTCTGTTTTGATTTTTGTTTGTTTGTCTGCCGGCCCTCCCGCCCGCTTGCCTGCCTGCCTGCCTGCCTGCCTGCCTGCCTTTCGACTTCTAAGATTAGTGTCGACGTTTTGTTCCCTTCTTTTTTTGCGGCCTTGCGTGTTGGTGCATTCATTCACGGCTATATGGCTACACAAAGACTAAAAACTGTGCAACCCCAGCTGCTTTCTGTTGAGCCACCCACTACCCACCCAAACCCATGCAGCTTTTAGATCTGCAGCGCGATTTGCTTCTGCCGGTCGACCGGTTGTTGCCTTTTCGGGAGCTTTGCACGCTGGAGCCCGGAGTTTGTGGCTCCACCTTGGCCACTTCCTTTTCTCTTTTCGACTTCTAGAAGCGCTGCTTTCAGGATGTCAGCGCCTCAGGGGAGATTGAGGTAGGCTCTTTCCAGAGGGAGTTTCTCCAATTGTCAGCTTAGGGCCTTGGCCCTTATGCCTCAAAAGGCCGGCAGTCGGCAGTCGGCTCTTTCCGGAGCTTCTCCGATCAGCTTTCATTGCAAGGTACTTGAGTGATGGAACAAGCCGTGACTGAAGTGAGTGACCCTTGACCCCATTTGCGTCATAGGCAGACAACTTCCTGATCTCCCACTTTGACATTCCCGAGCTGAGCGTTTCTAGCGTGTCTTTTGTGGGGGTACCCCTCTAAGGGGTTTTACCGGGAAATCAAAGGACACCACTTCCCTTTTTTTTTGGGAGTGGGCCCGCCTATTCTGCGAAAGGTTGGAACCTTTGCAGCCAAGACTCGAGGAGATGTGGTCGGGCCATGGAGAACCGGCGGAATGACGTCTTGTGGGAACAAGTTAGATTCGAGGGATAGGAGACATGTCCAAACATGAACAGCGGGCGCCTTGGAATTCAGACAGATTTGAGCTTAGTTGCCTATGCAGCTTGAGCCGAGTCTTTGATTTGTTGGATTTTCCTTTTCAGTCCACTTTTGGTGACCCCCCCAAAAGAAGCCTTTGTTCGCTGGCAGTTTCGTGGCAAGTGAGTTGCATGTCATCTAGACAACAGTTTAGGGTAGTGGTTTGGGAATGGAAACCATGTTAGAGCTGCCGCTGCGTTTGTGGTTTATCGTCAGGTCCGTCTATGTTGAAAAGCCCATGTACCAGCTTACTTAGAGGATCCGCTTGTGCAACATGGGGTGGGCTTTGTTCAGGGTAATCTTGTCAAGGCTGGTGTAAATGGAAGCCGAAAAGGAAGCCATACATTTGTCCTGGCGACACCTGGAATGTTCCTGCCACAGTTTTGGGTGAAACAGCCCCGAGATGAATTTTAATGTGAATCGCATTCCGCAATGATACCCGCTTTTGCGTTTTGACTGCAAGAAAGGGACGCACTTCAAGAGATGTTCTGCACTTCCGGTCAGTTTTTTTATTCTCCCGAAGAGTCAAAATATGTCAAAATGGATCCAAAGGTAAAACCCGGACACAGGATCCATTGTGCGCATGTCATGCCAGTCCACGACCAGTTCAATATCAGGGAAACCTAGTTTGAGGTGTCATCCTGTAGGAGTTCCAAAAGTCCTTCAGTGGGGTATCTTGTTTATGTTTGTCGGATTTGTTTTGTTTGGTTATTGTTGAATGTGTTGTTCTGTTTTGATTTTTGTTTGTTTGTCTGCCGGCCCTCCCGCCCGCTTGCCTGCCTGCCTGCCTGCCTGCCTGCCTGCCTTTCGACTTCTAAGATTAGTGTCGACGTTTTGTTCCCTTCTTTTTTTGCGGCCTTGCGTGTTGGTGCATTCATTCACGGCTATATGGCTACACAAAGACTAAAAACTGTGCAACCCCAGCTGCTTTCTGTTGAGCCACCCACTACCCACCCAAACCCATGCAGCTTTTAGATCTGCAGCGCGATTTGCTTCTGCCGGTCGACCGGTTGTTGCCTTTTCGGGAGCTTTGCACGCTGGAGCCCGGAGTTTGTGGCTCCACCTTGGCCACTTCCTTTTCTCTTTTCGACTTCTAGAAGCGCTGCTTTCAGGATGTCAGCGCCTCAGGGGAGATTGAGGTAGGCTCTTTCCAGAGGGAGTTTCTCCAATTGTCAGCTTAGGGCCTTGGCCCTTATGCCTCAAAAGGCCGGCAGTCGGCAGTCGGCTCTTTCCGGAGCTTCTCCGATCAGCTTTCATTGCAAGGTACTTGAGTGATGGAACAAGCCGTGACTGAAGTGAGTGACCCTTGACCCCATTTGCGTCATAGGCAGACAACTTCCTGATCTCCCACTTTGACATTCCCGAGCTGAGCGTTTCTAGCGTGTCTTTTGTGGGGGTACCCCTCTAAGGGGGTTTTACCGGGAAATCAAAGGACACCACTTCCCTTTTTTTTTTGGAGTGGGCCCGCCTATTCTGCGAAAGGTTGGAACCTTTGCAGCCAAGACTCGAGGAGATGTGGTCGGGCCATGGAGAACCGGCGGAATGACGTCTTGTGGGAACAAGTTAGATTCGAGGGATAGGAGACATGTCCAAACATGAACAGCGGGCGCCTTGGAATTCAGACAGATTTGAGCTTAGTTGCCTATGCAGCTTGAGCCGAGTCTTTGATTTGTTGGATTTTCCTTTTCAGTCCACTATTGGTGACCCCCCCAAAAGAAGCCTTTGTTCGCTGGCAGTTTCGTGGCAAGTGAGTTGCATGTCATCTAGACAACAGTTTAGGGTAGTGGTTTGGGAATGGAAACCATGTTAGAGCTGCCGCTGCGTTTGTGGTTTATCGTCAGGTCCGTCTATGTTGAAAAGCCCATGTACCAGCTTACTTAGAGGATCCGCTTGTGCAACATGGGGTGGGCTTTGTTCAGGGTAATCTTGTCAAGGCTGGTGTAAATGGAAGCCGAAAAGGAAGCCATACATTTGTCGGGTGCTCTCTTTTGACAGATACCCGTGTGGCCATGGGTCAAAACCCCGTACCCCCAGTGAACATCCCAATCCCCACTAAAATAAACTAAAATAAAATGGGCGGTGCACCTACCCCAAAATGAGATCCCATTGGCTTTGACAGACACCCATGGAATCCCTGCCAAGGTTTGCTTTGCGATGCCTGTTGCTGGTACTCCTCACGCCTGTGGCGATTGCAGAGGACCCGCATGCGACGCCTGAGTCTCCCAAAATGGTGGACCTCCTTTGGGTTGGTATTTACAGGGAAACCACAAAAAAACAATGGTGCATTTTGCTTGGCTGTTAGGACTTTAACTTTTTGCCAACACGTGGGTTGGTTTTCCACTAAACCACTAAAAGTTAAACTTTTAGCAGGGGAGCAGAAAGCAACCGAGGAAACCAGCCACTTTAGGAGATCGCTATTTTCAGAAACACCCATGTGGTTACAGTTGAGTTGAAGTAGGTGCCACAATTCCTCCTCTTTTGTTTAGTCATCCCTGCTACTCACGGACTGGCTTCTTCTTCATTTTCGTCTAGCAAGTTGAATTAGTTCTGTGCACTCAGGGCATTTTGACCTTCTGATTTATGCATAAAGAACACCGTTTAGTCTCAGCTTCGTTTCGCGATGTATGGATAAACGAAAAAACTCATTGGGTGGGCAAGGGCCGTGAGGGTCCAGGTGACGACAGTTCAGACAGACTCAGTTTCCCGAGTTCTATTTGGGTATGGATCAAAAATTAACCACCAGGGCACCGCAGGTTTTGATCTCTTTGGTTCCATTTATCAGAGTAACCCATTTTGGGTACGCATTTTTGACCCACTGCCATTTCTTGACCTTTTGGTTTTGCAATTTTGCATCATCGGCCAAGATCTCAACAGGGTATCCTCTTGTCTAATCAGCTCGGAAGGGGATTCTTCTTGCATCCCTCGTGCTCAGTGAATGGTCTTCAGGAGATTTTCTCAAAACAGTTCTTCGCTGCTTGCTCATAGCAGAACCGCGTGATGCAGATGCATGCTGTCTCCAAAGGGAACCTCCGGGCGGATGTTAAAATAATTGTCCTCGTGGTTTCCCCGGTTGGCTTGTCCTAGGTGTCCGATACCAAAAGGGGGTGTGGCTGCTCGCCGATATAGTCCCTGGATTTGGCGGCTGAAAATCATCTCCCCACAATTGAGCTCAAGCTGGTACGACTTATTACCGTGTCTTTTTGGGCGTGTCTTGTTTTTCTTGGGGGGGATTGAACGAGAACCATTTGAGTGTGTCTTTTTTGAGGGTACCCCCTTGTGGTTTGAAAGGACCACAAGAGGAAAAACACCATTTTGAGGGTCCCCCAAAGTCTACGCACACATTTTTGTGGAACCCCGACCCCACCCCACCCCCTCCCTCGCGGCTGCCCCAGGAGCCGTTGGTGGCGGACGACGAGTGCCGGGATGCCGTTAGCTGCGGGCTGAACGCGCTGCAGATGCGAGGCGCGCGCGCGCGCGCATCCTTTTTCTGGCGAGGGCAACGGGCATGTTGTTTGCCTGTTTCTGTGGGGGAGCGTGTCAAAGTCATGATCATGGTAAATTCATGGGGCCAGGGAAGGGAGGGAAAGGTTGACAGAATTTCCTTAGGTACTTGAACTGCGAGATCCCTTGTTTCAGGTCTTAGGCATATAAGTAAACATGGCAGGCCCATGAAAACCCCATCCCTTATTGACAGAGGTCTTTGATTGTTCTTGTAACTATGGCAGTCTCATGGCTATCAGGTTTGGCCAAGCCTTGGTTTAAGTTTAAGCAATGGAACATATTCCTCCTTTGGGTTGTCAAAGGAGGCCGTATGATCAGTCAACCATGCGTTTACGGGATCGCAAGCTCGCAAGCCACCTGTTTGTTGGATCCTACTTCCGCGTATGGCTTAACAAATAGGAATCGACGAATTGGAACCTGCGGTCCGGGGCTCTTGACTTTTGAGCCACACCCGAATCTGAAAAGGCGATGTTTCGTGGTTCCCAGCCATCCGTTTAGGTTTTAGGTTTGTAGGGTTTAGCGGGGGCTTCCATTTACCCCGCCAAAATCCATCTTTTCGCAGGGGATCAGAAGGAAGAAACATGTCCTGTTTCCGGGACCCTTTCCGTTTTGCGGAGCCTCACTTCTTTCTCTTTACGGGTGTTTTGGGGGTGGGGGGGAATGCCCAGTGCTGGGCCCGGCTGCTTGTCTGAAGGTTTGGGAACACCTGGGCAGCCTTGACAAACATGGCAAACGATTCTAATCCTATTAAAACAAAACAGGTTTAAGGGCATATAGATGGTAGAATATGTTAAACATCGATTCAAATTACCACATTCTGATGGTCATCAACAGACCCCGTCACAAGGGTGGCTTTCGGCCAGCGGGTTTTCCTTTAACGACTAGAGGGGTGCGTCTTTTTTTAGAACATCGCCCAAAATGGTGGTTTTCCTTTTGGTTTCCGTTTCAAAAACCAAGCAACAGGTGGTACCCTCAAAACACGGCCCATACTACCAAGACCAGTTTGTGTTTTTTTGGAAGTCCGTAGGTTGGAGGTGAGCACAGTGAAGTGCCAGGAATGGCGTCGGTGGTGCCCACTCTGCCGGACTTCGATGACATCATCGATGACCGGAGTTCGGTTTGCGGTCACCTTAGGTCCTCACTTCCATTGATTGGCGCTCAGAAAGTGGGACCTTGCGCTCAGAAAGTGCGACCGTCCTCACTTCCTGAGTTGATCGGCGCTCACGTCCAAACCTTGTTGGCCAACAGATGGTGAACAGTGGCTCAAGCTCCAGGAACTCGAGTGAGGTTTTGTGAGCGGCCGTTGCGGATGCGGCTGAGTGCGTTTGTAGCCGTTTGGATGGGAATCCCTCAACGGAACCAAGAAGTACCCCATTTGCGCACATTGGAACCGAGTCTTTTTCCACCGAGAGGAGCGAAAGCTATTCCTTGAAATAATCAATCCCGTATGTCAGATTTTGGACATGCTATAACAAGTGGGTGTTGATTTTCCTTTCTTGGGGGGCCCACCAAGAGGATGGTTTTTCTTTTTTTCTTTTGGCTTTCCTGCGCAACCAACCAAAAAGTGTTCCCTCAAAAAAAGACACACCCAAATGCATGTCAAGCTTTTCTTCAGAACAAGCTCTTGCCATCGCCATGTGCTGAAAAACAACCCACCAGGAATTGGACCGTAGGTTTTAGTCCCTGTTTCCATCTACCAGGGCAACCCATTTTGGGTACCTATTTTTGACCCACACCCGCGTCTGACTTTGTCCGAGAGCGGTTCGTCAGGACAACGAGGACGACGACGATGACGACGATGACGATGACGATGAGGAGGCGACGACGCCCGCCCCCGCAGGAGATGCCACGGCAGGCAAGGATGAGGATGACGCCGAGGAAGAGGAAGAGGACACGCCTTGCATGATTACCTTTCTCGCCTCTTTGCCGTGTTGGTTTTGTTTCCTGTTCCCATTCGAGCAGCAGCAAGTCCACCTTTGTTTTTTTTTTCCACCATTTCCCCTTCCACCAGCGGTGACCTCCGGTGCTCTTTATATTTTTTTGGGGGGTGTTCCTTCGAAATCGAGCAAATGTTTTTGTTGGTTCCCTGGCCAAGGTTTCCAAATTGGAGGATTGGTTGGTGTGCCCCAGTGAGCCATTTGGTTGCAGAAGTGCACTTAAGCTTGTTTTCGAACTTGGGAAGCCCCCCCCCCTCCCCCAAACTTGGAGCGTGTCTGTGTGGTCTCCCTTGAAAGCCTTGAAAAGAGTACCACACCCATTTAATTTAGGTTTTTGTTGTTGCTAGGTTTTCCTCCTAAGTACCTTTTTGGCAAGCCCATGTTGGGCAACGCAGCCATGGTGCCAATCAGAGATAGCATGCACCTCCTTTCCGTAGGCAAAAATGCGGGAACCTTCGGACAAATCCCACCCGAAATGATGTCCACCAAAAGGGTCCCCGAGGAAAGTTCACAGCAAAAGGATTCAAAGATCTCTGCTGGGATGTGGGCTCACATGCGCCCAGAAAGATGTGGAGGTGCCAATGGATCGGTTTTGACCTTACACCTTGACCTAGTTTTCTCCCATGTCTCAAGAAAAAATTGGGAGTCCCTGTTGGATGCGTTCACAGGGGCATTAAGGGTTGTCCACCCAGGAGGGCTTCGAATCATTCTGCAGCCATGAGATCTGAAAGTGAATGGGCCAGATTTCCAGTTTTGGGCCTAGGGCAAGTGCCACCCCCCCCCCACCCACTTCATGGCAACCCATCCATGCGACAGTATTTGCAAGCGAGCGAACAAACGAGCCAACAAACAAACAAAGCGATTCAGGGAGGACTCGAACCTTCCGCAATTGCTGGCCCTCACTCCCGTACCCAGAGGGTGGCAGGAAAGCTCCGAAGCCCCTAGTTTGCAAATCTGCAACGTTGCTTGCTTTCCAGCCAACATTCCTGTAAGAAAGCAAAATGTGATGTGTTCCATGTCCCAAGCAAACCAACAGACCAACAAACCAACCCAGCCAACGAGTCAGCCAGCCAGCTTGCATGGACTGCAACTTGCATGAACTGCAATTGATGCCCCAAGAGGCCAGGCATCACGAAAACATGGGAACTATCATTATGTGGAAACCAGATAGGGAGGCTGTTCAACCTGTTTCCCTCAATGGGAGACTTTCTTGTGGGGCTCATTCCATTTCTCATTCCCTGCTGAGAACCAGCAAGTCATTTCAGTAAAGGCAAACACGGCCCCCCGGTGCTGGGTTTCAAAACCAGGAGACCACCACCGTGTATCAGCCGCTGCCAGAGGAGACCAACTGACCAATGTTCAAACGCGGCCGGGGTTTGTCCTCCCAAGGGTCTCCAAAGTATTATGTGTACATATGTATATGTATAGATATCTTAAGGCAGACGCAAAATGATGCATCTGACAATATGTGTGTTTTAAGCGCATTTCTATGGTATGGGGTTTTGGAGGTATGGATGCGTACTACCACAAATTACACGTTTGCAAGAATATATATATATACATTATTATTATTATTAGTATTAGTGTTGTTATTATTATTATTATCATTATTATTATTATTAGTATTACTATTATTATTATTATTATTAATGTTATTATTATTATTATTATTATTATTATTATGATTATGAATTATTATTGTTATTACTATTATTATTATTATTGTTATTATTATTAGTGTGAATTATTATTATTATTGTTATTATTATTAGTGTGAATTATTATTATTTTATTATTGTTATTATTGTTATTATTATTATTTTATTATTATTATTATTATTATTATTATTATTATTATTATTATTATTATTATTATTATTATTATTATGTATTATTATTATTATTATTATTATTATTATTATTATTATTATTATTATTATTATTATTATTATTATTATGTATTATTATTATTATTATTATTATTATTATTATTGTTATTGTTATTATTATTACTATTATTATTATTATCATTATTATTATTATTATTATTATTATTATTATTATTATTATTATGTATTATTATTATTATTATTATTATTATTATTATTATTATTATGTATTATTATTATTATTATTATTAGTAGTATTATTATTATTATTATTATTATTATTATTATTATTATTATTATTATTATTATTATTATTATTATTATTATTATTATATGTGATTATATGTATACATATATATACATATTATAGGGGTACCGTATGTATATATACATATATTTAGTGCCATTCATCCCCCCCATCTCAAGAACCCATACCTGAAAATTCTCACTGACTGGTGTGGTTGGGCCAAGATAAATCCAAAGGAGGGGGGGTTGGTTTGCGTCTAGGCTCCGCTATGAAGCCGTGATTGATTGGAGGTATTTCGTGTCCAGAAGATTCCCTGGCGAAGAAAGGAAACACGAGGCAGTGCTTCATGGCTGGTTTTGCGAGCAACATGGAATCGACTGCTACTCTTGCAGTGGTTGCCCCAGTGCTTGAGCCTATATCGACAAGCCTGGAAAAGGATCACAGACAATTCTTGCTTCTTGTTTTTGCCTGGTTTTTCGTGTGTTTTTTTGAGACGCCCTGATTGGAACGGTGTTTGGCGCCCGATTTTTCAATGTCCAAAGCTTTGGCAGGACCCCCAGGCCCTGAGAGGAACTCGAAGGCTTCCCCCCAAGGGGTCCCGAAAACGAGATGCCTCTACCCCTGGGAACCAGCCACCTGGTTCAGTAGGTTTTGTTTTGAAAAAGAGTTTCCATCTAACCTACTAAACGTTTGTTTTTTTTTCATTTGCAGAGCACATGGCAGCGAGTTGAGTACAGTGTGCCACCGCCTGGGGCAGATTCCGTGAATTATTGTTGCACATGGCAAGCACTAACCCTCCCAGCACGCATCACTCACTAAGCCCCCTTTCGAGGGAACCAAGGCTACACAACCACCACTAAACAACATTAGATTGCAGTCATGTAGCACGTATATTTATATACACAACCATTTTATGTTTCATATTGGACGATCGGAAGAGTAATTTGGTGTTCACATCAGTTATTTCCAGATATAACAGTCCAACGCTCGAAATGTTATGTGTTTCGGGAAGATAAATGAGGTTTGTCCAAATAGAATATGTGTTTTTGCTGGACAGAAACCCATTTTGTGTAGGCAGAACATATTCAACTGTTTCAGCACGCTTTTTTTATAACGCTGACATTTGGTTTGATTTTTCGTTTTTCTCATATATATATATATATATGTGTATATGTGGTATCCGCCCAAGAAAACACAACAACATCACAGCTAACAACTCCAAACGCTCAGTATATATATATATATATATATGTCATACACATAGGCATACAGAGTTTTCCGCTTGGGGGGTTTATTTTTTCTAACTTCTCGCGCTCGAGATTTGCGGTTGCAGCCACATGGCTGGGCTCGAAATCGGTTTGAGGACGCGAACTGCTCGAAACCAGATGCCCAGTGCGGCGGACAGTGGTTCTATGGCACTACTTGCTGCTGGCATGGCTACGAATGCTTTCAGGTGCGGTCGAGCACGTCCCAAGTTGGACTTTGCATTGGCGTCAACCTTTGGCAAACAAGTTCTGCCATTTGAAAAAACCGGTACCCAAAATGGCTTGCCCTGGTAAGTGGAAACATGGACCAAAACCTGCGGTTTGCCCCTCCTGTTAATTTTGAGCCACACCCCTTTTGGCCCTTGGCCGAAAGGTTGTAGGGTTGAATCCGGGTTGCATGTTGACCAAGAAGGGAAGGCCACGTTTATCGTAAACAACGCCTTTAGACTTCTTGTGGCCAATTCACTTGTGCGGAAATGGATAGAACAAAGTACCGGGTCTCGGAACAGGGGTCCTTATATGTCGTTTTGAAGGAGGACACCTTTGTGGTGGCCAAGGGAAACCAAAATCCCATATTGTGCGTGCTTCCTTTGATACACCCTACTTGTTTGAAGTGTATCTGGTGCTAGCAGATTGGAACAAGCCAGCAAATTTTGTTTGAAAAATGCTGCAGTCTCAAACAGAATCCACATGAGAGCTTTGAACTGGAGAAGTTTGTCAAACCGTGTTTTTGCCCGTGTTCCCGCAAGAAAGCAAGCCAGGAATCGACTGAATGGGCGTCAAAGCACCAGAAGAGTCTGCTAGGCTTGGAAAGGGAATCGCTTGTGTGGTTTGATTTACTACTATAGTGAGCATCATAATATATCATAATATAATCAGTTAGTTTTTTGTGGGAAGGTCCTTTTTGAGGACATCACTTGAACATTCGCCTCGTACGCCCTGCTTTGGGGTTCCTTTGGGAGCAATAACGAGACGCGGACGCGTCGATGCATTTGGCTTCGGCGCAATCGGGCGGGGCCGGCGAGGTGAACCAGTACTTCTCCCAGTGCGTGACCGCTGCCAAGGCTGAGGACTGGCACTGATCAGCCGGGTGTCACGAGTTGTGGTAGGCTGGGTGCTACCGGTTTCAGGTAAGGTCTGGGGCTTTTTGTTGCCGCCCGTAAATCAAAGGGGGTTATTGCAACCACCAGGATGTGGCCAAATTGGGTCAACCATTCTTGTAATGGGGTTGAACCCTAGGGTAAGTAGAATACTTCACCATGGTTATAACTGGTGCAACTGCTGTGATGGCCCGTTATAGCCTACTTGCCAAGTTGTTTGAACACCCAAGTTGTAGGAAACTCAACGGAACGCCACTATGATGTGGGCGAATTGCTAGATGTTTTCTTAAGGGAAACTAAAGGGACCACGAAGCGGTGCAGGGCAACCCACCTCTCGGATACCGCGCAAGAATGAACATGGGTCAGGGATATTCGGGGGACATTATTTTGACGGTTTCTGGGGGGTTAAAGTCAGAAAATGTGTTTCCCTTTAACCCACGGGGTGACTCTGATCATGGTACAATAATGAGGCCAGCTATCAAAGGCCTTGGCCTGTGACTCTTGGGAGCCAAGTCTTACCAGAAGGCAAGGGCTCCTTTTGGGAGATTCGTCCAACCAGCCTCTGTCACCCAAGAGTCTCCCATGCCGTTCCTCCGAGTTGAAGCCCAGTTCCTGCACATCTCCAGTCCAGTTCAGAGTCTCAAACAGGGGAAACTGCACATCAATTGTATTACTCGATTGCGAGAGAGGCGCAAAAAAGCGACGACATGTTGGAAACCGAATCTCGCGAGCGACCTGCCCAACGGATCCCTTTCAAACGGTTGAAGTTTCCCAAACATGGTAGAGGCCGTGCTCCCAGAGCGGTCCAAAAGTTAACCCTGCAATCCAAAGTGAGTTGACTGTTGAAGATCGACCTTGGTTGTGCGGGAACCTGTCTATCACCGGAACTCCCAACAAATGCTGGTTTCCTATTAGAGTCCCATGTTCGAGAAAGACCGACTAAAAGGCACGTTTGGCACGTCCACTCAACTTTGAAGCTTTCAAATGGGGTTGTCTCAAGATTCGAAAGTCCCCAAAATGCGCAAAATAGTTGGTGTCCCTTTGGATATCTTTAAACCAACCCCAAAAGGGTATTTGCCCTCAAAATAAGACAAACCCAAATGTATTGATTTTGTTTCGGGCAAATCATGGCAAATCCAACGCCAATGTGTGCCAGACATGGGTGAAAAACCAAAGACACCAAGCACGCAAACCCTGGGCAATCTGATGGGTCGAGGGCTCAATGTTCAGCTTTCCCCTCAGGCCATTTACCCTCCTCTCCAACATAGAACCCACCAGTCCCTTGTAAGTCTTTCAGGACCCCTGCGCGAGATTCCATGTTTGTGGATGGGTGGGTGGCTCCTTCCATGTTGAGGATGTGCTATGATGGATCCAGAAGTATGGGAGAAAATTACTTAGTTTGTTTTTTCCCCAAGATCGCCTTGGTTATCGGGATATTTTTTGATGTATCCTGCTGTCCTTTCAACAATCATGGACGCCCTCCTGCCTTTCCAAAAGAAAAGCTTTCCTCTTCAACTCTTCAACCCCCCCCCAATCAGCTTCCATCATAGTCAAGCATGAGGGAGGCATTTGTGGCCAAGTTGGTGCAGGGTATCCGTCAGACTATTCAGTTCTACCGAATTATTTGATGTCCACCATGTCGGGTACCAATCAAAGTTCACACCTACAGAAAAGCTGACCGCCCATGTGCTAATTTCAGTTCGGGTTTCACTATCTGAGGTGGTTTAGACATAAATCCCCACCAAATTGCAGGGTGTCCTCCATTTCCCTTTGTGGAAGCTCCAAAAGTGGAACACCCCCAGAACATTCTTTCAACTTTTGAAGGGGACATCCAGTGCCCCCCCCCCCCCCCCTTTTTTTTAGTACATGATGTTCACACCATTTCGGGGTCCTTTAGGTCTCCATTTCAGGAGCTTGCCAACTTGGCCACCGAGACCACCACCACCACGACCACCACCAACGAGGACCCCATGAATTGCCAGCTGGGATTCCAGCGCCTTGGGCCCGAACGGACATGCCACCGGTTTAGCCCACCGGTTTCGGTTTTCTGCAAAGCCAGTGCTACCAGTTGCTGCTTTCATCTGCTGAAAGGAACATGTATGATTTTCCTAGGTTTTGGAGGGGATCGATTTCAAAACTGGACATATCTTTCTCATCTTTTCCAGGGGGCTTATGCAAATGGACGACTATAGTGGGCAAGCAGAGGTTCTTGCTCGGTTTTACAGGAGGCAATTTTTTCTGGTTGCTTGCATTACGGGTCACTGGTTTTACCAACGGGAAGAGTGAGCTCCTCCATTTTGCGAAAGCCTCACATCCAGAATGGGGTGGGGTGGGGCCCCGTTCGAAGCGAGGCATTTTTGCCCAGGAACCCCGTGGGTCTGGTTTCCCCAAGCCCTTCAAATGCGCAAAGCCGTACCTGGAAACCACAAGAATCACAGACCGTGTGAGCAAAAAATTCAGGTGCCCCGCTGGCACCTCTCCCGAGTTTTCTTCTTGAGTTCTCGAAAGTGCACGTAGTAGGTCAGAAACGTATTTGTTTGGTTGGCCAAAGCTGAACCCGGAAAGTTTTGAAACTGTCGGGATTGAACCCCTTTGGCGTCCTTCCCACCTCGTGAAGAGCTCGGCGAATCTGGGTCACGCATGCAGTTTTGGGACGGTGCTGCCTGAGCGGGGGCCAGGTGTTCCTGTAGTGTCCCTGTACACCCCACAAGGGGCAAGGCAGCCACAAAAGGGATACCCACAAAAATCACCCACACAAGTTGGATACCCATTAAAAAAAAGAAGGGCAGACCCATGTGTTTTAGGGTATGTTGACTTACTTGAGGGGTCTGAGCAGGCAATGCGGGGGCTACGACGAGGATACGAAGACCAATTGGACGGGGAAGCCCTGCTGCTACGCCGGCTTCACCTGTGCGGAGGCCGCTTGCGATAGGGAGCCACGGGTGGGTGTGGTGACAGGTAGGGAATTTAGGGAATGAGACAAGGAGTTCGGAGGTTGGGGATGAACCCAAAAAAAGACGACCACAAAGGCGACCCTCAAATAAGACGCCCATATATGTCCCCATGTTGGATGAACCTTTGGGGAGTCTGTTGAAGGAAAGAAACCATAGGATGGAGGCGGTTTTTTCTTGGGGTCATTCCGTTTCTTATTCCCTGAGAACCGGCAAGTTGTTTGCTCTTGGAAAAAAAAACACTTACCACAAAGGCGACCCTCAAATAAGACGCCCGTAGGTTCCCATGTTGGATGTTGGAGGTATGATTTGAAATGAGAATTCGTCCTTTGGTAGTGCTGCATTACGGGGAAAAACAGGTACCCCTATGAGGACCGGAAGGAGTGGTGCCTGTTGGGAAATGCTTTGGGTCCTCGGATAACTCCAGGGTACCCAGCGGAGTTTGGACATCAGCAAAGGTCCCGTGTCCCCTTTGCACCTCGCTCTAATGTGGGATCGGTTTTATTTGAGCAGGACACACTGAAAGCAATCTGCGGACTGGATTCTTCCGGGGTGGATTTGTTCCAGCCCGCGGGACATGTTCAGGAAACATGTTGCAGCTCTATTCCAAGTTTGCTGGTCTCGGGAGCCGAAGCCCATGTAAGGGTTGTTTAAACGGCAGGTTTGAACGAACCCTTTGTCTTGAGTTGCAGATTGAGAACACAGGGGGTTCCAACAATCGCGATCCCTGAAATATGAATAGCCCTTGTGCTCCCAATGGAACAAGGCCAAGCTAAGTAAGACGGAGAGATGGGTCTTTGGCCTCAGCCCTGTATTCTAAGGTTGGGTCAAACTGCAGAAGTTTAGCATCAAGGTGAGGATGACAAGAATCTCGATAAATGTTGCACACAGTCCAGGAGACCCTTTGAGGGTAGCAACATGCCCAAGGGTTCACGTACTCTGCGCACATCTTGCCAATGGGAGCAATCCCTTGCTCAGAAAAGCGCCTTCTTCTCCCAGTGCAAGCCAACAGTGACCTGGCGCTGTATGTCGGGTGGGGTGTTCGACGGGGCGGGGACCTGGCGCTCGCTCTTTGGTCTCGAAGCTAATGTTTTCCTTCGGTGGGTTTCCCTTAAACTCTCACACCTTTTCTCCTTCCACTTGCGTGGAACCAAGAGGGTGCCTTCCAAAGAATCATCGTAATTACCCTCCAGTTGCTATGTCGGAGCCTCCAACGTAGCTTGCTCCGTAGCAACCTGGAGTGTACCTAGAAGATGTACCGGAGGGTGCGTCAACTTGTTTGGTTGTTGTTCGCACCGCTGGGCAACTCTGAAAGCTCTACGTTGGGGCCTGCTGGCTGTCCGTTGTTTGTTGGTACCCCAAAAAGGGGTTGGTCTAAAGGGGGAAACGAAGGGAAAGCCAGTTTTGGGGTTCCCCTTCGAGATAAACACACACTGTTCTTGGCTTCTTGTTTGATGTTGTGTCCAGCTGTCGGTTGCTTGATCCAGTTGTTTGAGTTGTGTTGTTGTCCCAGATGCTTCATGCGTGGGTTATCATTCGAAAATGCTTGAAAGCTGAGACGGATTTCAGTGCTCCCTTTCCGAAGGTTTTACTATGTTTTAAGGTTGGCAACTGGGACACACAATATGAATATGTTTTTTGGTATACCATGTGGTTTGCCTTGGCGCAACAAGCACACTCGCCAAAGCCATGAGGGATGGCCAACCAATTTTGGGGAACCTCCCATAGAGTCCTTTTGACTCCTGCAAGTCTAACCTTGAACTGCTTCACAACCATGGGTGGGCTAATGTTGACCCCGGATTGATAAACCCGTTTTATGAGCGGGGGGTGTTCCCTCCAAAAGTGATACATCCCCACCAAAAGGGACCCCCCCCTCAATCAACCAGGCGGCTTACTAATCCGGGTTCCCTTTGCTTTGAAGGGGTGCAACAGGTCTCAGCTTTGATGCTGCCGCCATGTGCAAGCTCCACCTCACCCCATGTTCATGAGTCTACAGCTAGTTCTGTTGTCGCGTTCGTAGCCGGACTTCAACATAGGGACTCAGTCGAGCTTCTTTTTTTTTTTTACCGCGGGTGGTTTCATAAACGGGTGGGTGGGGCTTCCTTTCGGGGCATCCTTTTTGTGGTTTTCGGAACAAGCATGGAAACCCGAAGCCATTTTGGCCTTCCCCGGAAAAGACCACCGGGGACACTTGGGGAGCCTGTTCCTTGCGCCTTTTTGTCGCAATCTTCGACCTTTGGAGGCTGCCGCTGCCGAATTGTTTGGCGTTTTTTTGTTTGGAGTTTGTTGGCATTCATTTAGTTTTCCTCGTTGTCTGGTGGTTTGGAGCCGAATCGGTGGTTTGGTGGTTAATTCAAATCCCCAAAGCATGTCTCTGCTTCCCTCGAATTGCTTGGTGGTTTGGATGGGGATTTTGACCCCTGGTTCTTGTAGAGGGGCAAATGGGAAGCCTCCCCATAACCAAAAACAACTAGGGATGCTGAATGTCTCGGTGTGCCAACAAGGACAAGAACAGCTCATTCCTGCCTTACGAGCCGACAAAAGCACTGGAGGAGCTTCCGGTTTCGGCTTGATGTGTTTTGGAGACGTATGTTGGCGATGCTTCGTTTTGAGGATGATTCGTCAGGTGTGCAGTGTGCAGATATGTGCAGATGGGCGGCTCGTCTTTTCTCGGGGGTACCCCTTGTTTGCCGGTAAGGGAAATCAAAAGGAGAACCACCATTCGTAGGGCCTAAAAAAAGCACACACCCGCATTCCAGATTTCCAAGGAAAGGGGGCTGCCATGAACGTCACTTCCCCTGCTTCTGGACTGAAGAAACTTTTTAGGATCACATCACAAAATTTGGCTACTTGTTCAGAGCATTCCTGGGGATCTTTTTCGGACCCAGTTGGTTTAGGTCAGTCAAGACGTACCAAGGTTGGCATTCCTAAGAGGCATTTGTTAGGTCTTCCAGTCGTGTTCAGACTATGTCTTCCGGTTTAACTGGGGTGATCGTCCCCTTAATCTTCCTGGTTATAACCTACTCACTTGACGTTGGTTGAGCACCCAAGTTGTGACATGGGGTGGGCGAATTGTTATGAGCCGGGACGAAAGAGATAGTTATTTCCCGACGGTTTCTTCAGGGCCTAACCGGGCCCCGTTTCGCGCGTGGTTTGTTTGACCCAAAGGAGCCCAGCGATGCGCCGCTCTATACCTTCTACGTGTACCGCGCCGCCTCTGAGGCGACCGACGGGCGCCAAGTAGAGATCTCCTTTTGGTGTTGAGATGCATCATCTGTTGGCCCCCTACTCCAAATACCCGTTGTTGTTGTGTTTTGTTTTTTCCCCAACTGCTGAAAGCCAAGGGGTCTCAGCCCAGATAGGCTCCGGGGTGGTCCGGGGCGGCCCTGAGGTGAGGTTCCACGAGGGTTCCACCAGGGGTCCACGAGGTTCTGCGAGGGCTGCGGGGTGGTGCGAGCACTAAAAAGAGCACCGCATGCTGTTGGGGATATCACTTGAGCTTTTATTGTTTTGGGGGGGAGGGAGTATTTGTTGAACAAGTATACCCTGTTTTAGTCATTTTGTCTAGTTTGTGTGTTCTCCAAGGATTCACGACATTCGATTTTATGACTCTGCTGTGCTTCTGGCCCGAAACAGCCAGGTTGGTCGGAGCCCTTGCCATTTTTGAGGTGCAGGGAACTCAACCAGGTTTGTTGAGGGGTTCGGGGCGACCTCAAAATAGATGAAACCCACAAGTGACAAGGCTAGGATCTTGAGCTGGTGCTCATGCTGTGATCTTTTTCCAGCCAAATTTCTAGCTTGTGACAAGGCCTCTAGCAGCACGGTAAATTTGGAGCCAAGCATCAAACGGTTTCTTGTGGTTTTTCTTGACAAGGGCCCCACATTCTGCCCTGGGGATTCCAGACCAATGCGACATATCCACGGTCATTTGGAGCAACTTCCCCTCTAAGATGGCCCTCCTTGCTGCCCCATGTGGAAGTCTCCAACTAAATGGGTTCCTTTGTTGGTATGTGCCAGATCTTTCGTTCCGACATTACTAACTCACTTGAAAAGGGTACCATGAACAAAAAAAACACTGCCTTTGAACATCACCAGCAGCTTGAAATAGGTCTCCATAAGAGACAAACCTATGGACTCTGAAGCCAGTTTTGATTTCAATGTCAGTTTTGTTTTTAACTTAGTGACTCCCAAGAGACAAGAACCTCAAAGTCCGCAGAACGACGACTTTGTGGAGAACATCAACGTGGGAAACTTGGCGGGCACCTTGTGGTATCTCCACAACGAGGCCTGCGATCCATCCGGTTGATCGATCCGCCGGATTACTTGAGGCTACCTGCTAGGAGCTGTATTGGCATGCTGGGAAAATGCATGATTTCTCGCTGAAAAGCCGGGAGCAAAACGCCACAGTTTGGGTTATCTTTAAACCACGCCCATCAGGTGCCAAAAAGGGTACCTCGAACAAAGAATCACAGCTCGTTTTTGCCGCCCTGATGGGCAGTCGCAAAACGCATCAAACACTTGACTACGGAACACAGATGTAATCGGGTTTACAGAGGTCCTACAATTCCCTCTAAAGCCAGCTTACATATCACTTGTTCGACCAAATGTGGCAGATTTTGCCCCTCTTGAAAGGCGGTGATGCTTCGCTGAGTTCATGGGCTTGAAGCTTTTTTGGCCAGTCCACACGATCGGAAGTGAGAAAGGGCGAAATAGAGGGAGCAAGGTAGAACAAGTTTTCTGTGATACGAAGGGAATCCCCTTAGAGATAGAAAGGTCATGGGAATGGTAATTAATCAGCCACTTTGGTATCACAGAAAAGCGTATGTTGCACAGCCACTCTACAAAGTTAAGCATTCAAATCCAGTTGGTTGACTTTTTGCACGACGAGGTGAGGGATGGGAAGGGTAAGGGCGGTTCCATGGGTTAGCAATGCGCACACACCACACACACCACACACACCCACACGCACTCACGCACACACACACACACGCACTCACGCACTCACGCACACACACACACACACCCAAATGCGCACACACACACACACACGCACACGCACACCCCCACACACACACACACACACACACACACACACACACACACACACACACACACACACACACACACACACACACACACACACACACACACACACACACACACACACACACACACACACACACACACACACACACACACCCAAATGCACACACACACACACCCACACGCACACGCGCACGCAAACGCAAACGCAAACGCAAACGCAAACGCAAACGCAATCGCAATCGCAAACGCAAACGCAAACGCACACGCACACGCACACGCACAGGCACACAGACGCACACTCACAATCACACATTCCGATGTGTTTTCTGAGTCAGGTGGTGTGGGTGCGCCCTCGGAAGTTCAACATCGACAAGATCATCCGCTACAAGCGCCTCGGGAGTGTTCTTTAGCGGCCGAAACGGGGTCAAGTTGCATCTCACTCCCTTTGGACTTTAGCCACGTTTCGGGAAAGCCATCTCAGTGCTTGGTAACCAAGGTTTCGACCCACTTGGAAGTTCCCGGGTCAGTGCGGATTTCCACACTGACTTGGCAGAAGAGCCAAGCAGGAAGTGAGAAGCGGAATCGAAGCACATCGCAAGTTACGGACCCTTAGCACCTTGTTCCCTCGCCGTGAAGACCATGCCTCAGTTGCCCGACCCAGCCAAAGGGTCTGCATAGCAGCTATATAGGAACCACCTCCAAAGGTCTGCCTGTCCTTCCTTTCCCCCCCCCCCCCCCCCCCCGCCCGCTTATTTGGTACTCCTCAAGCTCGAAGCCCTCAAGCTGGCGTTCCATTTTCGGATCACCACCGGATACGGGGAACCATCCCTGAAAATCCTACGGTTGTCCGGATTCATCCGAGGTTGACATTAATTGCCAAAAGGGAGGAGCATCTTTCCCCATGAATTCCCTGACCTCCCTTTTTGACGAATACTAACAATTTTCAAGAATTCACATGGTGTTTTTGTCCATTTTCTTGCAGACCTCCTTTTCTGACGTACGCCTTCTTCCCGAACACGATCAAGCCCACAAAAGGACAGCTCAATTCGACTCCATTTGACGCGTTGTGCGTTTTCTTGAGGATCTGCCCATTTTCCTCATGTTTTTGACATTCACACAACGTGTAAAACCCCCAAACAAATGACTCAACTCCACTCCCCAAACACGCTTTTCGCCCACCCGACCACCACCCCCGCATCTCCATCCGACTCGTGTTTCGATGTTCCGAGGATCACCACGAAGGCGACGACGCCTCTGAAGGAGCTGGGCATGAACTTCGGGGTGCGCTTCTCCTTCGACACCGCGATGTGCACCGGGCCCTGGAACTGCGAGCTGAACTTCGAGAAGTATGGGCCGCGCGGCTTGAACGCGCGGTTCCGGAAGCACGGTGTGGGGTGTGCCGTCTTTTGAGTTGGCGCCGATTTGTTGGGGGATGGTTTGGGTCTGTGTCTTTCTTTGAGTCGGTACCCAGTTTGGGCTTGGATTTTTGAAAGGGAAGCCAACAGAAAAGCAAGGAACAAATATGGGGGGCCCCTGAAAAAAAACACCCATGCACACTGTGTGTGTGTCCTTTGTGTCCTTTGTGTCCTTTGTGTGTGTGTGTGCGCGTGCGCGTGTGCGTGTCTGCGTGTCTGCGTGTTTGCGTGTCTGCGTGTCTGCCTGTCTGCGTGTCTGGGTGTCTGCGTGTCTGCGTGTCTGCGTGTCTGCGTGTCTGCGTGTCTGCGTGTCTGCGTGTCTGCGTGTCTGCGTGTCTGCGTGTCTGCGCGTCTCCGTGTCTCCGTGTGTCCATGTCTCCGTGTCTCCGTGTCTCCGTGTCTCCGTGTCTCCGTGTCTGTGTGTGTCTGTGTGTCTGTGTGTCTGTGTGTGTGTGTGTCTGTGTGTGTCTGTGTGTGTCCGTGTGTGCCTGTGTGTGTCTGTGTGTCTGTGTGTCTGTGTGTCTGTGTGTCTGTGTGTCTGTGTGTCTGTGTGTCTGTGTGTCTGTGTGTCTGTGTGTCGTGTGTCTGTGTGTCTGTGTGTCCGTGTGTCCGTGTGTCTGTGTGTCTGTGTGTCTGTGTGTGTCTGTGTGTCTGTGTGTGTGTGTGTGTCTGTGTGTCTGTGTGTGTCTGTGTGTCTGTGTGTGTCTGTGTGTCTGTGTGTGTCTGTGTGTCTGTGTGTGTCTGTGTGTGTCTGTGTGTCTGTGTGTGTGTGTGTGTCTGTGTGTGTCTGTGTGTCTGTGTGTGTCTGTGTGTGTCTGTGTGTGTCTGTGTGTGTGTGTGTCTGTGTGTGTCCGTGTGTGCCTGTGTGTGTCTGTGTCAGTGTGTGTGTCTCTGTGTATGTGTGTGTGTGTGTTTGTCTGTGTGTGTGTGTGTCTGTGTGCCTGTGTGTGTGTGTGTGTTTGTCTGTGTGTGTGTGTGTCTGTGTGTCTGTGTGTCTGTGTGTCTGTGTCTCTGTGTTTCTGTGTCTCTGTGTGTCTGTGTGTCTGTGTGTCTGTGTGTCTGTGTCTCTGTGTGTCTGTGTCTCTGTGTGTCTGTGTGTCTGTGTGTGTGAGTGTGTCTGTGTGTGTTTGAGGGGAACCTCTTTTTGCCCTGGGCTTAAAGGAACACCAAGAGGAAACCCGCCAATTGTGAGGGTTCCCTTCTTTTGAGAGAAGCCCAAATGAATGTTGCTTCGCTGACTATGGGTATGTGGGCATGGGTCAAAAATAACCCTGCAGACTTTGTTTCCATTTACCCGGGTACCCATTTTTTACCCACCCCCACGTGTCATTTGTTTGGGGGACCCCCGAAAATGGTTGATTTTCATGCTGAGAACTGATGTAGTCAGTATGTCTTTTTTTGGAGGATACGCCCAAAAAGGGGTGGTTCTTCTTTTGAGAAACACTATCGGGCACCCTTTGTCGAAATCCTCTAAAGGGTTGGTCTCGCCAGCTTTGTCTAAGACACAGTGGTTCCTGAAGGCCCCTCGGACCCCAACTTGCGTGGACAATGTGGGCGTCCCAAAGCAAGGAGCTTCATGTGTCAGAACCCCCGCCCAGTGTTTCCATTTACCCATAGGAGGTAACCAAGGGAACCACCCTTCCAAAACCAAAATGAACATGGGCTAGTTAGTTGCCCACCCCTAAGAGCCCAAGACCTCAAATACCGAGGCCTTTGGGGTTCAAGGCCCTCATATTTAGGGACCAGGGGGCTCCTAGGGTACTAGACTTGTTAGTAACTGGGATCCACTGGGCAGGGCTTCGGATTCGATTCCCTTCTCCATTTACCCATAGTAGGTAACCAGGAAAATGGCCAGTTACCTTTTATACTAGTTAACAACTGGGATCCACTGAGCAGGGCTTCGGTGGTTTGTGGGCCCCTGGGCCCCCGACTCTGAGGGGGCCCCTGGGCCCCCGACTCTGAGGTACTTCGTTGGTTGCAACAACCTTGGCATGTTCCCCTTCCCGACCTACGACACCCACTATCCCGAGGCGCGTTTGAAACATAACACGGCCGGCGCTTGCTTCTGCTGGAAGACGGAAGGTGCTTTCCTTGGCAGAAAGCTCCCTAAAGACAATTTGGAATCGAGCCAAATGGAAAACACAAAGTTTGAGGGTTGCCCGGAGACGAACTCAAGCTGAGATGTGCCGAGATCTGGCTGTGGTTGTCAAAACCAAGGGGATCCCATTTTGGGGTAATTCGGTGTCGTCGATTTTAGTGGGGATTGGGATGTTCACTGGTACGATTCGGCTTTTGCTTTTGACCCATGGCCATATGTTTGCTTCAGCCGGTGACCCACAGCTCAGAATATGAAAGCTGTTGCCGTGACTCTCCTGGCCTGAAGCCTAGGATGTGGTTTACCCCAACGAAAGAGGGGACAAGAAAGGCTGGAAGACCATGTCCTTTCCGATGCGAAAAGGAATCAAGTTCCATGGCGAATGGAAGGGAATCCGCTGAGGATCGGATCAAGCCGAGGAAGTATCGAACACTTTGGTACAGGTGGTTACTCCTTCCAGTCAGGTTCCATGCTAGTGTTTACAACCAGGCGCGGGCCTGTGTTTGGACCCTCTTCAAAAGCGGCACAGCATGGCACCCAAATGTCCACCGATTCACCCGGTGCAGAAACATAGAGTAGGTGAAGTACTGCAAAGAGATCTGGGCCTTGAATAGATGGTGCCACGGTCTGTGGGAAATTGTGGAGGTGGTTCTCAAACTCACTGTCCGGGTGTGCGTCCATCTTGGGAGCTATATTGCCTATAATATCTAGTTTCCCGAAAGGGGACTGGGACATTTGTTTGATTTTTTGCCAGAGCCCTTATGTTGCATCCAACATTTACGGACTTCCTGAGTTGGACGTTAAACCTTTTGGGAAGACCATTCTAGTGGCTTCACAAAAAACGTTCCGCGACTTTTTCTGGCCAATCTACTCGTTCGGAAGTGGCCATGGGTCAAAAGCCCGTACTGCCAGTGAACATCCCAGTCCCAATCCGCACTAAAATAGACAATGGGTGGTGCACCTACAGCAAAATGGTACCATTGGTGTTGACCCACAGCCCAAGTGAGCTTGGGTGAGGACTGAGTTTCGGGCCACGCCTTTTCGGCCCCTTTCGAGGCGAAGTGGTTCTCCCTGCCCGGGCAATGCCCCACCAAGGCATGGGAGGCAAGGGCGGTCGACGGGCGATAGAAGATATGGCCATGGGTCAAAAGCCAAATCGTACCCCAGTGAACATCCCAATCCCAACTAAAATAGCTTCTAAAATGGGTGGTGCACCCTCCCCAAAATGGTACAGTACGATTGGTTTTGACCCACAGCCATATAAGCGGGTCAGCAACCTTCATTGGTGAGATCACATGCCCACCCGCTCTTTTTGTTTTGTGCAGGGTGGTTCGCTTGCTACACCTTGTCTGGTTGAACAGGACACGCACATCCTTAAATGCTACACCTTTTTCAGGGTGTTTGTTGCTTCCTTTTCTGGAAAAAACAACGCACCCACTGAAAAGGGATCCAACTCCGTTTCAAAGAGGGCCCTTCGTATTTCCAGAGAAAGGCTTGGGGGCAGTCTCACTTAGGGAACGCCGTTTAGAGATTAACACCTCTACTTTCAGATAGCGTGATTCGCAGTCAGGCCTGTCCTGGGGTCCTTTGTGACAGCCATTCACCTGATCTTTGCTTTGGAAGAGCAACATGCGGTTTCAACAAAGCGTGTCTTAAAACAGCGGGCCCCTAAAACTATCAGCGTCCTTGTGGCTTTCCTTGTGCCATCCCAAGCTGGGACGCCACCCAAAAAAGACGCACCCAATAAGTAGCATGCAATGGACGGGGGTCCCTAACCTGTGAGACTTTGCCATTGTGTGAGATGTTGGTTGCACCGGAGGCTGATCCATGTTTCACAGCCATGCCAAAAGGGAAAAATCCCCAGAAGTGTTGAAAGTAGGAATATGATCCAACAAAAATCAACCACACCACAATGTCTTATCACCATTCAATGGCAAGCTCACCGATTTAAGGGTAAAACCAGAAACACAATTCCATTTATATAACCAAGGGGGATGACAAAATGAGGGAGTTGCGCCTACTTTCACCCTGAACCCAAAGCAAATTTCAGGGCTACCGGGGCCCCTGGACCTGAGGAGAAGGATGCGAACTGCACCAAGCTGCAGCCCGGGGGCCGCTGTGACACACCCACCGGTCAGGGCCGCCGGGCTGAAACCAAAAAAGGACGGGATGTGCAACGTGTCAGGTGTGGAGTTCAAACCACCAGATCAAAGGAGAGTAGTATATGACCGCCATTATTTACCTAAGGAAAGTCATCATCCAACTTGGGTTAAACTTCTTTTTTCAGTGGGGGTTGAATCCTAGGTTAAGCAGGTTACTTCTCCATGCCCATTTTAACCATGGTTTGTCCCCTACTGACTTTGCAGGTCTTCCCCTTCAATAGCGTCCCTTTTGAGGTCCTTTGTTTTTCCCGTAGAGGGTTGCAAAAGGTGCCAACCTGTGAAACACCAGGGATCTATGGTTTGGTTGCACGAAGGTCAACTCAAACCTCGGGTTCTCCTTTTGCGAAATGAGCCGTCCCTGGGTTTGAGTCCAATTTGGGATACCCTGCTTCCAACCAACATCACCTGCATCAACATGCGTGCCACTCAAGAATGAAATGCCACATGTTGAAGGAGAAATTTATTGTTGCTCCGCCGGACATATTGACCAAACTTAATCCAGAATTAGGTAGCAACTTGGGTCCTTTGGTTTTTCACCTTTTCCATGGGACGCACGATTCCTTTTTCTGCAAGCCACCCCAGTGATTGAAATGCATGGCGAATTCCAGGGATCTTTTCAGTTTCTCCCATGGCTCCTGGGCAATCGCCATGAGATACCTTGGAGGTCTGTTGCCAAAGACTGATTAGACAAATATGCACCATGAAGGTGCATTCCACTAATCCAAATGAATACCAAAGATAGATGAGCTAAATTTGATGAGAAGACTGTGTAGGGCCATTCTGCTTCAGTCGAAGTGGAGAACAAAGCTTGGTTCAATCTGTCACGCGCCGAGCACTCAGCGAGGTGTCCATGTTACGCCACAGTCTTTGACGCCGATAGCCTTGACTCATACTTTGACCATGGCATGGCTCAAGCAGGTTGGCAGAGCGCTGACCATGCTTGTGGTACATGGGGCTTTCTGGAGCCACGCTCGGTGATGCCAAGTTGCGTTCCACTTTGGCATCACAACAAATGGGTTTGTCTACCACTTTTTGGTTGGTTTTAAAGAGAAAACAAAAGGACACCAACCATTTTGAAGGGTTCCAACAAACATACAACACACTGCCAAATGGTTCTGTTCCGCGACCATGCTGCAGACTGCTTTCACTTGAGGCAACTGCACCTACAGCATCGAGGAGGTGGGATCCCTGACTCTGGACGAGATCGAGGGCCTGACCAGCTACCATGACTTTATCCACACAGGCAAGCCGGCAGTGGAATCCGACCCTCCCAAAGAAACTGAATACTAATCTTGTTGAGCTGGCATGAGCTGGCAAATGTTAAGGTTCTTCCTTATTTTAGTCAAGTTTAACTGTCGGCCGCCAACTTTGGCAGGTCAGAACAGGGTGTTTGGGGTAGTTTGCCAGCTACCCCATCATCAGCCGCCGGTTGGCAAGATGACCAAGATGTATTCCAGGTCAGATGTGTCGATGTTGCGCAGTTTTTGAGTAGAGCTGGCTTAGTATTCGTTTTTCGTGGTAGTATTCGCAACGGGAACGTATTGAGTCGGTAGTGGTCAGATATTAATTGCACTTCTTTGCGAAATGACGCATATGAGTGTGTTTGGAAGTGTTTTTTTTCTCCTTCAATTGGTTAGCCTTTTTCGACCTTTTGGCTGTCCTTTCAGCAACATCCAAATGGGGGCCTACCATTCTGAGATGAAGTATGGGTGTAGACTCGTAGACTTGCTTTATTGTTAGTTTAGTTTGGCAGAGCTCTGCAGACAGTTTGTGTTTTGTCGTCAATTGGCTGCCGCTAAACAATTGGTCATCTTTGAGGTAGACCTTTACCAGTCCGGCAGTGGCGAGCGACAAGCCATGCAAATGCAGGATCTTACACTTTTGTCATTGATAATGCTGAGAGGACTGGTTTGATATAAGTGTTCTTTGTAGCTGTTGCATTGGTGTTTGTGTTGGCTTAGGGTTTCTTTGTTTCACAACCGATGCTTTTGTTGAGGCCACGTTGGTGTTTTGGACTAGCCGAGATGTGAGTGGTGTTCCTGGTGGATGGGCAGCGGTTCTTAACAACCTCACCAATTCGGTATCGTCCGCTCAATCCATGGGCCAGGATTGATTGCTTTGAGTTCCTTCCTGTTTGGTTTGTCCATGGCTCCACAACCTGACAAGAAACGCCACCACATCTTTAGCGCAGGATCGGGTCTTGCTGAGGTTCCTGCCGGGTTATATAGTGGCACATCTCTACAGTCCTGAGTGACATCCATGTAAAAATGGGCAGGTTGGGTTTGTTGGCACTCTTCCAGGTTACCCTTAGTTGGTTGTGTGGATTGGTGGGAACTGAGGATTTGAGCCCCTGGTTCTTGTACAGGGTAAATAAACCCCTCCTGAACCAAGCAACCAATTAGAGTTAAGCTGAGTTCCCTCTGTGTCAGTGCTGAGGAGTCCCAACGGACTACATCAAGAGAGCAGTTTCGGGGAGAGGGCCTTTGAGGTATGAGGGTACATACAACTTATATAGGGGTGTACCTATTATGTATACTGCCTTTCAAGCTCACATGGGTGGCATATGTGCCCATCCATCCCTCCAAACCTACCTGAACATGCTCCATAGTTCAAAGGTTTCACTGGTCACACCCAGGCAACCCAAGGTTTTCCGAAATGAACCATTCCCAAAACGGGTCCCGACTCAAACCCGCACAGCAAACGTCGTGTCATCGGAAAGGCTCGGGTGTAGGGTCCGGTGGGTCGCGATCTAGGCGGCGTGGAGTTCAACAAGACCTTGGACAACGGCACGGGCCTGACCTTTTGGCTTCTTGCCGAACAAGATGGCTTCTATTTCTTGGAGATTGTTTTTTTCTTTTTGTGTGTGTGTGTCATTTGTCTGAGGTGTTTGTTGTGTTTTCTCCTTCTTGGGTTTTCAAGGGCATTTGTCACTACAGTTTTTTCCCCCAGGGAGCTTAAGCAAACTGACGAAGGGCCTTGTGGCTTTGGAGGTCAAACATCGGGGTGTTTTCTCATCCCTGACCCGTTTTTGTTCTTTTCTGAAGCCAAACCAACACTGGGGGGGTGGGGCGGAACTTGGGACCTTGGACATAGGTTCGTTGTCCAAATGGGTGTGCCTCTTTTAAGTGAACCCCCCAAACTTGTGTTTCCTTTTGGTTTCAATTTAAAACTACCAAAAAAGGGGTACCCCCGAAGAAAAAAAAACAAAAACATTCATTCACCCTTCATCGCGGCGCACTCTCAGCGGCAGCAGAAAAAAACAATCCGGTCTGTAGTCGAGGTCCGTTTGGTTTTTTGGGCGAGCTGCAAGCTTCAACAAAAGAGTCATATGGGGACGAGCCATGGCCTTTGCCATGTTTGGAACCAGCAGCATCTCACTCCCTGAGTTCCATTTTGGACTTGAGTAACTTATTGGGGGGGATCATGTTTGTGGCAAGCAAAGCAAGCTTGGACTCTTTTCAATCTCCTTAGGAAGTCAGGCACGGACGGAAAAAACGACCGCGGGGTAATCCGAGCTAAGCTTTCTGCTGGAGCTTCTTAGGGGTGGGGATTTCTGATTTGGCAACCTGGAAGAATTGTTCCAATAGCCGGGTCACAGGTTCCGTTTTGCTTTGAAGCCTGTGCGTGACCATGCCTGCGGACTGGGGCTGGACAAACGGAACACTTGTAGAATTGATTCGTCCATTTTTTCGCGGGCGCACTGATTTGGGGGGTAAAACGACCTGATGGTGACAAAGGTTCTTTGCTTGGGGATCCCTTATTTCAAGTTTTGGAATGCCTGTAGAATTTGTAGATGCATCGATAGTCTCATCGGGTCCATCCCAAGACAAGCCAAGAGTAAGCTCAAGATTTGAGCCGGCTAGCCCGAAGTTTAACTACCCGGGACTTGCTTAACAGCTTAGTGACTAAGTGGCTTAGTGGTTGTGTTGTGTGTGTGTGTCTCCCTTGTTTCCCTTGTGGTTGTGTGTTGCTTCCTTTGTTTGTGTTCAATATATATATATATATATGTGTGTTTGTGTTTTAAGATATCGTTCTGTGTGTTTGCGTCGTTTCTGTGTCTTTTGTGTTTGTGTCCCGCTCGTGTCCGTGCTCCGCCGGCGTGCTCCGCCTTTCGCTGAGGAACAACTTGAACGACACCGAGAAGAACGTCGAGCGCGTGGAGAAGGTCTCCAAGATGTTCGAAGAGAAGTTCCCCGACCAGCCCAAGGAGGACAAGATGGAGGCCTCCTTCAGGGTTCGGGAGGGTTGCGAATGCAGAACCTGGGGTCCGCACCGCCGCACCCCAAGTTGCTGTGAGGTCAAAGGGGCATATTTTGATCAGGTTCATTGCGAAGCATGTGAAACTCTCCCTGTTACCCTTTGAAGGGGAACCAAACGCAGGTGGTTTAAACAAAGACCCTAAGGGTCCTGGCACGGGCTTGGTATGCAGAACTCGCGGCTCCCAGTACCACCCCCATTGTCAAAAGGACATATGTTGATATGGCGTGCGCTTCGAAGATTCCATGGAAATCCACAATTCATCAAGCCAACTGTCAACATGTGTTTTTGTTGTTGTTTCGGTTTCCCTTTTAAGACAATGGGAACCAATATGTACAAACTCCAGGCTGATTTGATGAATATGGGGAGAAGCCACTTTCTGGGTGCCCCCAGAAAGCTTCTCGAAGCGCCCTTGCGAAGTTCCTATTTTGCGAGTTTTGGACGCACTGCTGGATATTCAAAGGTTGGATTCTTCGGGCAACAGCCATTCCCGGAGAAGGGCTGCCTTTGGTTTTCTGTTTTCAGCTGGATTCGCGATGTGCGGTTTTTGATTGAGCATCGGGTGCATGTGCAGACTTGATGGTTCCAACATGCCCCCTGCAGGCTCCCAAGTGCGACTTTGACTTTGAGAAGTTCTATGGCGAGCCATTGCCGACGACTACAACTACCACGACTGTGTCCACGTCCGCCGTGGCCACTGAGGCAGCAACAGCTGGGGCGGCCGCGACCGAGGCCGCCACAACTGAGGAAGCCACAACTGAGGAAGCCACGACTGAGGCAGCCACGACCGAGGCAGCCACAACTGAGGCTGCTACAACTGAGGCTGCGACAACTGAGGCAGCCACGACTGAGGCTGCGACAACTGAGGCAGCCACGACTGAGGCAGCCACGACTGAGGCCGCCACAACTGAGTCCACCACAACTGAGGCCGCCACAACCGCAGCAGCCACAACTGTGGCAGCCACAACTAAGGCTGCTAAACCAGTCGCTGCAGTGCCGGCCACCCCGACCACCATGACTACCACTCCCTATGGCTGCGAGGCCTGAGAGCGCTGAGAGTTTTGAGGAACCCCGTGTAGTTGCCAAGAAAAAGGACACCAACATGAAACCATTCAATTCATGGGCCAGGTCCGAACCCGTTTTGAGATGAACACATACTTGCTGCGAGCGGGTTATTGTGTTTATGGGCCTGACTACATGGGTACCATTGCTTGGATCCCAGTATGCCTGGTGGTTGAAACGTCACCTCGCGCTAAGGCACAAGATCCTTTTCAAGGGGCTCCGTCAGTCGGTCCCTTTGAACGGCTGATGGTTCTCAGCCATACGGGGTGCGTTTTTAAGGCTGGACCCCCCGAAATTGGTGGTTGTCCTTTTCATGGAGAACCAAGCAACAAGGGGGTTCCTTAAAAAATGACACACCCATACAGGAGCAAATTCCAAAGGGAACTTGCACATTGTGTTTGGTGAGTGCCTTTAAAGTAGTATAGCGCTGGTCGCCTGGAAAAACCGTGCATATTTAATCAGAGGGGGTGTATGAATCATGTGCCGACATTCTGAAGTCCAATGTCCTGTAGAAACTCCGGTTGGCTATGACATGCAGATTGGATGGTCAGATCTATTTCCGTGCAGTCCAGGAAGTATTTTTTGCAGATCTGGTGGTTTCCGTTGAGCCTTCAGTTCCCTGGCAACAAGACCACCCGCTGCAAACGTCCCGGGGCAAACGTCCCTTGGCACAGCTCCGCCTCGAAGGCGGTCCAAAGGGGAGTCCTTAGGCGGTTTTGTTGGACTCAGTTCTGTACCACGTCATGTTTGGATCATTTGATTGGGATGGCCTTGCATTCAAGATTGTGCTTGTGGACTTGACCAACTTTTTGTGACTACCAGTTTGGCGGCAAGAAAAAGCTTGGTTTCTTTGGTTTCTTTGTCTGTCCAATCCACTCAGGAAGTGAGACTTTGTAGTGGTTCCCCGCAAAGGTTGAAGTCAGATCTCTTTTGAACTGATTTGCAAGATTAGCACTGGTGACTCACTGACTCACTTGTCAACATGTTTTGGTCAGCGGCAAAAGCTGAGGTGGTCAACCTTTTTGGTTCCTGGCCTCAAAGGGTCAATATAGGTGTTTGAGTGGCTCGCGAGCCGAACCACCAGACTCACCACTTGGACGTTGCGGCCTGTGGGTTGTTTCCTTGCTTTTTCAGGGACCCTACCTCCTAATGATTTGTGAACAACACACCTTTATGAGGAGATCCTCGAATTCAGACTGTATTTGGGTGACTTTTTCACCGGCCAGTTGGTATCGATTGAAATTTGAGGGACTTTTTAGCGTGTTTGCCATAGCTTTCAGCTGTCGGGAAAAAGCGAGTGCTTTTCTCTTGCTGGTGCGATAGGTAGGGAATGACCCAACTTTATTGAGAATGAACCGGTTTTGGGGATTCCCTGAACGGATGGATGGTTTGATGGTTTTTCTTGGGGTCATTCCCTCCCTCATTTTCTGCCTATCCAACCAGCGCCAGTTTTTTTTCTCCCCATGGCCCGTTGGGGCGTGGGCAGCGGTAGGACGCGGTGCTGGGCAGCCACTGCTACTCCGCGGTGACCTGGGCCATGGAGCACGGCTTGAAGCTGCACCCCACCTGGCGCCTGGGACTTTTGGGATTTGTTTTTTAGGGCGACCTCCCATTTTTTTGGATTTTTTCTAGGGCGACCTTTCATTTCCATTCTTTTTAGAAGGGATCCGAATCGGTTCAGGAACCCATCCTAAAAACCCAGGGAAACGGATCCGGTTTTTGAAAAGACGGATGGTGGAAAATAATGGGGAATCAACCCCTAGATGTTTGTTTTTTTCCCCGATGGATCCGGGCCTTCTGGGTTGTTCTCAAGGAAAACTTCCTTTGGCTTAGGTTCAACAAGAAATGTGGGACCTCAACAACCCAAAATCCGCCTTTTGCTGAACGTTGCTCGCCCCAACACAAACAAACAGGACCTCAACAGGTGGTTTGGGCCCTTTTGGTTTCCTTTGCGCCAGCTAAAGAGGTTTACCGTTTCGAGAAGCGCCCCTTTTCCGAGCGCGCCACAGGATAAAAACCGAATGCGCCCCTTCCATTGGTTGGTGCCTCGCTCGCTTGTGTTCTGGTGTCCTTGGAGTGTGCGTATGTGTTGGGGTAGATTTGAAGGGAAACCATTTGTTTATTGGCGTTCCCCCGCTAGCTTGACTTTTTCTTTCTTATTTTGGGGGTGGCGGTGCTCTCCTAAGCATCGCCTTTAAAAGGGTAGGGGTTCCAAAAGGAAGATATAGGGGAGCGATGGCTCCCGAATTGAAGCGGGCGTCCTTCATTCTTGGGCCGGGGAACTTTTGGGTTCCTCAAGATGGACGCCGTGTTTCCCACGGGGCGGCTTCCTCAAGACTGGAGTCCGGGTTTCAAAGAGCAAATCAGCTCAGCTAGGTCCCCCAGCTAGTGCCGGTCCCCCAGCTAGGTGCCCTTTTACCGTTTCTTTTTGGGGTTTTGGGTTCCCCTAGTAAAATAGACCACGGAAAAAAATCGGGCACCCTTATTCTAACCTCTCTACTAGAGGACCTAGTCAGGATGACAATCTCCCCGCGAGCAGTTGATCAAAGCACCAGGCAGTCAAGAAGCTTAGGACAAGGAGGGTAAATGGTCCACCTTTCTTTTTGTGACTTCCCGACGGCCCTTTGGCTCAGCCCTCTGGGAACCCCCCACCTGGAGCTCCGGCACTCCGGGGCGTACCGCACCCTCTATGCTTTCAAAGACAAGCACGCGAATGGGGCCATGGATGTGGAAAATAGGGATTAGGGCTATTTTCTGTGGTATCAAGGGAGCCCGCTGCAAAGTGAAAAGGTAGTCATGAAGGGAACCAGCTACTTTGGCATGCTGCTAATGGCTGCTGGGCCCTCAAACTACTCTTTTAAGGGATTTCACCCCATGTTTTTGGGGCAACCCTTTTCTGTGGGTAGGTTGAGGGGCTTGGTATGCGCGACCAGTGGGTCCTAGGTATCCTGGCTTGACAGCCACCTCCTCCTTCTCCGACTTCCAGGCGCGGTCGAAGCAAAACGCCAACTGTCGACTGGAAGTTTCGGAACAGGGAAAACTACCCTCCCACCAACTAACATGGGTTAGTGCAAAAAGGCCCTTCCAACCAACAGGAAAGTAGTCTTTCTACAGGGGTCTGTGCACTTTTAGCTGTTTAGGGTGGGCGAACTCCTGAGTTGCTGGGCTTTCAACTTTTGGGGAATGCCATTTTAGTGGTGAATACCTGGTAAATGGAGCCAAGGACTAAAACCTGCGGTCCCCTGGTCATTTAATTTTGACCCATACCCATTTAGTGACATAGAAAGTCTGACTTGCTGTTTTCCTTCAATTTCCCTTTTCACCAGCGAAAGTGTTTTCTCAAGGATTCTCCAAACCTCAAAAAACAATGAGCGGAACAGTTCCGCATGGTCGACGAAATATGCAGCATCTGAACCTTTTACTTTTGGTGCACGCCAGAGATTTGAAGACTTTCGACCCCCAAGCCTCAAAGAAGAAACATGACAGTTAAGCCACATGTACCTTTACTTGTTTGGCTTGTTTTTAAAAGGTAAATTGTTCCCGGGGTCTGGTGGTACAACCTTTGGAACCAGTCACTGTCCTTTCTTGGGCCTCGGGAACTGAGGCGCGGGTGCACCACGTGCACCCCAAGGACTGCCCAGTGCCGTGCACGAAGAAAGCGGGGTGCCACACGCCCAAGAAGGGCGAGTCCTGCCACTCCGCGGTGCTTTGGGCGCCTCGGAAAGACGTTGACGGAGGCGAGCCAACGGAAAGACGGCGAGCCACCGGCGCCGGCCATTGGATTCCAACATGTGTTGTTACGAATGGCAATGCGTGCCCTTTCACCCTTTTTTTAAGGAGAGTCTCCTACTAGAATAGACTACAGAAAAAGGCTACCCTTATTCTATCCTCTCTACTGGAGGACCTAGAATGTGTTTGTGAGGCATTTGTTGGGTACGCTTGGTGAACCAGTCTTCACTGATTTGTTGTTTGGTTGAGCTATTTAGTTTGTTAGACCAACGGTAGACTGCCCAAATTATAAGCCCCGGTAAACTACGCTAAGTTGTCCTTGTAATATGTGGGGCACCCACTGTAGTCGTTTTTAGGCGGCATTGTGTTGACACTCCAAAAGGATTTTGACTAGCCCTGAATCACATGTCCAGACTCCAAGAGGCTTTTTGCTAACGAGTCACTACGCCCAAGGGAACGGCAGTGCACAACACATTGATGCAGTGTGTTCATGCGCCTTTGTTTCATACCGGTCATGTACATTGTATACCCCCCTTAATCCCTCTACATGTGTGTGTGTGTCTCTTTGATTGAGGCTACCCTGTTGGCATTGCTGTTAAAGGGAAACAACAGGACAACCACCAAATTGGGGGTCCTGCATTTGACACACAGGTGGTTGTATACCCCATAATCCTCCATTTGCGTAATAATATGGGTTATGTTCCCCTGTTGGTTGTAAAGGAAATCTATCACTATGGTTTCTTTGATTCTTTCCAGGGGACATATGCAAATGGAGGCAATCCCTTCGGGTTTAGATGGAACCAAAGGAAACCACACTGTGGATGGCCAAAATCCGTTCGCACCACTTTGAAGCCATGGTTGAAACCTGTTGTTTGGTTGCTGAGTGCCTAAGAGGATTTCGTCCATCAGTCCATTTTCCATCCGCTTGTGTATGTGTTCGCTTTAAACTATCGATTCTTTTTTTTCCAGAACATATTGGCAAATGGAGGTTCTCCCTTTAGGTTTTGACGGGCACCAAAGAAAGCCAAGCCATTTTGGAGGTTCCACTAGACCCCGTCCAGAGTGGCCAAGGCCATGGAGCATGGCATCACCCTGCACCCCTCCT